ATTTGAAGCCACAACCACTCACAGAACTGCAAGCCGCAACCTCTCACAGAACTGCAGCGGTTATGAGCTTCTCTTCTCCGTGGGCAATGCTCCCAAAGGCGACACAATCGCAGCCTCTGTTTCTACCGTCGATTGCTGCTCCCTTACCAACCGAAGTCTTCCGTTAAAAACTCTACTACCCTTCCGGCCACCAAACTCGGCTGTAAGTTGTGATCTGCACTGATCACAGCTGCTATCGTTGCCTTGCCATCAACTGCCATAAGCATTACTGCAACTATCTCTAACACTGCAGATTTCTCCAGCATCGCAGAAATCTCTCCTGCATTATTGCAGAAATCACTGCAACTCTCTCCAGTATCGCTGCATATTTCTCCACCGCTGTAGAAATCTCTCCTGCATTATGAGTGGCCGTCAGTTACACAAATCACCAAGCCCACTGCCTACTTTTCAGTCTAGCTCCAAGTGATGTGTGGCATCGTGTCTTGGTCATCCCTCATCCTCTATCCAGCAAAAATTACTTTCACGATTTTCTCTTCCTACTCTTAAAAACAGTAGCATTATATCTCATTGTGATACTTGTTTAAGCAATAAAAGTCATAGACTTTCTTTTGGAATCTCCTCCGCTCTAAACATTTTGAAATTATTTATACTGATGTTTGGGGTCCTGCCCCAATCACTTCTTTTGACAAATTTAGATTTTATGTCATTTTCATATATTACTTTACCGAGTATATATGGTTCTACCCTCTCATCGTAAATCTGAAGTTTCAATAGTTTTTTTAACTTTAGACGTTTGGTTGAGAATTTCCTCTAGTTTACAATCAAAACAGTTTACTCTGACGGAGGCGGTGAATATCAAGCCCGAACATCCTGTCTCTTAGCTTGTGGTATAAACACCTTAAGTCACCCCTGCATACTCTTCAACTAGTTGGTTTTACTGAACACAAACATCGATATATAGTTGAAACCGGTCTCACACTCCTCCATCAAGCCTCCATGCCAACCATCTTTTGGGTTGCGGCTTTTCAAACTCTCATCTACCTCATCAATCGTATGCTCACTCCAGTTCTTTAGTACCAGTTGTTGATGAACCGATACACCGTGACTGATGACTCAGCACGGCTTGGTCCACAGGACGATGTCGGGAGTCTTCGGTCGTTTGAGCTGGATGTCGGAGTCGGTCGAGCCCCTCAGTCAGTGTGTTGGCGCCGCAATATTGACATTTTTTCGTCGGGATGTTGATTGGCGCATCGTGAGGAAGGACGCCTCTATCGATTGGGATGACCTCGCCTCGGACGTTGTTGTTTTCCTGCACAAAAGGCCTCGCCGAGTCATTACCGACTGTGGCCCCTCGACAATTAAGTCAGTGTGGGGTTATGCTTTCTGCCTCCTTTTTCCCTCCCTCTGGTTGGATGTCGGCTAGGGGCTTTTATACTACTGTACGAGAGTCGGTCATACGCAGGTTTGACATGGCAACCGATCCTCAAGGGATGAGATGGTACCTTTGTGTGGTCGCCATCCCGGGACGTGTGGAATGACGCCATGCGGTGCCATCCCGGGCTTACTGGGACGGGACATATCGAGTGGCGTCTTGATACGGTTGCTGGCTCGTGTGGGGGTGCTTCTCTTGCTGATTTGGCTGTGGCGTGGTGTGGCATCGATTGTGACATGGCCTAGGCTCAAAATATACCTTATCACCAATCACCATTTGAAACATTATTTCATAAATCTCCAAATCTTCATAAACTTAAAGTATTTGACTGTTTATGTTATCTATGGCTACGTCCCTATGCCTCACATAAGCTAATATTAAGATCTAAACCTTGTATTTTTATTGGATATTCTCTTGAACATAATGCTTTTCGATGCTACGAACCTCAAACTTAAAAAGTCTTTATATCACGTCATGTTATTTTTGTGGATCTACCTTTCCGTTTCAAAACTCTAAGTCTCCTACCGTGAGCCCTACTCTAACAACTATACATCACTGGAGTACACCGCCAGTCTTGTCAAACAAGTCTCCTACAACACCACCCAGCCATTCTCTTTAGGATCTACACTCTCTTCTTCTCCTGGTTCAACATCTCCTCACTTCCTCCATTGCTCCTCTCCCTCCTTCACAATGTTCCCCTACTGCTGAAGCATTACCCTCGGTAACACAACCACTACCTTTATCCTCTTTTGGTACCAGTGACACTGAAGTACCTTCATCCTATGTCAGTACACCTCCACCGCCCATACCTACAACACAACCTATAGCCCCTGGACATCTAATGGCAACACGCTTCAAAAGTGATATTTTTAAACCATGATAAATCCTTAACCTACATGATATCACAAAATCCTCGTTAGAGACCAATGAACCTACTACAATTACTCAAGCCCAAAAATCTCCACACTGGCGTAAAATTATGTGTGAAGAATATGATGCCCTTATTCATAATTCTACATAGACTCTTGTACCCTCTCATCCCACACAAAATATCATCGGGTTTAAATGGGTCTTTCGAATTAAACAGAACCCAAATGGATTTGTTGCAAGATATAAAGTGTGTTTAGTGGCCAAAGGATTTCATCAACGTCCTGGTGTTGACTTCACAAAGATATTTAGTCTCATTGTTAAACCCACAACAATCCGACTTATTTTGAGTTTGGCCACCTCAAAAGGCTAGCATTTATGATAACTCGATGTTCACACTACTTTTTTACATGGGACTCTAACTGACAATCTCTTCATGTAGCAACCTCTTGGCTTCATCCACCCTCAATATCCAAGACATGTTTGTAAACTACAAAAAACTATTTATGGACTTCATCAAGCTCCACGAGCTTGGTATACCGAACTTGGCTCATTTCTAACCTCAATTGGCTTCATCAATTCTAAGTCTGATACATCGTTATTCCTTCGACAATAAAATGAATGCACAATTTATCTTTTGGTGTATGTGAATGATATTATTGTCATTGGCAATGACCCCTTAGAAACTCAAGCTTTCCTAAAGCAATTGGCCAATCGATTCTCCCTAAAAGTTCTAGGAAACTTGAGTTACTTTTTGGGAGTGGAAGCAATATTTACATCTTCAGGTCTCTTTCTATCGCAAAGAAAGTATATTCAAGATCTATTATCCAAAACAAACATACATGATTCAAAAGTAGTTACAACTCCCGTCTTTACTAGTGAATCACTCAAGTTATATGATGGAAGCCCTTCTACGGATTCTACTTAATACTGACAAGTCCTTGACTCCTTACAATACTTAGCTCTTACCCATCCAAACATCTTATTTGTAGTCACTAAATTATTATAATTTATGTATCGACCATCTATTATGTATTGGTCTATGGTCAAACGAATTATGCGATATCTTAAAGGGACCCTCAATCATGGTCTTTTTCTTCGCAATAATTCTCCACTCAATCTCCATGCTTTTGCTGATACTGATTGGACAGGGAACTTTGATGATAGAACTTTGATGATATATTGTTTTCCTTGGAGCTAATATAATATGTTGGAGTTCTAAAAAACAAAAGATAGTCGCACGGTCTACAACTGAAGTTGAATACCGTGTCATCGCCATTGCCGCTATTGAACTCAATTGGATCACAAATCTACTCAAGGAACTCAAAGTCAACTCTACCATTACTCCTATAATATATTATGATAATGTTGGAGCTACCTACTTATGTGCTAATCCGGTGTTCCACTCCCGCATGAAACACATTGCCATCAACTTCTACTTCGGGCGAGATTAAGTTGTCAAACATCAACCATATGTTTCTCATGTGCATACGTCTGATTAACTAGCAGATTTACTCACAAAGCTTTTTGCTCGTAAACTATTTTAATTGCATCGGTCCAATATCGACAATCTTGATAGAAGCTCAATCTTGCAAGGGCATGATAGCACCTATGTTTATATGAACAACATAACATTCAAAGGTAATGGCCTAAAACATCCACCGTAAAAAGGGACTTCACAAGTATATAATAACACTCTTTCACATTAGAGATCTATCTGACTTGCTTACTTAGACTTCAATATCAGAGAGACACTTCTTATTGTAGTTTTGTAGAATTCGAACAATTAATTGAGAAGTTCTACGGGCTTAATAAAATGATCAATTAGATCCGAATTGATTTTTATATAAGATAATCAAGATTTGACTTAATAATTATATATAATTATGACCAGTAAAAGATTAGCTATTATAAATTAAAAAAAATTATATAATAAAAATATATATAGTGAAGCTTGCAAAACACTTGTAAAATAAAATCAACTATATGTTCAAAAAAGAAAAAAAATGAAACGAAACCTACCCTAATCATATCATATGAGTGCACGAGCCTACACCATCACACGTATATAAATCAATCTGATTCATCTTTGCACATGAAATGAAACCTACCGAAAATTGATCATCTTGTAATGGAAAACAAATGTAAATTCCCAATTATCGTGTCGTGTCATTTCAAATCCTTATCCAAAAGCATTTTGAGATTCAAATAACGCATCAATATCATTGATCATTGATCATCAAACTTATCATGAATCTTACAAAGCGATAGTGAAGAAAAGGGGTTGAGAAGATGAGATATCATCAAAGGCTGTCACCATCAACGCAATCAAACCTTCAGATCTTTGGAAGATAAAGTTCAAAATGAAGAGATCACAGACCTACAACGAGAACTTGACATGATTTGCCTGATAGAATCGAGATAAAAAAGGCACACTAAAAGTAGAAAAAATTCAAGAAAAAAAATTGAAGATCGTAATTTGATTAGTCAAAATCAAAATGAAACCGAAAAATGGAAGACGAAGCTTCTCCAAGATTCGCAAAAAACATCAATGAATCATGAACCGTCGATTACATGGGTTCATCCGAGCCGTTGATGTCATGGGTGCGCAACGGATGAGAACCAGTTCCCGGTCGAAGACTATTAAAGTAATTTCACTACCGCAACCTTAGAAACCCTAGCAACCGCTCTATAAATAATCGGACCCCGCTAGGTAAACCCCGTCGGCGTCGCCGCTCACTCCCTAATTTTTTAAGATGTCGAAGCGAGGTGAGGAGCGTGATCCTCTTCATCTCTTGCTGATTTCCTTTTCATGGTTGTTTTTGTTCTAGTGTTTCATTCTTTTGATCTAGTATCAGATTAATCTCTTTGTTGTTCTATCACTCAATGCATTGCTACCTTCTCCGTTTCCTGTTCCCCTTTTGAAGTAGGACTATGTATCTAGGATTTCTTGAAATGAACATGGTTTTTACTTGTTGTTAACAAATTTTCTATGAGATTCCTTATGTTTTTATTATGCTCTATGAAAAGTTTTCATTTTTCCATGGAAAGGGAACCCATTGTTGAAGTTTAATCCTTAGCAAATGTGATAATGATTACCCAATTCATAGGAAAGATAAGACTTTTTAGTTGTATATTTCGTTATTTTTGATGTGTTTGGCTATTGTGACGCATAGGACGAGGAGGATCCGCTGGAAATAAGTTCCGCATGTCGCTGGGTCTACCGGTGGCTGCCACTGTCAATTGTGCCGACAACACTGGCGCGAAGAACCTCTACATTATATCCGTGAAGGGGATCAAGGGCCGGCTGAACCGTCTCCCATCTGCTTGCGTTGGGGATATGGTAATGGCAACTGTCAAGAAGGGCAAGCCAGATCTCAGGAAGAAGGTCATGCCTGCCGTCATTGTGAGGCAGCGGAAACCTTGGCGCAGAAAGGATGGCGTCTATATGTACTTTGAGGGTATCGTTTTCGTCTCCTAACTTTATACTATATGTTTTGGTTATTCTTAATTGTTCATTTGCGTGTTTCTTGCCTTCGATAGTTTGTATTAGCTTGTTACAGGACTCGCTGCTTCATATTCTGTCTTTTGTACGTAAATTTCTTTGTTGTTTGTAGAATTTTGGTTCTTTTCCTCTTTCCTCTTTATGTTATTCGTAGAAGTCTGCATAAAAGGCTTAATTTTTCGCATTATTGGCAAATGATGAATTTTACTTGTTGTGACGGAGGTGATTTTTGGGTAAAAATCTCCTCTACTTCTCGGAGCAAACCAATTGTGTTTGTATATTCCAAAAGTAAACGTCGCATATCAAATCTTCGGATGTTGATGGTTCTTCCTGGAAAAGTTTAATCTTTATCGGGAAGTTTCTCCATCTGAAGGCGGTCCCATATTCCATCGCCTGGAGTAGTAGCATTGCTGCCATTACCTCTCGGGACTGGCCATGGGACATACATCTCGCTTCATTTAAAACTATAAGTCTATTTTGCATATCATATAGTGTTACAGATGTTTTTTATTCCTGAATTGCCTGTCTTTGCAAAGAGTACCTCTATCTGGGGCTTTTCTTGTACTCCACTGCTCATGCATCTGATTTTTTATTAGAGAAATTGTGTACATCCATTTAGTTTTTAATTTGCTTCAATCTGTTGACGGAGGAGACTTTTCAGGGGGAAAATCTCCTTTACTTGTTGGAGCAAACCAATTATGTTTGTATATTCTAAAGTAAACGTCACATAAAAAGCTTTTTGATGTTGATGGCTCTCCCTGTAAGGTAAATCCTTGCAGGGGTTTCTCCATCCTGAGGCGGTCTCATATTCCATCGCCTAGAGTAGCAGCGTTGCTGCCATTACCTCTTGGGACTGGCCATGAGACATACATTCAAATAGTTGATTAAAAACCAAACCACAGCTGTTGCTTAAATCTTTGTTTTGGTCTATAGATTTATTATTTGTGAAACTTTGTTCATTTTGACAGAGTAGGTTTATCATGATTTAAGTCTTCTTTAGTAAGATTTTCTAGAGTTATAATAGAGGCATTTTAATATATATATTATTTTGAAGTGTAAATTTTCTTTATGCACCCATGGTCTTTTGAAGTTGCTTCCGATCTGGAAGAGTGGCCTCCTTTAGGTCATTCTGTAGAGGAAGCATATATATGTGATATGGCCAGTGTTAAACAGCATGTTGTTCAGTAATAGCATCATGTTACCTGTCTTCTGGTAAACTATATATATATAAAGTTGAAAATATTTTCATAAAAAATGAAGCAGAGAAGTGGGTTCTTAATTATACATTTCATTGGAGAAAAAAAGATAGATTTCAATAGAGTTTCCTTTTGAGAGCTTCTGCTTGTTCATGTTATTGTTATCAGACCCAAATGTGGTACAGCTAGATTTGTTGCTAGTCTCTTGGTATCTTGTCCCCTACTTTTTAATTTTGTTAGCATTTAATTTCTGTGAATAATTCATTCCAGAATTGCATGAAAGCCTCTATTTTTCTAAAATTATATATATATATTTTGTGTAGATAATGCTGGCGTTATTGTGAATCCAAAGGGGGAAATGAAAGGTATTTTTTCTTTGAACTCGTTATTTGGGCTGTGGCAGTCAATATTCCTCTGTTTAAATTGTCTTTTTATCTGGACATTTATTAACTGTTATGTTTTCCTTTTTGGCTTCTTGGCTCGTGTTCTTCAAATTTATTGACTTATTATTCCATGTTTTTTCTCAGGATCTGCTATTACAGGACCCATCGGCAAGGAATGTGCTGATCTGTGGCCTAGAATTGCCAGTGCTGCTAATGCCATCGTTTAATGATGTGCTTTTTGCAAGGCTTGCGTAAATTTGGAGTTTTGTTTCATCTTGATAAATCTAGGACAATAATAATTATATCTTCGCTTGTTTCATAATTAAACCAATAATAATTATATCTTCGGTTTTCTCTTTGTATCAGTATTCATTCGAAATCGCTGGTCGATACTATGCTTCTAATGCAACTTTTTTAGTAGGAATAGCTTTGGTGCTATTCTCATAAACATGAGCATGCGTAATGCTCTTACATTTACCTAATAACTGCTTGTCTAACTATATTGAATAATAGCCTCGTGGGCCTTCTCTTCATGCGCTTTCCCACTGCATGAGAAACAAGAAAGCCTCCAACTGCGTCGCCTTCCCTTCTTTCTCCCGACTACGCTGCTTGATTGGTCTTCCGTCTCATGTTCCGGCGTCATCTCAGCTTTCCACGTCTCCAGTTTGGTCTCCAATTCCTCCCTCTCCCGCTCCTCTGCGTCTCTTTCCGTCTCCGCTGATCCGGTCCTCTCCAGCTGCGGTTCGCCGCAGTCGGCCGGCGGCGACGTTTCGCTGTTGTACTTCTCCTGTTTCGCACCGATGAGGTCTTTGTAGGCGAAGGCCGCCAGGGACTGGAGGTCGAAGGACAGCGGCATGATCTTGTCGGAGTCGTGGAGGGCGACGCCGAGGTTGAGGATGCCGTGGGGGCAGAGCGTGGAGGGGCGGCGCACCTGGAGGGCCACGCAGCGGCCGGCTCCGGGGGCTAGGCGGAGGGCGCTGAGGACGACGCGGACGGTGCCGAGGAGGTGGTCGCGGAGGGGGCTGAGGCGGCCGCGGGCGGCGTGGAGGTGCACGTTGACGGCCGAGGTCTCGGAGCGGAGGAATGCGTCGTCGACGCGGAAGACGAACTTGTCGTTCCAGGTTGGGTCGGTGACGCCGGCGCGGTCCACCCGGGTGTAGAGCTTGTGCTTTGGGTCGACCCATGCGGACGCGTAGGCCTGCAAGGACCGGGAAGCGGGGAAGAGCCCCTGGCCGGAGATGATGGTGATCTCGAGGAGGTGGAAATGCATTGCTACGGGGGAGCCGATGGTGGTCGAATGGTGGTGGTGATGGCGACCGAAGGAGCCACCATCCACCGGCTTCATGGCGGGGCTTTCCTCCAAGGTGAAGCGATACTTGCTTATGTACCAGGAGACGGGAGGAAGACGCGCCCTGGGGAGGCCGAGAATAGCCAGAGCTAAAGTTGGCATGGGGTCAAAACTTGGTTCGAGCAACACGTTTGCAGCCCCACATTTGCACCCGGCTCACCTGCACGATTGTGATTGGCTTATCTGACATGTCCTACTAAAGTAAAGAGAAAGTGGGTGTTTTGATGGCGTACACTTAAGGGTCGCTGGTCTTGCGATTGGTGTGTCGTGACGCGCGCTTATCACGAGCCGGTCAATCGGAAATAGCCAACACATAATTGGCATTGTGGCTGAACCAGACCCGAACCCTGTTCTCCTACAATGAATCAGTTCCGTGGCATTGTGTTAATAAATGTGTAACTCATCTTTATTTTTTAGATAATTATATTATAAATAATGAATCAATTATTTTTATTTTAGATAATTAAAAAATAAAACTAATTAGGGTGAATTCACGTGAGAATCATTAAAAAATAAGTATATATTTATTTATTTTTATGGACTTGGAGAGGAAGAAGCAATGTAAGAAGAACTGATCATATTCAATGCACATAATAAATCCATAAAACTCGAACTAATGAATGCGACTGATCCAATTGAAGTAAGCCGGTGACCGCGTGGGTCGTTGGGTTGCGTCTCGAATACCAGCGGCCTGGGTTCTGCGTTCGAGCATATATAAATGAGCGTTCGAAGCCCTAAATTGGCCGTGTCTTCCCTCTCGCGCTCGCGGCCTTGGTACGGTTCCGGTGTCGTCGGTATTCTTCCCTCCTCCCCTCGTCCTTCGGATCCTTTCCACCGGCGATTCCCCTCGGTGTCACGATCCCTCCTAGCTGAGGCATTTGCCTTGAATTCTCTCTCGTTTCGGAGATCTCGCCTATACCTTGATCCACGGGCTTCCCCACCCGAGTCCGAGGTACAATCACCCTCTCTCTCGCGCTCTTGTTTGATCGGAGTTGGTGTTTTGATCTGGTTTTGGTGTTGTTAGATGCTTTTTGTTCATTGGGCGGATACTTTATCTCGAAGCAATCCTCTCTGGAGTCGTTCCTCGAAGATTTTCGTTAGTTTAGAGTTCTGTTTTTTGCGAATGCTTTCGTCTTAGCATTTAAGCCTCGTTTAAGGTTATTGGAAGAAAAGCGCCTATCTTTTTGTTATTTTTCATGATATTAAGGGGAAAATTGTGGATTTTTGTGATATGACACGATGTAACTGACCCAATCAAACGGGGTAAACTGCTTTAACTAGTCCGATCGTGTTGGACAAGTGCAACATGGAACACTTCAGTTCGGTTTTTCTTTCTTTTTCATGAGGACTTCAACTTCTTTTATCTTGTTATGCTTTTAATGTCACATAGTAATATCATAGACTCAAAACACTCTGGATTTCTATATAACACCTCTCTCTCCTGTTTTATTGTGTATCTAGTATGAATTTTTATAATTTGAATAGTTGATTTGATTTTGTCTACTTTCAGGAGTAACATGTTTAGAGAACGAAATGTCTCAATCCTGGGCAGATAATGTCAAGTCTTCATCTGGATCCACTTCGCAGTCCAGTCCCCACCTTGTGTTTCCACATGTTTCGCATACCAATTTGAAGCACAGGTGGAAATATATTATAGTATAATTATTTGATTAGTTCTTAGTTATATTGCTTTTGTTTTTTTAAATTTCTTTCTTCAAAAGTATGCTATTGATGTGCTACATAGTTCTCTAATAATTCTTATCTTGTTCATATGGTGCCTTCATAGAGACACTTGCTCTATGGATATTAAAAGTAATAAAAGATAGCATATGAAGATGCCCAAGCAAAGCAGGGTTTATCTTAGACGTACCATGGATTTTAATAGGGAGAGAGCGATGTTGCTGTGGTCCTCTAATAATAGTCTTATTGGTAGTTATATCTGCTTGTGTCAACCTCCAAATAAGTCCTTGTTGTTTGCGCTCAAAGACAATAGGCCTTTAGCAATCAAGTATCAGAAGGACCCTTTTGGATGGTAGAAAGGTGTGGAAGAGTAGTGGTTAGAGGTTTGGGATAATGATGGTTAGAGGTAATTAAGAAATAGAAGGCTTGGGGATTGAACATGAACAATGTGACTGTGAAATGGTGGATCATGGATTGGGCCTGGACTGTAAATGGAGATATTAAATAGCTGGTGGTTTAAGATAATAAGGTGGATAAAGGGATAAGGAAAAGAGGTGACAGAGAGGTTGATGCCTTCAACACACTCTGATTCATCATATTGGTTTTGAGTGGGAATGGGTAGCCACTTCCTCATAGAAATACAATTTCTTGACTTGTTCATTAGTGCTAGTGTTTATTACTCTCATTGCTTCTTGCATTTATATAATTAGAATGGGAGAAAAATAAAATGGAAAAATAATGTAGAACAAGATGTAAAATCTTAAACATATGTTTTGATCAATCTATTATGCCTAACAAGGAAAAAAAATTGGGATCCATATTGGCCTTTTATTTGGTCTTTTATTGTCTGTCAATACAGATTTTGAGCTACTCTCAATGTTGCTTTTATTGTCTTATTTTGATGCATCATAGCAGCTATCTTCATATGATGTTTCAGAGATAGAAATATCGATGCACTCATGTGTTAATTTCGATTCATATATGTGTTAGATATGAAACTGAATTTTCAGAAATACTAATCCAGTCCTTTTAGATCCAAACCAATCAACCATTCACATTTGAGTTTCTCTGTTTTAGAAATGTTTTTCAGTTGTTAGCATGGAGGGAGATATCTCCTCGGTCTAAGCATAAGAAACAGCTTTGGAAAGAAGGCTCAAACTGGAGTGCTGATTATGTTGCACTAAGATGTGAAAAATTGGATGCTAGAAATGCTTTGGCTTCTTGGTAACGTAGCTTCTGTATGCTATATTTCATTAATGGCTTGTTATTTTTGAAAAAAATCATATAATGCCATTTTTTAGGCATCATATAGAGTAATTTATTGTTCTAAATTTGTAGTTGATGATTCTAAGTACACATGATTATGAGAAGGTATATGTTGATCTATTGGCATTTGGATTTCTCAGGGTAGAAGCAGAGTCTTTGCGTCATTTATCTGCTAAATATTCTCCTCTTGTGCCTCCTCCAAGGTCCACAATTGCAGCAGCATTTAGTTCTGATGGAAATACAATTGCTTCCACACAGTAAGTTCATTCCCCTGCTTCAGCTGTACTACATACATAGTCAGTCATAACTAACTGAATATGTTTGCAGTGGTGACCACACTGTCAAGATAATTGACTGCCAAACAGGGAACTGTTTAAAGGTGTTAAGTGGTCATCGACGGACACCTTGGGTGGTATGTGCACATATTGTTTGTATGCTTTTTCTTTTTTATGTTTGTGCATTACTATAATGAACTGACGTCGGTGGAGCTTGCTTGCATTTTACAATATTCTTGAGTAAAAAAAAAGTTTGCCATTGCGAATATCTGGTCCATTTTTTTGGTTCACTTGCGCTTCACTTCTACTTTCACTGTCACTTCCTTTCTAACAACTCCAGTATGTCAGCCTTTCTAGGACTGGTCTGTTTTGTTGATTCCTTTAACATTGAAAATTTCTTGTTCTGTTCGTTAAAATTTGTTTTGCATTATGATCCCTGTTTTACATTCTTATTACTTTCTCTTGCTGGAAGGGATTTGCTTATTGGTTTTTAAGTTGCAAGATACAGATACTAGATTTACAAGCTGATGGTATAACCTGTCGTTTGTTTCCCATGGTTACCATTATGATCTTCACTGTTCTAGTCTGAGTTCTTGAAAAACTCTAGTTTTGTGTGTATGTTTTCTTCAAGATTATTGTATTAAACTCTTTTCACTGTCTAATGTCTCATCCAGGTTAGGTTCCATCCATTACACCCAGAAAAACTTGCAAGCGGTAGCTTGGATCATGAAGTTCGATTATGGGACACAGAGACAGCAGATTGTATAGGGTCACATGATTTTTGTATTACCCTTTAACACATTTTTGAAAACTTCTTTTAATACAAGTCTGACATCTGGTTACCTTTTTTGATTGCTCGATATTCTACCTTCGTCAGATTCAAACATTTGTATTTTCTTTTTTATTTGCAGATCGTCCTATCGCCTCTATTGCTTTTCATGCCCAAGGAGAACTTCTTGCTGTAGCTTCTGGCCATAAGGTGAGTTGTTTTTGGATGACATGAGAAGAAATTGAGTTCACTAATAGAAAATCTTCCCGTTGCCTGTCGATGACCGATTTTTATTTTTTTTATTTTGGTGTGTTGAAACTCCATGTGATATACATTTGGCAGCTGTACATATGGAACTACAACAAGAGAGAAGAGGCTTCTTCTCCTACTGTTGTTCTAAAGACTCGGCGCTCCTTAAGGGCTGTACATTTTCATCCTCATGGTGCTCCATTTCTGTTAACAGCTGAGGTTGATTTATCTTTTTGGATTCATTGTTGGACTGATGTTTTTAGATGTTTACATTGTACCAACTGTAATAGTTCCTTGCTTTACAGGTTAATGATCTAGATTCTCCAGATTCACCTTTGACTCTTGCAACATCATCGAGTTATTTACACTATCCTCCGCCTACAGTTCTTTTTGCTAATTTAAATTCTGATCTCCGTCAGCATCAGATGGATAAGTTGCCCCTTATGCCTTCTCCTTACTTCTTTTGGCCAACATTTGTAAATGATGATGGAAGGAGGACTTTGCAGCATGCTGGTGGGACAAGCAGCTCAGCCAGTGGACAGCCAAAAGCAGACTCTTCTATGTTGTCTAGTCAGAGACAAATACCAGATGCTGCTAACCAGTATGATAATTTGGTGGCCCCCATGGATATATCTCCTGGAGAACCATCTGACATGAATTTTATGACCGATAATAGAGTTTCTACGATGACTGGAATAGATAAGGCATCGGAAAGTGCGGAAACCAATGAAGGACAATCGACACCAGAGTTTCAGGCAAGAAGCTCTACTGGGATTTCTGAGAGGTTGGATGCTTCTGGTAATGTGTCATTGACTACGTCTGCTCAGATTCGTGAGAGGTCAGATGCTTCTGGTAATGTCTCATCGACTACACCTCAGGAAAGTGGAATGGTTGAAAGAGAACCGATTGGGTTAGGTATAGCTGTTCCACCTATTATTTCCACAAGCGTCTCCAGCGATGGTAATCCCATATTAATCCCTTTCCATGATCCTCCATGCTGGGAGCTGCCTCACCTGCAGGGCTGGTTAATGGGTCAAACTCATTCCAGCTTGCACACAAGATCTGTTAATGGTGGCTTAGAAGGAAATTCAGGCATGATTCGTCAAATAGGATCCAATTCCTTGACCTCTGAATTACAATATAGCCATAATGCAGAACGTTTAGTGGCTTCCTCGATGGCAAACCTAGTTGGCCATTCTAGGGTGACTGCAAGATCTGGTTCTCGTCATCGTTCAAATTCACGTTTACTGGCTTCGACAGGTGTCAGCCAAGTTTCTTTGTCTCATAATTCCCAGACCGATGATGCTGAGCCTCGTCGTGGTCCAAGTGGTATTGGATCCGAGGTTCCAACATCATTGGCTGCAGCAGCAGCTGTTGAATTACCTTGTACTGTGAAACTAAGGATATGGCCGTATGATATACAAGATCCATGTGCTCCTTTGGAACTAGAGACATGCCGTTTAACTATACCTCATGCAGTTCTTTGCAGGTGCACTTGCTCTCCATGATAGAAAAAATTTACTTTTCTTTTAGGGACTCTTATTTGCAACAATTATAATGTTAGAGTGCTGCATGATATTCGTATCATAATATAATGGCAGAACACATTATATTAGAATGTGCTACTCTTGGTTATTGATGGCATCTATGTAAAATACTTACATGTGAATAATTGTGACAGTGAAATGGGCACTCATTTTTCTCCTTGTGGGCGATTTTTGGTTGCTTGTGTTGCATGCTTGCTTCCTCACGTGGAAGGTGACCCTGGAACACAGTCACAAATGCAACATGATGCTTCAGGGGCTGCAACATCACCAACGCAACACCCAATTTCGGCTCAGCAAGTTATGTATGAGCTTCGCATCTACTCTCTTGAAGAAGCAACGTATGACATAAAACCTTTCTTGTAATTTTAGTGGTAAAACTGTCTTTTTACATATTGATTTTCTTCAATATTTTTTGTGATCTGTAGCTTTGGTATGGTGCTTTCTTCAAGAGCAATAAGAGCTGCACACTGCCTAACTTCTATTCAGGTTGGCACACTTCATTATTGAATTAATTAATTATATGTATAAATGATTATTAGTTTTAGGTTTTTTTATAAACAAACCGCCTCGACTTCCTCTCAACCATAGTTTTTCATATATAAAATTGTTCCTAGATGAAGTTGTTTCTCTTTGGTGTCCCTATTTATGATGCTTGTACAAGTACTTTTATCTAATGTGATGGACTCTTGAGGAGTTGTAGATGAAGCTACAACATATATTGTAGAATGCTCAGGGTGCAAGGAATGGCATGAGAACAAGAAACGACTACCTGGATCAGTTCTTATGAAATTATTACTTCAAAATAATATATCTATATTCTGATGTTGCAACATATTTTGATTGTGAAGAATAATCTGTTGCTTTTGCCTAGTCCATTGTGTACAAGTTTTTTTTTTTTTTTCACTTTGGTAATTTCTCTATGCTGTACCATAGAGAAATCAACAAGCTGAGGGACAGGCTATCCTGGAGGCTTTACAAAGAGCAAGAAGCAAAGGATGGAGGAAGATTTTAATTCACTCTGATTCCCTTGAATGGACCAAGTATATATCTGGCTCTACTCAGATACCCAGACACTCGAGGGCTTTACTCAAAGATATTTTGGGCATTGCCTCAGGTTAATGTAATTGGATTTCAACATGTAAGCAGAGAAAGCAGAGACTGAGTTGGTTTAGGTTAGGACTGAGTACTATATGTTTGGCATGTCTTTTAAGTCATGAATTCAAAAATTAAGCTGATATGGCCTAGATTGATTGATAGGGATTAGAATCAAAGGCACAATTGAAACCTTGAGAAGTTAGGTTCTTTAGATATAGCATCCTTCAATTGGCTGGGATCAATCAGTTCTGAAAAGAAATTGGCCCACAAGGACCATCATTAATATATCTTGGTATTTTGATGGGTCATGGTCCAGCTTATTGCTGATTAAGAAATAGGAGAAAAATAAGGGAGAAATAAAAAAAATCAACTGCTTGATAGATTTCTTCTCAGTTTCTTAGTAAATGCTATGGTGGTTGCACCACCATAAGAATTTGAACCACTGTAAAGGAAGTAGCTACTTTCCTTTATTTCTTGGGTCATTAAACATTAGAATTCCTTTGTATTGTTGTGGTGGTCCATGCTGACCAGTATGGTCGATATTGGAATCAATGCTAATGGCCACTGTTGACTATTAGGCACTAGCAATAATACTACTATATTACTCTTGTGTGCAATAAGATCTTTCTGATTCAGCAATTTGAGACTAGTTGTTAATGTCACTCAGCAGCAATGATTATAAGGAACTCTTGTCACACTTTGATTCTCAGCTAATCTTCCACTCATCTACTCAGGATCAACTGCCTCCGTTGTCCATGTGCACCTTTCTGAATTAGCCACCATCATCACTGCTGTCAACATCATAATCATGATTCTAGATTTTTTGAAAACTATTATTAGAAAGGAAGAAAATTTGTCATTATTTCACTTATCAATGATATCTTATGGGTATTTGATTGTAATAAGCTATGTGGCCTTACTGCACTTTTGAATGACTGGAACCGACTTTTTGTGACATGAGCTATGGTGCGCTAACTTCTGTGCCACGACCTCCTAAAATAAGATCAGGTCTGTGAGCAAAGTTTTAATACTGGTTGGAGCGGTGTGTATTGATAGGTATTTACCAAATGGACCATGTACTAATATCTAAAAATGTAGCTCGATATTAGAAACATTCATTTTCTAGTTTTTGTTATTTTATTCAATGATTCCGGCTAATGTAGTGTGCCTGATAGGTTACTGAAACTGGTTTTTAATCAGTTGTAAATCCTTGTTCATTAGTATCCAACTATGGATCTGACCATGATGTCTTTAGATTCAGCCTAGATTAAGGCTAAATCTGCATGAGTCCAGCTTCAATCCATATAGATCGAAGCTTGATGTGTTCCCTTCTATGATATTCTTGATATGTCATTAGTTTCCTTCTTTGCACAAAATCTTCAATTAAGATGATTATTTTTTCTTCCATGTCCATTTATCTTCTTCTGCTATGCAATTACTTCATTTTCAAACAACCCAAGTTAAGAAATTAAAAAATAAAAAAAGTCTTCGGCATCACATCTATTTATATGAAATTGTTTTGCCAAGACATAAATCTGCAACTCTCATATCCAGATGGAGTTTGATTGATTGAATCTTGGATTTATGAAGCTGAATTATCCAACCAATGGTTCTTAGTTCTAGTATACCAGGTGACCTTTCGTCCCAGTTCAGATTCGGATCTCATCCGAAGCTCATGTTGCAAGAAGAAAATTGCTAGTATTTTATTGAGCTAAGCTTTTCTTTCAATAATAGAAGAAGTTTCTTGGTTGTTTTGACAAATGATTTGGTATTGCATACTAAGCCACTAACAAAGTTAATATATTGTAATGAAATTGTAGTCACTGGAAAATCTAAATTTGATGTGGTACATTAACATGATGATGTTTACTGTTGTTTAGTAATCTTCCTATGAGTCTTAAAGTCTATATTTTTGTAGTACTTGTGCATCCAACATGGGTCTTTTTTCTCTTTGTAGTTCTCACCTACTTCAGAACATATACTATTAGCATATGGTCGGCGTCATAATTCACTTCTTAGGAGCATTGTTGCGGATGGGGAGACTGCAATACCTATCTATACAATCTTAGAGGTATGTGTTATTTAGCTACTCTATTTTTAAGGCATCTGTTTTTTCTGTTCCTGCTGCTAGTTTAAACAAAGGTCTCCGATTGCATAAGTTGGTTTTAGTATTAAGGCTCTGATTTCTGTTAGTTCTGCTAGTTCAAACAAAGGTCTTGTATTATGCTATTTTTATTGCATCTTTTGGTTATATCTCAAAACTTCAAAAAAATGGGACTTAACCTCATGTCATGAACTATTGACCAGCATTTTAAGTTTCTTTTATTTAGTTAGAACCCTTTAGTAGGAACTTCAATTTTCTTTAGGTCTTAGCTGGAGTTTGAAATGCTACATGTGCGAATTTTCCATGGCAAAACACAGTGATCTTTGATGATGACTTATGAAAAAAAAAAAGTTCTCTTGCAACCAAATTGCAGATGACCTGAAATCATTACAACCTAGGATAATTATAACTTATTGTATGATATTCCAAATATTCTTGAATGTGTATAGAATAAAGAATGATCTTATCATGATGACGGGACAAAAGAAAAAGTTCTCAAGATTCATAACCATTAGAAAGTGAAGTGAATTACAAAGCAAATTCACCAAAGAGGAATGCCTCAAGGGCCAATCTACAAATAAGAATAAGCTACTGAAAAGATTCTTATTGTGGGATCAGTGAGAGACATTCAATTGTGACAAAGGTGGCTACTTATCTAGTGTTGAGGCACCCATGTAACGGTTATCATGATACTGTTTCTTAGTTATGCTTTACTGCTTGGAGCAGACTAATAGTAATTTAAAAGTCATGTTATATTTTGTTGATTAAACTGAAAAGTATATTAGTTAGGTTATCATGCTTGAAAGCATAGAGGTCTCATATGTGCCTCTAAGTGGAAAGCATAATTAAATGTCTGTTGTTAATTGGAGGACTTATAAAGGTTCTTTAGGAGTTTGTTTAATAAAATGTCTACTATATATGGTAAACATACATTCCTGTAATTTATCAAATTTCTTGCCAGTTTAATTTTGAGATCAAAATAAACGCTTTTGGTCTACTCTTGTGCACCATGATATCGTATGATTCATTTGCACAATAAACTGTAGCTTGTGAAGAAATATAAGGATAGCATTTTGATTTGTCCACTACCTTATAAGATGCTCAGTTTAGTAATGTACCTTCTTCATTCTAGCATTATCTTTTGTTGAAGAACATTTTTGGCCTAATGCTCAACTTGTTCTAGTCACTTATTAACTTTCCATCTAATATTTAATCACTGATAACCTCCATAATGATTGATTTTTATACTAAAGCTGTCAAATATGATTTATGATAAGATATCTGTCTTCTGTAATATTTTCAAAGGTAAGCTGTCAATGAAACGTTATCTGTTATTTATCATCTCACAGAAAAAAAAAAACTTCATCTGAAATAACAGGGTCTGGTGGACTAAAGGTTTTAACGAACCATGTTGCTTATAAGTATAAACTTTCCTTCAAAATGGGAACAATAGAAGCAGTCTTGGTTTTAATAAAGATTTACTGGCTGCATTTGCGTGTTGGCATTGTTGTCCTTAAATGCGTGTTGCTTAACTTCTGTTTTCTGAGCATGTGAAGGTCCTAAGATGGCAAGTAAGGCACATTTTCTTGCTTCACTGTTCCTTGCAGTGTTTGTCATCTGCTAGCTGGTATCTTCTTTTGATATGTTCCAACCAGTTAGTACCTTCACCTTTTAAAAATATTTCTCTGTTGCTGGTCTTCTCCCAGGTCTATCGAGTTTCAGATATGGAGCTTGTGAGAGTTCTTCCTAGCATGGAGGACGAGGTGAATGTTGCATGCTTTCATCCATCTGTTGGTGGTGGTCTAGTTTATGGAACTAAGGTGAAATGTAATTTTTTAGGAGTTCTTGAGGAACTTATACTGCCAGTTTGAGCTCTACATAATGTTTTGATGGCAAAAATTCAGGAAGGCAAACTTAGAATTCTCCAATATGATGGTTCAGATGGCACAAGTTGCATGGGACCAAATACTTTTATCGAGGAAAATATGCTTGAGGTAATTGCTTTAGGTTTACTGTTCCTGCATCTTGAGTAACCGTCTTTATTAATTCACTTCTGTTTCTGTATCCTTGATTTTTTTTTTGGCTTATTTTGACAATTTTATCTTGTACATGCTAGAGTAGGTTAGAGGACGGGCTTTAGTACAATGGTAAAGTTTTTCCTTAAACCTGGGAGACCAAGGCTTGAGTCTCGGAAATAACCCTTCTGTATTTAGAGTGAAGGCTGCATATATTGATCCTCCCCGACTCTCTATTTGTGGGAGTCTCATGCACTCTTTACATGCTAGAGGAAGTTCAGCTGGTATCTTCTTTGAGAAACTCAAACACAGATGTATCAAAATCAAGTAATCGACAGGGCTTTTAGGCTTTGGACTGGTGCCACTTGGAAATGACATGTAGCCTCTTGAATGCATACAAGATAACTGAATGGTCAATGGTGCCTTACTCTAGGCTAATATGGAAGGAAGCCTTGTACTAAGATTGGTAAAATTTCTGGAGAACATAGTTCAATAATCAAACATGTATCTCAATTGAGACATCTTTATGCTGAAAAAAATCAACTTGGACATTCCTAACCAGACACAGTATGAATTGCAACATTGTATTTGGCCATTAAAATTTTTCTTCAGGGTAATGCAGTACATGGGCATGCATATGACATTTCTCTTTTTCATATTCTTGATTTAGGATGTTAGATAATGCTGTGTAACGTGATTTCTTAACTTATATTTTCAGGCCTTGACTTCAATCAATGAATTGTAGATATGCATTCAAATTTTATAATCACTACATGTCTGATCTATGCTGCAAAGCAAATGTATAATGTATACAAAAAATCATAAGCATTCCAATAGGATATTCCAAAGAGATTTATCTATCACATATTAGTCTAACATAGCTTATTGTAACAGCATTATTACAGACAATTGCTCAATTTCTCTGTGTTATATACCCTATGTATGTTAATACTTTTAAGCTTAATAAGAGGATTTATTGGTTTAGAAAAAAATTTCTAGTTATCTCATTCACATTTATTAAGAGGACAAGTACTTAGGATACCTTCGGATACGATAGTTAGAAGAGATGAAATGATTAATGTTAATGATACGAGAAGAAACAGAGAAAGACCTAAAAAGATCTTAATAAAAACTATAAATAAAGATTAAGTATTTTAAACTTAATTAAATATATGATTTTTTACATATCTCAATGATAATAAAAGATCCTTGTAGCTGACCCAGATGGTTGAGACTCACGGCTTTGTTGTTGTATCTCATTCGCATTTAATGGTAGTATTTTTCCAAAAATGTTATTGTATCTCATGTCTATATGAATGAAAATTCTCATTTCCTACAATATATGTGAGTAGTGTGAGATCACATTTTTTCCCTTGAGTGAGTATAGCACTTGATAGTACCTTCTGTCATGTCTTTAGTTGGGATTGCCTAAGACGTGCGACACCCAAGCGATATTCATCCACAAGGATTAGCCTAAACCTTAACATTGTGCAGTCCACAAAGGACTTGCACAATGAAGAAAATGTTCAAAAGACGAACACGCAGGTAATTTGTCGTCGTTGCGCATGAAAAGGATAAGATACTCATAATCCAAAGCAACACAAAGCAACCCATGTTTATTAGGCCCAAATGGGTCTTGAAAACGGGCTGCATGAGCGCACACAAAGGGGGAGTTATAGTGTGTTTGTCTAATGGATTTTTGATAACTAAGAATAAATCAAAGATCAACCTTAAGTCCTTATCTTCCACTATTAGTTATAAACAAACTTACTAGTCATTACAGGATAGTGTTGTTTGGTAAAATATTATTTGCTGAGGATATTGTTTTGGTTGATGAGAATTATTTGGGATTAATTCTGAACTTGAGTTATAGAAACAAATCTTAGCGCTAAAGGTTTTTGATTATGCAGGACTAAGATCAATTACATAAAATGTAGCTTTGGATATCTTAAAAACAGAGAGATTTATGTAAGATGTTTGGACAAAAGTTTCTAAGTAAATATTGTAGATATATTAGACTTACTATTCAACAAGGATAAGACACTGATGAAGACATTGTCTATAGGGTAAAAGTTGAGTGGTTATAGTAGAAAGGGGTGGCATGCACAAAGTTAGTATAGTTGAGATGAGAATTTTGAGATGAGTTTTCATTCAAAGAAAAATTAGGTGGTGCCTGATGTGATTAAACAATGTGAGCCAATTAGGATTTGTGGTGGGAATTGAGGAAGATCTAAGAGGACTTTGTTAGAAATAATATGATGATATTTGAATCTTCTTAATTAATTAGAGATATTGTATTACATAATTCAAAAATGGGAAAAGATCCATAAAGCCGATCCCTAATAATTAATACATTTTTGCTTGTTGTTGAGTTGTCATCATTGTCGTCGTCGTTGTCATATTAATGTTTCAAGAATAATACATATGGAATTCTCTTTGGCTTGTGCCATTGTGTAAACATTGATTCAAAGACAGTAGCTTTGGTGTTTTTGTTGAGTCATTCTAAATTATCACACACTTAATGGACATGGTTAACACAATTACTTTGTATGGCTATCAAGGGATTATGTGCTGGACAAATTATCCTTTTTTTATTACTTTCATTGGTTACAGGCCTTTAAATATCAGCAAATTTGTTAATTTAAAGATTGAAATACTGATATTCTTTCATTATAACAGCCCGTTTGAACTTTTTATTAATTTTTGTATTGTAGATCCAGAAGTATGCCTTAGAATGCTGAGAGCAGGCAAGTGCTGTTAATTAAAAAGAGTTCTCATTTTCTTGGTATTGCTTCTTACCTTTCTTTTACTTGTTGGTTCCTTTGCTTTTTAGTGAATGTCCAATGTTTCTATTAGCTCTTAAAGCATCTAGAGTTCATCTAGAGTTATATATATATATATATATATATATATATATATACAATGCTTACTTTGATGTTACATTTTGGTGATTGCAATTTAAATGGCATGTAGTATATAATTCGAACTTGAGGTGGAAGTTATTGAAGTGGTGACTTTGTATGTATCTGTAATGATGAATAGCGTTTGTCTACATCATAGGCATTTTCCTCGTTCTTTTGTTGTCTGTTATATACTATTTCAATTGTACAAATTACACTAGGGTCAATGTTCGTAATTATGCATGCAGGTAGTGAACCGATGAAGGCTCAGACTGGTACTGTATCAGTCTCAGTATGTCAGCACATACTGGGTTTCACAAAACCCTGATAACAGTCGACAAATAAAAAAGTTACCCGGTACATGGTCTGTATTGTCTTATACTAGATGATTCAAGTTCCATACAGGGCATATCACCTGATGTACCTTGATCGATGTAAGGTCCCAACGACAAATACCTCTTTGGCAGACAAATAATTAGTATCACAAGACCTTGGACATAGATTAGTTACGAAGTATCAATTCCGAGTCCCCTTTTACTTTGTTTTTTCTGTGACTTGTTTCTGATTAAAACTTAAAAAATAAATGCTTAGATCTTGGTTCTAGCTGCATGCGCTTTGCTCACTTATTATTGAAAACATGGATTGCAGCATGTTGAATTCACTCCAAGATATAGCGTAGGCGTCAGAACCACCTGTAATTGAACTCAGACAGATCATGCAGCAGATGTTCTTTCAAGTGATGTTTGAGACTTGGTAAGTTACCTTAACCCTGTGACACTAGGAAGTGAATTTGCTTTTTGAGAGTAGGTATGGAGGCTAAAGCCCCGATTCGTCGGGGTTTGAGCCCTCTAGGTTTTGTTGGTCATGGTAAAGTGATTGACTTCGTATTGCCATCAGCTGGTCAACAAGTTTTCAAGTGAAATTGATTAATGAAGATGGGAGGAGAGACAACGTCACTAGGTTGCACAAGGCTGCAAGAGTCCACAAGGGCCAGATATGTTACCATAATTTGCTGTATGATTGCAAATGCACCAGAAAATTCATCTAGAGGTCCTGTAAGCTATATGCATCCAATATATGTAGGTATATGCTGTCATATGCTGCAGTTAAATTTGAGCATGGATATCCGTGCTCTCTTGTCATTGACAGATTTTTATTTTTAGTTTTTATTTTAGATGACAACTCGGAAACCAGATGGTGCCATGAAATTGATTTTTATGCTATACATTTGGTTTTAGCTTTGAGAGATCGCTATGTATAATACTACAGATTGCTGACACCGTGAGTGAGCCCTATGCAGAAAAGGGCTTTGTCCCCGGCTGTCGAGAGTTTCTTTAACATTCCCTCATCCTCTTTTTGCTTTGTAGGAAAGCCTATGATTTGTCAAAAATATTATTCTCCTTACGGTCATTGGTGTGCATTTCGAGGCAATACTATACCTACATGGATGCCCTAACTAATCTCTGACGTCCCTAGCTTTCAGGCTCGACTTTGATCACGATAGGGACCAAAATGTCAACATTTTTTCTAATCATTTTAGCGTTAAAAAAAAGGGGTTTATGAAATCATAACATACTATTGCACCATCACCTAGCTCTATCTGAATATGAGACCAATCATTGGATTTGATGGATAATATTTTCAAGATCCAACTACGACAACTGCATTAATGCCTAGGAAAGATATGATAGAGAGTTTGAAAGATATGATAGAGAGTTTCAATAATCCAAAGGAGAAAACCTGATCGATCCTACCTAGGGTTGGTTTCGATTCACTCAGAACATCCAAGAGGAATTAATCTTGATAAATTTTCGTCAATTATCGTTGGAGGCTTTTGACTGTAGTATTCACTTGATAAAGTATATTATTGCCTTTCGTGCTTAGATGTTGTTGCACGACATCTCGGATGTTCTGATGTGTTATACCTTTTTGACAATACTAAGAGGCCCGATACTAGAATGGTACACCCGCTTGAAGTCACTTTTGATCAGCTCTTTTGCTTAGCTCGCAAAAGAGTTTGAGCTCTCTATTTTCTCGGGAATGCGCTTCCAAGACTATCGACAGTAATGCTTCTCGGACTCAAGCAAGGGATAGGGGAAAGAAACACTCTTTGATTTCGTCGCTCGTTTCACTAACAAGATCTAAGGCATGCAAGAGTCTCATCCATCGCTTGTGACATAAGCTTTCATGATAGGGCTCAAACTCTCTCTTTGTTTTTGGTCGTTGGTGGAGAGGTCACTGGCAACGGTACTCGAGATTCTCTAGAGAGCCAACTGATACATTGTCGTAGAGGCAATAGTCTCAATTAAGCGCGAGGAGATGCAAAAGGTTGAGGCAGGAGCAACTATCATCAGCCCCAACTTTGAGGTTACCATAATGAAGAAGAAATGATTGACTCGAGGTTCGCCATGATGACTAGACTGAGGCGAGTCCAGTGCTTCTACCGATAGCTCGTGAATAGGAGCCTGAGTCGAACAAAGTTCCATTGCACTCGACGAGGAGCTATGCGACTTCCTCTTCAAAGAGTGCATATTCATGCTTATAGAAGAATTGAATCATGAGGTTGAAGATTGAAAATAGAGGTGAAGGATAGTGATGGGAGGTTCGAGTCGTACCTTGAGGAGTTGGACTGAGACCTGAATTAATCAGTCAGTTCTCGTCCATCTTCCATATTGTCTCGGAGGAAGAGAGTATATCCCTCAGTCGAAGCACTTGACCTGCCTCCTTGTCCGACAAGAAGGGAGGGGTGTTGTCAATGCAATGTGTCGACCATGTGAGGTTGAATCCCCAATCTCGACTTGAACTCGCAAGAAAGTAGTGCACTTTCCATCTTGTGGTTGGAAGGGGCACCATTGACTTTGAAACATTCATGAGCGACAAGGTAGTAGCCATTTCTCCCCTTGTACAACCAAAAACAAGCAACGAAAAGGGTGCGTGTCAGAGTAATACCAACATGTCGGCACTCCTTGATAAACACTATTAAGTAGCACCACAAGTTGGATGTCATTTGAGAAGACAATATCTCTCACCATCGACAAGATACTATCACTAGATGGAGGGAAAGATTGAGACTTGCCTCGATGACGTCATAAGATAAACAGAAAGACCCAATAGTGCGATCGAAAGGCGTTGACCGAGTTGAGGTACTTGTAGATCAAACTTGGACGGGATACAATACCTAGTTCGCAAATGATCTGGCAGAGGCACGCTCACCAATGAATTACAGTCATGCAAAATTTTCATAAATTCTAATTCCCAAAGAACCTTTAGGTTCACGGGAGATACCTCCTCTGATGATGGGGAGGATGCAACTTTCTCCGCCCTTGGACTGTCTAAAGATGGAGCATAGACTTTGATCGACTAGCGACTAGAAAATCAAGAAGAACTTGTGCAAGAAAGGAAAAACATCTCGACTTGAGGCGAAAGAGCACGATGACTAATTGGTTTGTTGTAGAATTGACCCGAAACAAGAGACACGAAGATCGACCCGCTTTATTAGGAACTGGGCGATGTGGAGAACACTCCTAAGGAGGCTCTATGGATGAGGCTGAAAGCTTCTAAGGCTCTGGAGTCTCTAGTGGCTTAGATGGAAGAACAAATCTCTCCCCCTTGTCTCCCCCACAAGGGGAAGAGATTTATAAGGAGAACGCTGATCTCTCTGCCATGATCAAGATGTCGATCTCTCTCCTCTTGCGATTAAGACAAGTGTCTCTTCGAGACGATTCCTAATAGGCACCAATGGCAAGAGGATCTGAAATCCGTCAAGATGGAGAAAGGACTTGAAGCCCACCACATCAGAGGAGGATCCGAAATCCACTATGGCAAAGGAAGGACTCAAAAGAGGCCCGCCATTGTGTGGAACAGACTTGAAATCCACTACGACAAACGAAAGAGAAATCTGCTATGGCAAAGACACAGGGCGAAATATGTCGAAGGTGTGTGAGTTAAGAAAACCTGACCCATGCCAGTAGAAATCCACTACAGCAAAAATGTATGACGAAATGTGCTTGAGGCATATGAATCAAGAAAACCTGACTTGTGCCAAAAGAAATCCACTATGGCAGAGGTGTAGGGCAAAACATGCTTGAAGCCTGTAAGTCGAGAAAACTTGACGCATACCAGAAGAAATCTACTATGGGGAAGACATAGGGCAAAATGTACTCAAGGTATGTAAATCGGAAAAACCCAACCTACACCAACAAAAATCTGCTACGACGGAGGCACAAGGTGAAATGTGTTCCGAGACATGTAAGTCGAGGAAACCCGTCCCACGCAAGAAGAAATCCGCTACGACGAAGACACATGGGGAAATATGCTCAAGGCATGTGACTTGGAAAAACCTGACCCGTGCTAGAAGCAATCCGCTATGGCGGAATCACCCACCACTCATCTATTTACGTGAACGAAGATTCATAGCAGACAATCACAAGCTTCCTTCATGTTTATCATGATAAGAAAGATAATCACAAACTTCCCTATTGTCCTTTACAATCAGGTGACCTGAGACAAGCAAATCTTACGAGGCAAGATGCTCACTAACTTGGGTATAAGAGGAATTGGGTCGAGAAATCTTTCTCGACACAGGTAAACACCATGAGACAAGCAAATCTTACGAGGCAAGATACTCACACACCTACAGTCATTTCGTTGCTTTCAATGTCATCTCCAGTATTCATTATCAACCATCATCACCATCATTTACTTTTAACCATCGTCACGATAATTATTGCCTACGATCATTTGTCTCCAACACCACCAAAAGCCTTTTTTCCCTTTTCACAGACACCAGATGGGTTCATCAACTCCCGCCCGAGGAAAATAGTTTGTCAAGATCAAGGCTTCATATCAAAGATACGAATTCTTGATCAATGGGAAGCACATAACCTATCATTATCACATTGACATCAGAATTAATCTCAGGAAGGGCGGGCGAGCATACCGTATTTGGGCCAGAAATCTCAGGCGATGAACTCACAACAGCATAGTAGTACCCTCAACTGGGCAAAATTGACCAAATGCCACACCCACACAGCATAAGCTGCCATTAAGTTCAACATCTGACGTCCACAAATCTGCAAAAACAGAAGAAACACCAATAACCTAAAGAGATCTCATTGCCATTCCAACGACAACAGACATCATAGCTCTAAGAGAAAAGCAATTGTTTCTCCATTTGTCAATCAAAGCCGCCAAACAAGCATGTAATCCAAGATTAATCTAAAGAAAATAAGGTATTCTCGCTTTGTAAAATAACCTCAGATACCTGTACATATTCCTTCATCGAGAAAAGAAGTTGTAGCTTTAATGGCAGAGACAGATTGTTTCACAACTGCCGGGTACCATGAATATAACAGGGCAGCGAACATAAATGCAAGGCAGTTATATCAAAGTCTGGGTTGGACAACTTTAACAGTGATTCCACTAATTATAGTGCCAATTAGAGTAAGGATCTCCATATTGCAAGTTGCTTGAGTTGGAAATTGAAGGACTTTTTCTGAGAAAAAAGCTGTGGTTTAGCAATTTCACCATCGAAGTAAGCCTAATCAACCTTTGCAACTTTCCTCTTCTCAACTTGGCCAGTCAATGGGCATTGCATCTCCGTCCAACTGATTGGAACCATGGTAGCACCTGGACAACATCGAGAAAAAAGTTCATCAGCTAAATTTTGTATGACTCCTGGCTTTAATGCATCATGCGACACACAACTGTTATTTATGCCATCAATTTATTGTAGGGATTGAAAGAGCATAGTTACTAAATAGCAACAAATACAATACAACGAAGCATAAGTCCCAACTATTTTGGGTTAACTATATAGATCTTTTGCCGCCACTGAAACCTATAAAAAGTCATATATTTAGTTAAATTCAAAGTATTTAAATTTTTATTTATAATTTCTATTAAAATCATTTTATATCTTCCTCCACCTCTCATTGTACCACTAATATTAATCATTTTACATCTTCTGACTATCGCATCCGGAGATCTCGTAAGCTCATACCATCTTAAACGATTTTCTCTTCTTTTTCTATCTTTCGTAGTAACTCTACATATTCATCTTAACATTCTCATCTCAGCAACATAAAATTTTTGTATATGTTATTTCTTAATTGTCCAACACTCAGACTCATAAAACATTGTTGGTCTCACAATTGTTTTACGAAAATATCATTTTAATATCAAAGATATTTGATGATCACTTAAAACTCTTGACGCTCCTCGTCATTTTAACCATCATGTTTTTATTTTATAAATAATATCTTCATTACTCTTTATATCTTATTAAATAATTAATCCAAGATATCTAAAGCTTTTACTTAAAGAAATTTTTTATCCATTCAACTTAACTATATTTTCCTATTTATTCATATAATTATTAAAATTACATCTCATACGTTCAGTTTTAGTTATACTTAATCTAAAACCTTTAGTTTCTATGAATAACCTCCATGACTCAAGTTTATAATTAATTTTATTTAGACATTCATAAGCTAAGACAATATCATCAGCAAATAATGTAACATACATCAGGGAGGTCTATCATGTAAATGCCTAATAAATGTATCCATTATCAATATAAAAAGACAAGGACTTAATGCAGATCCTTGATATAATCCTATACTAATAGGAAATTCACCAGACACACTCTCTATAGTTTTAACACTAATAACTATATTATCATATATATCTTTAATAACATCAATATAATTAGTGGATATACATTTCTTTTCTAAAACAATCATAATAAATCTCTAGGAACCCACCATATCATAGATTTTCTCTAAGTCAATAAAAATCATATGTAAATCTTTCTTTTTCTCTCTATACATTTTTCATTAATTGTCTTAATAAATACATAGTTGATCTTCTAAGCATAAAACCAAATAGAATTTTAAAGATATTTATTTCAAATCTTATCCTACTTTTAATAACTCTTTCTTAAAGTTTCTGGTTCATGATTTAATTCCTCTATAATTTGAATAATTTTGTAGGTCACCCTTATTCTTGTAAATTGACACTAAAAATCGTAAGACTATAGCCATGCAAGTCATGTGTTACATATATAAATCTAAATCCTACACTCACCTGCACCAACAAATGGCAGCAAGTAGGTAAAGTAATCATAATAGAAGTGTTCCATATCTAGTGACAACATAATTTGCTACATACTTGTCATTGAAAGTATTTATATAAAATAACCTTTGGTGCAAAACCAAATAAAAACAGCCTACGAGCATGTTTTGAAGCTAATAATTCTCACAAAAGAAGATAAATTTAAGAATTCCCTTAGGCTAGTTGACCCCGTGTATATATATATATATATATATATATACACATATACACACACACACACAAAAACATCCTTAATTATTATTTTCTTGCTTCTGATGTCCTTTTGAGATCTTCGACTTGCTGTCAGTCTTCATTCCCAAACTTTTATTATCATGCTATCCTAAATCATATAGCTCGAGTAATCGAATGTGATTATTAGGCAAAGCCAGTCTTTGACTATTATGATGAAGGCCCAGCAAGAGATGGGGTCCCCAGCTTACATCATTTTTTTTCTATAATTTCAAATGACATTGCTTTAGCATAACCATGATAATCATGGTGTGACCTTTGTACTGTATCTAGATTTAGGTTAATTATATATTACCCCTTGTTGTTAGACCTCCTTACCATCCCGATCTCTAGATTTTAAAAATTTATATTGGAATCCCTATAGTTACGAAAGTGAAACATCTAGCTCCATTTATCTTAACACCATCAGTTTTACTGACGAAAGTAGTGGCACCGTTCCGATTGACAATAGGCAAAAAGATAATTTCAACGTTCCGATTGATGATGACATACGACATCGGTGGTGGCGAACAGTGGCACCGTTGGAGGCCACGGGTGGCTAATGTAAAATATACAGAGCGGCAACAAGAAGTGAGGGTCACTCTACATCTACGTCGACGCCGACGCAATTGCCTAGCGATGAAAGAGTCACTCGACATCTACATCAGCACTAACGCAAATGCAGAGCAGCCCTCACCTCTCGTCGTCGCTCATCTCATCCACAACATCCACCTGTGACCCTCAGCGATATCGTCGTTCGTCATCACCAACTAAAACATTGAAATTACCTATTTGCCTATTGTTTTCATGTTTTTGTCGGTAAAACCGATGGTATTAAGATAAATAGAACTAAATGTTTCACTTTCATAACTATAGGGATTCCAATATAATTTTTTTAAGTCTAAGGACCAGAACTACAGGGGATAATATGTAATTAGTCCTCTATATTTCTATATAAGATTACATATTGATTACATACTGGTCTAATCAATTAAACTAAATTATTTCCCAAACTTGCATTTTCTAATTCTTCAACAAACAATTTTCAGAATGCTCTCTTGTGTAAAACAGGACATTAAAAAAGTACAGTAGCATGAACAATATCAGTTTAATTGATTAGACCAGTATGGAACAACTGAAATATAGCTCAATACATGTGAAAATTGAATCTGTCCAATAGCTTGTTGAAATTAGTACTAGACTGGAAATTGAAACCAGATTTAACATTGGCATACATGCCTAACAAGCATATGTTAGGCTAATAGACAAATAAATGTCAAACCAGAATGAAGAACAAAAACATCTTCCAAGCTTTAATACTTGCTAATGATTGAATATACCATATGTCTATACACCAAAACGGACTAGACTAATAATGGTCCAACCATCAACATAGGTCTTGTACCCGAAATGAAAACCATGCTTGAATAATTCATTAATTTGGCTTGATTAGTTGATAGAACCTGCATGGGTTCAAAAATTCATTGAATCCAGAGTAAATTAGCTAAAATGTCTTTAATATTCAAATCAATAACATTGGTTTCCAATTGGATTATCTTTTATTAATTACATTTCCAATTAGAGGAAATTGAATTTTGTCAATTGATTATATTAGAAAGTAATTGAATATAGGCAATCACATATGTGAAGAAAAGGATGCGATAATTAAGATTAGGGAGCAAGATAACTGCAGTAAGTGATTGTTGTCAATTATATATACAGCCAGCTGAAGCAACAGAGATTTGCAATCTAATCAAAGTAATATTAAATTTTGGTAGCTAAAATTAGCTACATATTTATCTAGAAAAGGAATTAAATCATCAAATTAAAACAGAAATTCCCTTCTAGAGTTCTACATTGTACCTGCTATGCTTTGAGCAGAAACTACTCCCAGTTCATTCTTTGCAGTAGAAAGGTAATATGCCCTTGCATCTCCAAGAGAAAGCTTAAAGCCAGAGTTAATTTTCATGTGATTTTATCAGAAAATGATAAAAAAAGATAAGTGCAAGTAATTATAATATAGTGAGACAGTTATGATATCAATAAAAACACATAGCGCTATCACTGTGGTCCGATTCAAATGAACTCATAAAAATAGAAGATCTAGCATAAGTTGGATTAACAAACAAACAAAATTGTATCATGCCATATGAAACTGCTGAGAAGTTCTTAAAACATTCTACCAGCTTTAACAAATAATGCATTAGATGATCTAAAGGAGTTGTATATCTTGTGTGACTATTAGGATAAGAAAAATCCAACAATGGCCATAAACCTAACTAATTAAAAATTATCCACTGCCCTCACTTCTTTTACAATATAAAATTCTACGAGTTGTTGCATGCACTGTCTCTCTGATAATTACCAAATTACCAGCAATGTCATAAAAATCTTAGGTAATATAATTTCTCTAGTTATTTTTTTCTAGTTGACTCGTACTTGTATTCTTCGGAGTGTTTTACAACTGCTAATTCAATTTTCACTGTCAAACCTGTAAATTTATCTAAAGACCTCTGATTCCAAATGCCATCTAACTAGTTACCCATAACATTTATTTATCCTCACTAAAATGAAAGGCAAGAGAGATTTTGTGATACCCTGGCTGCTATAGGTGCAAGAACTTCTAGTGCATTTTATATTTCTTTAAGATCAAACTCTTCTTTTCATTGAGTAGTTTCTTTAACCAATTAGCTAATGTAATAGTATTAAAAGATATAACCAGTAGAATTTCTAAATTAATCACTTCCTAATAACATCTGACACTGCTTATAAATCTATAATTCAATCTACAGCAGAATAAATAAAGTCAGGACATAGAGCTGACTTCAAAATTGTCAAGAAGCCTATCCCTTATTTCCCACAAAAGTAAGATCTATTACTTAACTAGGTGAAGATGCCTGTCTCTTTTAATTGATCCACTGTACCGTACAGAATTTTGTTTCAAAGACCACCACAAAATTTTGTGGGGCAATGGGCATTTACCAAGTCAACAAGGTCAGCATTTGCAAAGTCTTTAGTACACAAAATGACTGCATACACAGCAATACCAATACTAGCAGAAAGAAGTATCCTGGACATCATAGTATAACAAAATAAAACAAGACAAATGAACTAAAAATGATTTGCATAAGTAACATGAGATGCAAAGTGCTTCAGGATACAACAAGAGCTCGAATGATGTCACCAGGATGAAAAGAGAGGTACATGTCCACCTTATCAATTTCAGTTGCACGAACATCTTGTTGCCTGTTACAGCAAGAATTAATAACTCTGCAACAATAATTGAAGTCTTATTATTGTGGTAGAATATATCAAACAAATTGGTACACTGTTATTGCTGTTATGTTACAGAGGCACCTTGCTACCTTTCATATGATAAATCATGTAGCATCCCTATCCCAAATCACAGTAATTACACAATATGATCATATATCTGTAAGTAAACCTCCTGAAACATTTTCTAAAATTATTTAAAACATTGATAATACATATATATATGTAGTATTTTTGATTGACTTGATATTAGCAAGGTTGCTTGTCTATCACCTACATGCCTAGGCCACCTCTTGTGCATTAGGTTAGACCCATCATGTAATATTGCCCAGGCTAGTTGATAACTAAGTTGTCACAGAAGTTCAGATCACAAAATTAAGTGAACTTTGCTCAAAAATAATTATGTGACCTATATTTGCTTGAAAAAGTTTCCTTTTTGTTATCATCCATACTGGATATAAAAGTTCAAAACGAAATCAGTAGATTACAGAACAGGCACAACTACTGCTCAGGGGGAGAATATAACTAAAAAGAAAATAACAAGAGATACAAGTTACTGCCATTGTATATGCTTCACACAGAATAAACAAATACTTAAGGAAACACAGGAGAAGAATAAAGTCAGTGGCTATCCTGATTGTCTCTTCTAGTTGCCATAGATTCTGGACATTCAAAGTTGAAATGAAAAGTTCATAAGAGGATTACCTTAATCTATCTTAAAAGTATCATAGCATAGCAAAGTAGACAAGCATGCAAGTGCTGATGACACTAAGAAGGAGAGCAAAACAATCAATAATTGTGAAATGAAGTTGACTTTGTAGATCAATCAAATAGCGAAAGCAAAGATCAGTAAGAATTAAAGAGATATTGCAGCTATTAGCGAGAAACTTTAGGAAAAAAAGTTGTTAGCTTTAGCAAGTATAGAACACTTAGCTACCTAATTATGCCAGTAAACTTTTCCCTCACAGCTTTGGACTCAACACACATTATATCAGCTGATGCCATACGGGCCATCACTTTTGTTACCTGCCGAAAAACAGTAACATACTTGTGAGTGCAACAAAAATGTGTACATCCACATATAAATAAATTTTATTTCTTTGATATGCAGCTGGAATAACAGGATGATGAACTCCTGTAAGTTGGTTTGGAATTAAAGCAAAATATCACAAGGAGAAAATAAAATATGGATTTTCCAGTCAGTAAATAGGCAATACAACTAAGCTGAAACAGAAATATCACAGTTTGCAAAACTTGATCTGACAAAGTTACTTACATTCCATATTATGAGGAATGGTTTATGTCTAATAAAATTTAGCATCAGAGTTCTTTCAAATAGATTACCAGAAAGGTGGTGTTGTGGTGCTTTCCACTAAGATTGTGATGTTAATAGCCTAAATGGTAAGTGACATTTTGCATCTTGCCAACCACAGTTCAAGATCAAGTTCCAGACAAATGAATATGCAAATATCTGTAAGAGAATTTGGGTGTAAACTGAAGAACTTGTATGGAGAGCTAGATGGATACAATAATAAAAGTCCTTGTGTGTTTACCCTGTTTTCTTTAATCAACTCTACACATGTATAACCTGTTAAGTAGACATCCTAACGATCAATGATCATTAGCAAATAACATGAGTTTTGGATTGAAAAGAGGTAGCGGGACATCATATCATTGATTTAAAAATTAAATATACCAGATATATGATCATGGTGAAAATTCAAATATACCAGTGCTTTATCAGTAACCACAAATGTACAGTGACAAAAAAAGTTCGCTTTATTGCTTCAATACTTACAACCACACCTTATAATATTCTTTCATTAGAGTTATCAATGACAAACTATGCTTGTGAATAACTTCAGTAACTTGACCAATCAAGTGCCGCACCTTCTGCAAAGTCTATCTTGGAACCAACCGCTGTCATGCATGATATGCAATTGAAGCCTAATGTACCAAGTATAACGTTTCTACGTCTAATAATTATTACCCAAAACCCGAAATCTATACTATCCCATTGCGAATCCACCGATTGTGCATCTGACAGACTAAAGAAGAAGGGAAGAAAAAACACGTCTAGGAACTTACGATGATAAATACACAAGAAAAAGGAAACGGAAGAAGGCTTACTCGAGCAATAACCACAGAACCGGGCTGTGGAACAGCACCCTGGGCCTTGTGCCCGACAACTTCCACGGTCGATCTCTGCGAAGCAAACGAACCAAGAACAGTAAGAACTCCAGTAATAGACCCAAACCCTAAATCCCTGACCAGACCACGAAAGAGGATAGAAGGGTAAAGGAGAAGAGAGGAAAGGCGACCTGGTCGGCAGCATCAGATTGGGGAGGGGTTATACGGCGGATACCGGCAAGGGAAGCGCGGATAGAGCGACCGTTGGGAGCGACATAGGCTCCCGTGCCGGCGATTAGTCCGCTGGAGTCGCCGAGCAGCTCCCCAGGGGTGACGAGTTCGTCTTCGCCCTCGCCGCCGCCTGCCGCCATGCTGCTCATCAATTTTTTTCGTGCTCTCTCTCTTTCCGCTACTGAGAATTATAAACAAGGGAGGCGATAACGGGTCGGATGTTGGAGAAACCATAACCATATCCGTCTTAGGGATTGGGTTTTCCCGGTATCAGTGAATGCGTTCGGACCGGAGTTAGGAACGCAACCCTACCCGCTGCCCTACTTGAATATCGCTAAATTAATGGCACATCATTTATTATTTTAAAGAAGTACTTCTAAAATTCTAGAATAAAACGTCGTAACACTAAATTATCCTATATAATTAGTTATCTGTGATCTTTAATATTTCGATCTTTATATTTTAAAAAATTATATTAGTATTCATATAATTATAAATATGAAATAATTAGATCTACTCGTCCTAACGACGTCATTTTTATCAATGCAAAAATAAATTTGACATTCTAATAGTGACAGATAACGTTGATGGTGGTGGACTATAACATAACTAGTGCTGACGTTGACGTAGTTATTGAGTGGTCCTTTCTCCGTCGATGCTCTCATCGTCGCCTTCCACCTCCTCTCCCCCATTGTCGCAACCCTTTATAGCAATGCCTTCACCTTGCTTTTCTCCCTCGCGCTTACCCTTTTGTCATCGTTACTGAACTTGGTAAAGAGCGATAGAGACAAGCGATGAGGGATGTCAGGAAGGTGGACAAGGCAAAGGCAATCGTGAGAACTTTTACCAATGGACGAGTGGTCATGAGGGCTTTAGTTGCCGCCTCCTCTCCCACTCGTGCTCACTCATCCCACTGTCACGGGTGGCCAGAGCCCCCACGATCACCTCGGCCCTACACACCTCCTGTCCCCCTCGCACTCACCCCTCCCGTTATCGTCGTTTGTTGCTATCAACCAGAACCCTCACGATTGCCTCCGCCCCATCCACCTCCTCTTCCCCTCGCGCTTACCCCATCCGTCGCCTCTGATGTCGTCTAACACCATCCGAATATTAAATTTATATTTTACTCTTTATTTTTATTTTTTATTAATAAAATCGACATCATTAAGATAAATAGATTTAAATATTTTACTTCCGTAATTATAAAAATATCAATGTAACTTTTTAAAATATAAAAAATTAGATATTAAAAGTGACTAACTAAATGGTAATATAAAATTAGCAAAAAGTTATACAGAAGCATACTATCTCTGCAATTGCATGCACATCGTGACAAATTATATTTGATCTATGCAAAATTTTATTCAAATTTAACAAAATTTTATTCAAATTATAGTATACAGAAGCATACTAAATCTAACAAAATTTTATTCAAATTATATTTGATCTATGCAACTCTAATAAATTAATAAATATGAAACACTGTTGTCTCCCTACAAACAATGGGATTTGCAAAACACCAAATGTCGTTTCATCCTCCAATTTGTTTGTTTTTCTTCCAAACACAAATACCATCATCTTCCGTTAAATGAACTTTATCATGATATTAGATTACCATAATTTTCACTTTTATTGAAATGCATATAATAAAATTGTAGAGGCGAGAATTGTTTATGAATCTTAATAAAGAAAAAGCACATTTAAATCCATAACCTTACCGAGAATTCAACTTCTAATAAGAAAGGCATCCGACTTGCTCATGGTAGGAAGTTTTGTTAAGATCAGATCTATATTGGAAGAGACTATATTATTAGCTGATCAACTGAGACTTCTTTTATTAACATTTAAATATCTATAATTATTTTAAAATCTATAGCTTCTGCTACTTTTTCCGGAATTCACATACAATCATTTCAGTAATATAACACAAAATATACTTGAAAATAAATCATCAACAGTATAAATACCTCAAAGATCAAATATCGAGAAAGAATAGGTGCAACACAGATTCATACTTAGGAACACGGCAAAAACATGATTTTGGATCTGCTGGTAAATATTTGTCAAAAAATCGGCATCATAAGCCAACAATCGATACAGCCCACTTCTGCAGAAAGCAAACCAGATGTCACGAAAACACTACACACAAAATCTAAAGCCAAAATGGAGCTAATCTTGGATCTGCACGCGACGGCAAACCACTTCTAGCGCCCAAAGCCCGGCAATTTGCAGCCGCCTGCAATAGTTGCACACTAAATATTCGATGCATGTGGCTTGCAAGGAATTTAACAATAACCAATACTTGTGTTTGTCAGAAGGAATGCTGGTGTTTATGATGCCTTGAAAAGAAGTCTTATTGACAGAAAACTGGAGTATAAAATAAAGAGGAATAGGAGACATACCACTTGGGAGGCAAAAGGCAGCATCTTCTCAGGTGGCATGCCAGCACAAATTGCTGAAAGGACAATAAAGAAACAGTAAATCATAGGGAAGAGTATGGATAACAGCAGCTCAACAATATAAAACCATGACAACTACTATAATAAACCCAAAGAACTGTATTGGCAATATAAATGAGACCAACATCATGGTTATGAAAAATCATCACTAAGCATCCAGAAACCCAGATCCATGCCTGTTCTTTAGTATCTAAAATATGTTTTTAACACAAATTTACCATTAGGTTGTGGTAAGCAGACAACCCAATGTATACTATAATCCCATAAATTGATGAATTGACACATTATTTCTTTCCACATGTAAATGTTTTCTTCAGGCAATATAACATAACAATTCCATTCCAAAATTTAAAAATAGAACAAACTCAAATAATTTCAACCATAACTGGAAGGTGTCAAATACCAGAGGATAAGAGAATCAAGGCAGCTTGAATTAATTAATAAAACTCTAAAGAAGAAGGAACTGATCGAGATGAAAATAAAGGATGAGATATATGTTACATGCTTTTATACGACAACGACAACAAAACTGTAATATCCCTACTGTTTTGATCTGCTACATGGATCTTTTATCATAAAAAATTTAAATATTTTAATTAAATTAAAAGTATTTAGATCTTTATTCATAGTTTATAAACAAGGTCCTTTTAGGTCTCCCTTTTCCCTGTTCGTATCACTAGTTTCACATCTTGTAAGCTGTGATGTATACATTAGGTCTCCTTAGCACGTCCACAAATATTAAACGAATCTTCAATATTAATATGCTTTTATATTTCAAGTTATCTATAGGATGTATCCTAAAAATTAATACACACCATAGAGAACAGCTCCAATAAATGCATCTCCAGCACCAGTTGTGTCAATCAGCTCTGTAGGAGATATGATCTCTGCGGTTCCTACATGTAACCGCCCATTTATTGCACCAATTCCATCAGCACTAATTCTCAGGCTAGCCTGGAATTGGAATAGAATATACATCAGAAACAAAATCAAAGGATATTGAATGCTGAAAAAAATTAGTTCAGCAGAAAATATTGGAGATGAACTAAAATTTCCCGGTATAATGTTGTAGAACCTTAGAATAATAATATCAAGCAGAAATAAAAAATTTGATTATCATTAGCTAGCATCTCTTATGCAGGCAAGATTATGGATGGTGCCAAATCATGAAATATTTCAGCATTAATTGCTGAAAGATATGTAGACAGCAATTGTCGGAAATATAGGAAGTGCCGCTGGAGGTCATCTAGAAGGAACATACCTCAGAGGAAATGCAAGTTGGGATACCAGAACTTCCACCAACTTTGGTCCTTAGAGACTCCAGTAAGCTGTCTACTTCAGTTTCCTCCATTTCAGAAGCTTCTGTTCAAGTAATAACAGAAAAGCGTATAAATGGTGTCACTATCTTCAGTTCCACAATGATCAAGATCAGTCAAGTTTGTCCAAACTTGATAAGATCTTTCAATACCACTCAGCGAGAGGCCAGTGTCTTAGTTCATGCACTCACCAGTTGTGCTTTTCTCAAGCAATATGCAACCTTTCTCTCCAAGAGTCACAATAACAAATTTCACATTGGGTAACCTCACAAGAATTGAGACCAGTGCACTGGAAACAGATGGCGCATTTGTCCACACCTGAAAAAAAATCAGAGCAGTAGTAAGTACCAAACTTATTCTTATTATCTAGTGCCTACTGGTTGCACCAACTTCAAGTGGTAGTGCCTAATTGTTATTATTTAGTGCCTATTATTATCATTCAAATCATAAAATACAGTGGTGCAATGTGCATGTACATTATAGACAAGAATTTTACAAGAAGCGTTCTACCCAACCATTTCATGTATTCCTATCATCAACTACAGTTGACATGAAGTTTTGCTACATAGCATCAGGTAGCCTGGTTAAAAAAACAGTTAGTAGCATTATCATTATAAAGTGGCAAGTTGTGCTAACGCATGCAACAGAAAGAAATTGAAAGATAACAATAACTTCTAGGCTGCCATTGCAATGCTGTGCACCACTATGGTGAAGAACATATTGAGTTTTGTCAGGTAGAGGGGGGATGTCTACAAACAGAGAGATGAAATTATGGTGAAGAACATATTGAAGCTATATGTTTACATAAATAATCAAGAATACAACAAGTTGAAATAATTTACTCTCTAATGTTATCACTAGGAGTTCATGATAATCAAACAAGATGGCACATGCAGAGAAGTTACTCATCCCAATTATGACATGGCAAAACCTAATACTACAATCTAAATCTACTGAGATGAGTAACCTACAATCAACCACAGATATTGAGTCAGCTGCCAACAGTCATCTTTGCACAGATGTCTTCAGCAAAAAGTTTTCAAACAAAAGAAAATCATAAAGGATCATATCAAAATAAGTGAAAACAGTACGAGCATCAGCAGAATAAAAAGACCCAGAACATGTTTCAATACTTCGCTCGAGAAAACTAAAATAACTTGTGTTAATCAGACAGTGGGGATGTAATTGTTTGAGCATATTGAGAATTCATTGAAGTTGAACAAACATTAGATTTCGTAATTACTGGGTTGTTTAAGTTTGCTTAAAGAATATGCTTACCTGGGGAAATTTTTCAGAGCATACAACATAAGTTGCCAAGTTAAGTAGATCATCCAATCCTTCCCTAGGTCGTTCTGCATCAATTAAAATAGGAATTCTCCTTCGACTTGCCTGTGCTGAAAATTTTCATAGGAAACAATTAGTTGGATTCAGCAACAAGAAATGCATATTCTAGAAACTAAAATAGAGTATTGACGACCATGTTGATGACAATCATGCATGTGTATTTCCAACCTTCTGTAGTTCAAAAATCAAATTTTCAATCATTTATTTATGCATAACAGTTATTTCAAGTCAATCTTGATCAGGCCAGGTGTTAAAACCCAGAAAGCTATTCACCTTAACTATATGGAACTATATGAAAACTGTACTTGCATAGTTAATTATAACAGAAGGGTGAAACAATTAGGCTAAATTGAGCACACCAAGTATAATAGAATCCTTGATTTGAGGTGTGAGAAGTAACCAGTCTATTTCATTTGTGATAGTATTAACAGTGAGAGAGATTTTTTGCATTCTGCAGGAATTATGCATGTCAATTGCATAAATGTATACAAACATTAGTTTGAATCTGCAACAATAGCGTGCTCATATATGGCAAGTGACATGGTTTCAGCTGAATAGGTCTGTTCATGCATAGGGAAGAAGCCAAACTGTAACTTTTAAGTGAATAGATTGGAATGAGCAAAAAGGACCACATGAATGTCCACTTCACCATCATGTCATCATAGTTATATATATAGCTTTGGATGAGAAAGACGCGGACTATGGTTAAAGGGGAACTGGAACCCTTGGTTAGCAAGAAATGAAGGCTTTCAGTTTCATGAGAAACAACTGGATATCACGTTCTAGCTCCAACTGCATAGAACTTTACTTGACAGTCACACTTACCCTGATGGTAACATGGATCCATTTTACATATTTTGGAAGTGTTAGATTCTTCAGCTTGTATCATGATGGTATGAGTTAGAAAGCATAGACAGAATAGAAACTTAGAAAGTACTGTAACCACAATGCTAGGACGCTGATGATTACCTCTTGAGCAACAACCAAAGCAGTTTCCCATAATCGTCCATCAAAGTATGCAAGACTCGCACCATCTAAAGCAGATGAAAGCTTCGACTGGGCAAGCTCTTCTGGAACCATTGCAGGATTCCCAGGGGTATGTATACATGTACGGGTCTTCCTGAAAAGATCCAGAATTATCCGCCATTCATGCTACAAAAGAAAGTAAACTAAACAATAATTAAATTTGAACATATCTCCACATAGACATTGTATGTGCCTCTGGACCACATAAACATGAAAGGTGGCCACATATACAACTACATATACTAATGTGATCACATGTACGTTCAACACAAGCATTGAATGTGGCCACATATATAGTTTAACTTTCCTCCGTATTATTGCTGGTTTTAATATTATATTATCTTAACATCATAAAACTATGGTCAGTTGTAATACAATATCAATTTCCTACAGTTTTAGATAATCTCATATCACTAAAAAAACTTCTAAACGGTATATATATCATTCTTTAATTCATGTTTTGAACCTAGGATATACTATATCTATTTAATTTCTGAATATATATATATATATATATATATATATATATATATATATATACATGATTTTTTAGTATATGATGAAGTGTTTGTATGTCCAGATATGCATTCACACACACAAAATATATGCTACGTGAGACTTCTATCCAAGGTTTTTAATTTCAGATACTGGACCCATATGGGTCCAAGCCATACTAGCATACCATGTCTCACACATGATGCTGAAGAAAGGGAAAAGCAAGGTCAGGCATTTAGACATTCCAGGATTAAAGCATTAGTTTCACACTGACCCACATGAAAGAACTGAAAATAAGTGAGGCAATATATTCAGATGTGTATTCTACCATGTAAAGTCAACACACTCATTCAGTGCCATCAACCATGGAAGTACTGCATATATGATGAAAATACTATTTAAGGATTATGTACCAAAAGGTCATTTAGCATACGTAGAGCTTCAAATACAACATAAGAGAAATTCATACGTTTGGTTGTCGACTATTATATACGTGAATGGTGAATTTCCTTCCTCTGCAACCTGAAAAATGTACACGGAGATGTGAAAGACATCTTTCAATAGCTTAATCTATGACAAACGTATGCTCAACAGACCACAATATAAGAAGTATCTACTCCATCTCCTTCTAGCTCTGCAAGCAAACTTCTCCCTTGAGCATCATTAGCCACCTTGGAGTGATAACCAGATAAAGACAGTTAGGAGATCAGACGATAACAGAAATCACAAACTGTTCTCATGGGATATCATAGTATAATATTTAAAATTAATTTCTTCTTCAGAAGATGGGAACAGATCAGCAAATAAATGCATATTGAAAATTCCAGCCTCTTAGGACAATTGCACATTTTTTTTCTTTTACTTGGAAATCACAAAATCTAATACGAACAAATCAGATTTGTTGAGCAACATATATGTGAAATAGACAACAGAAGGCAAAAAAACCTTTGAAATCACCCTAGGTTTTAAACCCAAGCGACATGCACCAGTCAAAGCATTTCCAGCATTTCCACCTCCTTCTACCTGTACAAACAGATGGGACTAAGGATTTATTATTTATTAATGACAGATAGAATAGGAATAGTGGAAAAGAAAAGTCAGGAACTTTTATGATCAGATCATCATGCACATTGTCTGATGAAAATGGTGATATTCAGAAACCAATAAGGATACACTTGAGTAACAATTTGAGAACATGAACAGTTAAAGTTAGAAAGAGTATACGATTCTCCTATATCATTTATCTTTGTGGCATTGAGGGCGGGGTTTTTTTTTTTTTTTTTGGGAAAGAAAAATAAGGAACAAGAGACCTGGGCAGCTGTTGGTCCTGCTTGATTGGCTTGTGATTTCCCAATTCAAGACAGTTTGGTCTTGCCACATTGCAGTAGCCCAAACCTGGCTTGACTGCATTTGATAAGACCACATTATTAAAGCCATTGATCATGACATGAATGGTTAGTTTCTAATTAGATTTGTAGACTTCCACTAGTTCCACATTCCCAACAAAAGAGTAGATTAAAGTGTGACCCAAAATAAAATGTCAATATCCAGTGTTACTTATCTTAGATTTGGTATCATGAAATCTGCTAGTGTGGAGCAAATGAATCAGCTGAAACAGAATTTTGTAAAGCAAATTATCAGCATGATTTTCAAACTCAATTGAGCCTTCAGTGGGGCTTCAAACAAACTCGACAAAAAATTGCAGTTTGCTGAGCCACGCACCCACCTATTATGGTTGTTCATGCGTGCATCCATAGAATCTGACCACCTGGAAAAATCCACGATGTTTTACTACTTGTTGCAGATTCTTCCTCTTCAATCTTATGCCTACTAGGAAAAGGCATTGGCAAAGGTCAGTTCCTTCTCTGTTTCACATAGCAATGTTGCTTTTCACTATTATTTGTTCTTTCACATGACTACTTTTGGAGATGCACCACAATAAATTTCAGGCTTCACCACTGCCATAATATATGAATCCTACATCCATGAACTTAGTCCATATGTTGCACCTCTATAATAATACAATTTTACATAGAAGTCCATTCTAACAGCTCTTTATGAATTAGGCCATTATTTCCAAACATTTGCTCAAAACTTTCATTTAGATCTATGCTTTGAGTTTCATGATATCATCACCTGAATTAAACCACCATGTATTGCATCCAGTAGCTACCTCCTCAAACAATGCTCTTCCATTACCAATATAACATTCTTTCTGTTAAACCAGATAGCAGTAATTATTTGTTATTAAGGATTGTAATTTCAGGATAAAGACCTGTTGATACCTTTTAAGCATTCTCTTGAGCCAGCAAGCATATACTAATAATTGGCTTGGATATAGTGCTAGTATCTTTGGCATGAGTAGGCATGGCACATACAAATATATTTCAGGGATGATATGTTAAAACCAGTGCAATTGTGTTGATCACAACAACAATACTTACTAATAACAAGATCATATTTGTCAACACAGATTTAATAGGTTATGCTGATGATCAATAAGACTCCTTCACATGGTTGTTTCATCACTTCTTTAGAAGCTAAGGTACCCAATCTTGACTACAAAACACAAAGAAAGTTGATAGCTTCATTAAATCTTGTGTATATGCTATACTCATAAATCAAATACCTAATCTCAAAAAATACCAAGGAAGCCTGGGATGCTCTTGAATGACTCCAATAACAACCTATAGAAAGGTAATCCTATCTTCAAAAAGTTCAAAAATTTCGAAAGGGAAAAAATGTTACAACAAACTATCTTAAAGAATCAAGAAGGTTCCTTTAGATGCTTTTGCAGCGTTCAGTAAATGTGTGTTTAACATTAATTTGGTCTATTTTGCACTCAATACCCTTGGACTGAAAATGGGCCCTATATCACTACTAATGAAAATCCATAACCACATCTCAACTTTGACAAAAATCAAGCTGGTCTACTTGCTCATTGACAATGCTTAGCTCGTGGTAGGCCAATGCTAAAAGCATGTTTTCCTTAGGAAATTAGTAGGCCATTAGATATGTTGATCAAACAATCTGTTATCAGGCTAGGATGGACATATTTCTGCTGTGATAGATAGAAAAACAGTCCAATAATATATTGAGTGTGTGATGTGGTCCTTCTCGATAAACATATTGCGAGAATGAATCCATCCCGAGTGATCAGGCATCTCGATTTATAACCACCATAAGATGAGGAACGGACTAAACGAAGGAATTGATGTGATGAGTTCTCCATCTTCATGTATCTTTTCCACTGTTCAGTATTTAAAATACTGCACTTCGATATATGGTGCATCATTTCTTTAAGAGAGGCATTTCCAATTTTAGAGTTTCCTACTCAACAATAATTTTTCTTTTAGCAAACGATAAGTGACGAAGGCGGGATTCGAGCCTACGGTCTTACAATATACTCTCAAAATCTTTATCAACTACGCTAGTTGGCACCTTCAAAATACATCGGATGAGATTTTGAACCCTCTACCTTTGGTAAATGAGTTTGGTACACCACCACCAGACCAGTGTTTAAGATATAAAAGTTGTTTTAAGAATCATTTTTTAGAAGTACCCAACAATGTTACTAGAGTATATTGATTATTCCATAGTTACAAAGCAATAGTGGACATCGAAGAGAAAGCTAAAGTGCACAAAACTCTCATGTAACATCTGGTATCAGTTTGATCTCTGTAAATTTAAGACTAGCAAAATTATCATTTTGTTAGAGTTCATCTGTGTAACTATCAAAATCTAGTTCTCTGTCAAATATCGTTAATGGCCATGATTATTTGTGCCTTGTACATTTAAAGGATATGCTTGCAGGTATATCCACTCAGGGTTGGGCACATCACCTCAATTACACCTATATGAGTAAAGATCAATCATAAACGACACCCTACCACACCTGCCATCATCGGCCAAATGTAACCTATGCATCAATTTCGGAATCAAATAAATTAATCTACAAACAAACTCCCAATACCAAGCAAGAAACCAAAAAGGAAAAAAAAATATCAGCACTTTATCCTCTCAAGTCTCACCCGACATAATCTGCATCCAAGTTCAACAATAACTCTACCAACCGATTGAAGCATTCAGAAGCACCCATACCTTGAGGCTGATGCTACGGATCTTGTCATCGGGGTTGGGGAACGCGGCCACCGTCGCCAGATAGTCCACGGACACCGCGCCGCAGCCCAACTGCCAGGGAGCAAAACGAAATCAACAGATCACCAAAACATGCTTACCAAAGAAGCAAATCGGGCGTTCGCCGATGCAAGGAAAACGGAAGCCACACCACGATTAGGTTCTCAGGAAGCGGAGGGATAGTTGGCGAGGCTGCCGCGCGTTGCAAAGCCGAAGACGACATCTGAACCCTGCCGACGCGAAAGAATGAGGAATCAAACAAGGAGGCGAGACACTGACCAGCGATATTACATACCTCGGGAGAAGCCTCGCTGCAGTGAGAAGAGAAGGGATGGGGGGGAGGGAATGAGGGTAGTTGGGGAAATGGATGGGAGATGGCTTCATTAGGCGTTGGGAGTCCAAACTATGAAGCGGAAGGAACTCGGTTGCGGAGTCCACCGCTAAGGGGCACAGCAGTGAAGAGATGGAGAGATGGGCCGCTTGTGGTGCGTGCGTGCGCGTGCGTGGCGCAGTCGAACACGTGGCTGCGTGAGCCACGAGGATAATTAACCGGAGTGCGTGAGCCACGAGGATAATTAACGGGTCGGACTCGGATCCGACCCGTTCCGAGTCTTGATTCGTTGTCCCTCAATGCAAGCTTTTCCTTAAGACAAAATTACATATAAAATTTTAGATTAATCATTTTTTGGGAGGCAAAATAGGCGTGTAAATGAAGAAAAATTCTATGCTAAGTAATTTAAATCGGATTATTGTGTGATAAAAATTGAAATCTGGATTGCACCCAAATTTTATTGGGCCAAGATGGTGTTGGATCTCGGCCCAAATCATGTTGGGCCTCATCTTTCAAGTTGGGCTCTTTGTTTTTTCTTTTATTTTAATTTACAAAAAAATAAATTTTGATGTGTAACTAAAATTAAGAATTAATTATTTAACAAAAAAATGGCATATATCTTATGCTTATTGGTGAATTCAATTGAAAAGCTCTTATAATTAGTGGTATGGAAGGGTGTCCTAATTAATGCAAATAACGTTTACAAACAAATGTAATTAAAATTTTGTTGCATAGGAAAAATGAAATTGAAAAGAAAACTAATTTAAACAATTAGTAATTTGATGTGCATGTCCCCTTTAGTGGATAATTTGGGAGCAAGTTGGTGTTTAGTAGTGAGTTAAAATTAGTTTCATTATATCTAGCAGCATATTTATGAATATTTCACTATCATTTTTATCATTTGGCTTACAAAATAGGCACTAAAATACTATCAATTTTAAGACTGATTTTCTAAATTTTAAATATAATGTTCCTAAATTGAAGACTTACTTTTCATGCCAATAACAATCAATGTTTTAGGTATATGAATATATTTTAACTTATTTTTAAATCTTTTAGTTGGATCTTTGATCATTAGGTCTAGTAAACCATCAACGATCAATGTTTCAAGTGTACAAACATATTTTTACTTAATTTAACACATTAAAAATGAAATTTGTGGCTACCAAGATCTAATTAATACCTCCGGTATAATGAATCCATGTTTGTGGTGGAGCCACCACTTTCCTCCCGGTAACAAGTGTTTGCGTCCATCGACGTGCATGCAATTGATGGAACGAGTACGAATGCAATGGACCACACGACTCGTCACACTCATTTCGGATCATGTTTCGATGGTTCCCACCAAATTAATGAGATTTTTATATATCTATTCTTGCAAGGTTAAAAAATTATATTCTGATGGATGTCATATGATAGGATTGCATTCTAATTACTGATAAGATTATATTAGTCCTACATTAATAGAGGAATAGGAGAACCAAACGCTTATAAATCCGTCTGTCATATTTTTTTACTTTCAAAAATACTTTTTGAAGTTCACGTGCTCTAAAAGGGTAAAACTATGTGAATATGCTCATCTGCCCAAAGAAAATAATTCCTTGTGAGTCCATCGCACCAATAACTATTGATTAAATAACTTATTAGATTAGTACTAGAAGAAAAGCCCCTAAAATCTTAGCTCCCCTACGGGAGGGAGTATTGATAAAGCAGTGTTAATCTCACATCGATTGAGTAGGGGAGGACTCATAAATATATCAGGCCTCTCTAGGTATTTTTTTAGAACTCACATGCTCCAAAAGGATAAAATCATACGGATACGTTTATCTATCCAAAATAGATAATTCCGCGTGAGTTAATCGCACCAATGATCACTGACTAAGTGACTTATCAAATTGGCTCATAGAAAGAGGGCCCATGAGCTCTTGACTCCGTTACTAAGTACTAATAAGATCATGTTAGTTCCACGTTGGTTGAGGAGTAGGGAAACCAACTCTTATAGGCATCTTTTAGAACATATAGGCTCCAAAAGAGTAAAATCATGTGGGTATATTTATCCATTCAAAGCGAATAATTTCTCACGAGCCAATCACACAAATGACTATCGACTATATGACTTATGGCGTTAGAATGAGAGCCCTTGGCTTCCCTATGGGAAGGAGCACTGATAAGATCATGTTAGTCCCACATTTATTGAATAATAGGAAAACTAATGGCTCATAAGTTTATCATGTCTCTCTTACTTTCAAATGTACTTTTTGGAGCTTATGTGCTTCGAAAAGACAACCATGCGGGTATACTCATTTGTCAAAATCATATGGCTCATTGGTCTAAGTGAACAATACTTCGCAAGCTTATCTGACCAATGATCGTCGATTAAGTGACTTATCATTAACAAAATCAATAATACAATTATCTCATCAACATATATATAACCTAAATATAGAGAAATAAAAAAAAAAATATTATGTATATATATATATATATATATATATATATATATATATATATATATATATATTCTTAATTAATTATGTTGTTTTATCGAGAACATTTGAGTTTTCCTTATAAGATTGCAACAGTTATGACTAGTATAAGTCCTACCAAATCACTAGTGATGATTAGTGAGAGTAGGCAGATTGCATAGATTATTGTTTGGGTTTGGTAATCCCTCTTTCTATCATTCGGATCGGTGGACACAAATGCACACACTTGTTATCTGAATCCAAGCCATTATTGATCCACAGAGAGACTTGCACTAGCAATGCAATCTACCACCGACACGATGTTGCGTCTACGGACTGAAACGTATGGGAAGAGAAGATATGGGGTCGTCTGTCTGCTTCCCTTGTACCTGCAATTATAGCTTGCTCATGCAGAGGGAGAAAGAGAATTCATCCACATGATCATTGAAGGTGATCTTTAAAGCTAGATTTTTGTACGATCCAAAGAATATTATGTTTCGATTACGATTTGCAAGTCAAACATTTGCATACATCCAATTGGTCCACATCACTTTTTTTTTTAATCTCAAGATTATAGTAGTTTTAAATCTTTGATAGGCATAAAAAAAAATTTGTAGGGTTCAAAATCTCATTCGATCAATTTTTGAAAGATATCAGTTAGTCTCACCGGTAAAGATCTTAATAATTTATTATAAAATCCTATGCTCGAATTTATAATATTTTATTTTAATGTATGAGGTAAGAAAATTTTTATATTTTTAAATATAGAAAATAAAAATTAGACCTTTCTCAATTCATATATTAAAATAAAATATTTTCGTCAAACATATATCAAAGTATCTAAAATAAAATGGTAAGGGAGAGAAATCAAAATTCTATATATTTAAATTATTTTTTAAGAAATTTATATATTTTTTCAAACGATACTTTAAGGCATCTTTCGATGGATCAATATATGTTTTCAACTAAAACAAACAAATAAGATAAAGATGTCAGGTATAAATACACACACAAGTAATCAACTAAAACGAGTTACGAAGTTGAGTTTGAGTTAATAGTTACGCAAGAAACAATTGCATTAAAGAGTTCGGATGTTGTCGGTTCGTAAAGCAGATAAAGTAACCTAACTCAACAAGTAATGGGGAGTTATAGCGAACAAGTCAACAAGTAACTATTAATTTTTATATTTTATAAAAATCATTAAATCTAAATATTATAATATTTATGTTATGCACTATGATATATTATTTGTGTTAATCCTTTACATGAATTTAATATTTCATCTCATAAAAGCTTCATCCCAGCAACTGTGTATTTAAGATAATTTATACAAACTTGACATCCTCTGTAGTATTTTCTTTTGAATGACTACTAAATGGGCACAAATTCATCTCGATCAAACTCAACATCTATTTCAAATTCTGAGTGATCAAAATCGATATATATGATGAATTCGATCTAAAGCAACGTAGAGAAGATTTAAATTTAAATTCCTCACGGTGACAAAAGTGTGAGATGCCTGTGTCAGCACTTGTGGCAGACAAGATGGGTGGCGCACGGGCCATGGCATTTAAAAGCAGAGAAGAAGATGACATACGATTGCGTGTGCCATCAATGTCCTTTGTCCGCCATGAGATCCACGGCGGACGGCCATTTCACCCGCCTTTGTAGGGCGAATCACCCCGCAATTATTGGACCTCGTTCTGTAGCTCCGACCATGAGCCTCCTGTAGAGTTTGAAGGTGAGCATGCAGCCAAGCGTCGAAGTCTTCCCCCTCCACCGCTGGCTGCATGGCTGCTTGCTCCACTGGCACGACCCTGACATGCAAGCTTCCCCTGCGCAGAGAACAAATCGCATTCGAGTGTTTCTCGCAGCAGCGAGAGTTTTCTGTGAGTTTGAGCCTCCTCTCATCTCGTAGGTAGCGTTTGGGACTTTGAATGACGGAACAAGCTCGAGTCTCTATCAGCGCAGGAATCCTAAGAACGGATGAGGGACAGCAGCGGCCACTGCCAGGCCCCACCTGGGAGACCTTGGTCGCTGCCTCCCATCAGTTAAAAGAAGAGAAAGGAGCAGGAAGTCATGGCCTGGTGCATTTGTCTCAGCAGTAAGTATTGACCGAGCACGATGAGTCATTCATTGGACAGTGTGTGCAACGAGAGGAATGCATGGTAACTCCATGGTGCAGACATGATGGTCTGCCAGCAATGATTCATGACTGCTTCATTGTCCTCGCGTATTCCAAAGTATCTCATGGACTATTGCTGGGAGGGATTTGCCCGTTGCTTACATCGAAAGGGGAATGGAAAACACAAGAACAAGCAGAAAGAGAGTGAGGTGATGATTGACTGTTTGGCTCAACACCGACTGCTTGTTTGGTTGCATGCATGTTTTCTAGTGTGAAAGATGAACTGGCTGAAGACTTGTTGTGTGTCTGTGCAAGTATGTGTGAGGATCTGATCTAAGCAACAATGAGGAGAATATGACCTGTCATGCATTCTGATTGTTAGGTTCATCCAACTGTACAGCAAAATAAATATATTTTGGATTGATGCCAACTTATACTGTAGATGTAGCTGCAATGATGAAATATCTGCAAGCATAGGTATTGAGGAATATGGAAAAGGGGGAAAAGACCATGATATAAATATGTAAATGTTACATATTCAACAACTTGTTGATGTTAAAGTCAACTCTATGCATCTTTTTCCATCACTGAACAAATTCAAGACACATAAAATGCATGGATGATATTAACATGTTCAAAGGAGATGTACAAATATACTAGTTAGACAAAATGAATCAATGTCTTGAATTTATTTGTCTAACATTTGGAAGCTATGCATCCAAGCAGTGCATGGCAGAAACATTTTATAGAATACTAAGACATTAACAACTGTATACCTTTTAGGATTTATGAAAACAGGATTTAGATTGTGTTAAAAAGGACATGCAACTTGGTCTCATCATTAATATCATCAAGTGGCATGGTGCAAGTCATTTCTATGGCATCCAGTAATGGTCCATGATGGAACGGACCCATTGAGAGACCTATGGATATGTTGTTCTCTCTCCACTGTATCCTTGAAATATCAGTGGTACTCCCATTTTTTTGGTGTAGGCAAAAGAGAAGGAGACCAATGCTGCTCGATGTGCTTACCATGAAAGATATTACAAATAGGAACATGCTAAAAGCTCATTCTCCATGATGCAGTGTGTTCATTTTCACAATAGGGAAATTAATCCCTAGAAATTATTATGGGTTTCTTACAATTATAGTGTGATGGGATCCACATGTATGAGCCTCTCACTCACAAGTACATGAGAAGTGATGTCACCCAATGATTCAATTCACCTAAAAGGTAGTGCTTACATATCTGTATATGATAATGGAAAGGTTAACAACTCATTTGATCTATATTGTATGCATTAACAATGTCTATATAATTTGGATGGTGATTGTTATCTAATTTCCTTGTTATTCATCAAAATCTAATTATACTTCTTTACAATTTATGACCTCAAACAAAGAATATATCACTGATGATTGCTCATATAGGTGTTCTCTTTCTGAGAAATTGAGAGCAGAAAACTTTTCAGATATGGAGAACTAACTTTGATGGAGGCTTATAAGATATCATTCATGTAAGAAAAAGATTTACAATAGAAAAAATACATTTAGTCTCAAATGACCAAAGCAAAAGGAGAATTAGAGATACATTATCTCCACCTTATTGAATTAGTCTTAAATGCCAAGTGAGTATTTTCAGTATTCAAACAAAGAAAAGGATTATTGGACTGATGTTCTAATTTCACTAGAAAAAATATGAGTCAAATCCAGTTGGTGCTAAAAGTTTATTTCATCAATCTATCTTTTGTCTGCAGACATAAGGAGAATGTTAAGAGTATAAACATATAAATTATACCTATTAGCTTTCAGATGTAAATCCATAAAAAATTAAGATTTCCTGTACAATGATATATAAAAGAAATGCCTCAGACCTGCAAAGCCTACAACTATTATACTTAATCATATTAATAGTCTTGGGTCTGAGAATAGTGCTGAGATTTGTCAGAAGATGATAAGATGGGGACAAACAGGAGGTGGAAGATGTCATGCTTAATTTGATGGCTCACGAGTTGGGTGTGCAGACTTGCTTCTGTAGGAGGATTCTGCCACTTAAACAAGGCAGAATGTACCTTCACTAGAAGTAAATCAATCAAACTTACAGAGTTCGGCACTTTCTCCTAAAGAGGAGCCACAGGTTTCTGGTCATGTGAAGTCCAACGTTGACATATAAAAACCAATGATGCAGTCTTGCCTCAGCAAACAAGTACAGCCTCTTTGGGCTATTCTCAATATCATCAGGGTTATACCAAGTCTTTCTACTTTGTTTTGCTGAGTTCAGATTTAGCCATGTCTCCAAGAAATACTTGTCCAAATCATGTGGACAAAGGGATTGATCGTAGGGCGAATTATCAGAAAATAAACTTCATTTTTTGAACTCTTCTCGGAAGCATATCTCTTTTTTTTATGTAATATCTTTATACTTTATTATAGTGTTTTTAGTTATACTAAAAAGATATTATAATATAGTAAAAAAATTATTCTATGATAATTTTACACTATATTATGTATTGTTAAAAATATTATAATACTTTATAAAAATACTATATATTTAATATTTATATAAAATTTATATTAAAATATCATGTTACAGTGTTTTTTAGTGTGCTATCATGTTTTTCTAATATTACTAAAATCACTACGATTCCTGAATGAGGTTATTTTGAGTATTATATAAAAAATATTATTAGAAAATTTTAGAAACGAGGCACTCTAAAAAAAAAGCTCCCCTCTGCTCTCTAAGGTGAAAGTCATGAGCAAAATATGAGCGAAAATGATGCCCAAGAAATACGATGACAACGACGAATGTAATAATAATAGTCAGGATAAAACGTGAGACAGATATCGTACATAAACATGGGATAGAGGTAACGAGACAGATATCGTACATAAACATGGGATAGAGGTAACGAGGGCGACCGACAAAACAATGGATGAGGAAGAAAAGAAAAAGGTATTCATGAAATTTTGACAAATTAGAGATGTTATCATACACATCTTCGGAGAAAAAAAAAATGAAAATATTTTCAGAAAATTCGTCTTATATCCTTGAAATAGACAATTAAAGAGGAAGAGGAGGGTAGTGAAAAGAGGATTAGATTCCTTCTCTCACCACTGCCACAAGTCTACTTCTACAATTTTCCCCCGCAGAAGCCAAACAGGCAGTCGAGTGCGACCCTTCATGCACCTTGTCACCTTCCCTTACGTCACCCCTCGGTCCTCTTTTGCACATTGTTTCTTCCTCCTCCAAGCTTACATATGTCTCTGATCCATCACCGCCACCACCACCGTCACCATACCACCAGCACGCTGCTGCCCCTACCCCTCTACCGCTGACCGGAGAAAGGGTTAGACAAGCATGGGCGGTGTCACCAGCAAGTGCTCCTACGCCAAGCACCGCAAGAAGACCAAGGAACTGCGGGCCAAAGTCCTGGCTCTGGAGGAAGAGATCAAGGAGATGAAGCGGGTGAGGGAGCACGAGGCTCGAGCCTTCGAGCGCCACGCGGCGGCCTTCGCGTCCAAGGAGGCGGAGTGGGAGCAGGAGAGGAGGAAGCACAGGGAGGAGGCGAGCAAGCTGGGGAAGCGGCTCAAGGAGGAGGAGGACCGGATCCGATGTTTGGAGGAGGAGATGGCCGCCGGCCGCGGCGACAAGGAGTGGTTCCGCCTCGGCACCGACTACCTCGTCGAGCACATGAAGGAGGAGCAGGCGCGGCGCGAGGAGGCGGTGGAGAAGTGGAAGCAGCTCTACCTCGCCATCAAAACCGAGCTTGACGATCTCATCCAAAGAACTCGACAAGGTAAAATTAACATTCCCATTCTCTTGAGATCAGAGCTGAAACAGAGCAGTGTATTTCTGGTTCATACAAGGAATACAGATTAATGCATGGATGATTCACAAATGAATGAAGGGGACCGATCATCGATCTCAGTTGACATCCGCGAGGAACTTGTGGCTCGACCTTCTCGTCCGTTCTTCTGTTTCCCCCACTTCATAGCAGGATAACACCATCACATACGGGTGTGCACTGCACATGAAGGAATATTGTATGCATGTCCACTGATCCTGTTTCCTTCGTCTTCTCAATATGTAGGCCATATGCTCCATGATTCCCAATGGACCACATGGAAGCCCTCAATCATGCCCCTGTTTCTTACTCCTTACCTCTCTCGTGGCCACTGACGGATTTCCATTCTTAGGGGAGAGGCTCTACCTGGGGGATGAGGAAGGCGGCACGATCGAGCGGCTACAGAAGGAGGTGAAAGCCAAGGAGGAGACGGCGGAGACGTTGAGATCGCGCGTCGATGAGATGGAAAAGGAGGCGTGCAAGAGAGACCGAGAGATCGACATCTTGAGGCAGAGCCTGAGGATTCTGAGCAACAAGAAGAGGGGACGCATTGGGAAGAACCAACTCAGAGACTTGCATTGATGAGGTGCAGGCCATCTCATCTATACCGGAGAACAGGACTTGATGGAAATGTTATTGTAGCAGAAACATAAGTAAACCTTATATCTTATATATATATATATACCCAATAAAATGTAGTTCTTGTCGTCGTCGTCTTCTTCCTTCTTAAAGGAGCAGAGTCTCTGTAGTTGCTCCAATCGAGTATGTACTGAACACTGGCACTGCACCAGTTGCTCTCATCCATGTCCTTTGAGATGGCTGTGGTGGATGCACGACGAAGCATCAATGAAACTGGAGATTTCTATCTATCGATCGACGCCATGACTGTCAATGCATCATCATAAAGTGCAAATGTCCTCTCATTAGGCTAAGAGGCATCAAGATGGATGAAAGAATGAACTCCTTCGGCTGCATGGAGTGGAATGATACCACCTTGAGACAATGCCTGCTACACATATCCAAATCATGCTGAGAAAATGCATATGAATGTGTTGGTATCATCACATCCATTAAATTTCATGGAGGAAGTATTAATAAAGTATGAATAGGCTTCTAAATTTTTTTATGGGCCTTTATTTATGACAAGCCCATTGATAAACTAGTCTTGTTTTGGTGCCTGTGTTATGATATTCTGATGATTAATACATACGTTGCGTAGTCGATAAGTCGATCATAATGTTTATAAGATTAATGTATCTTTTGAGTGTACGGGTATAATACAATGTATATTTATCATACATCCACTATAGTATTTCTCGTACCTACAAATAATAAAAAAGATAAATTTAAGGGAAAAAATAACAAAGGATATATAATTTTTTTTAAAAGTTTTTACTAATTAAATTAATTAATATTTTTTTTATTTTTGATCTATGCTAATTTATATTTCAATCCTTATTTTATTTAATCGTTTATTTACCTATGAAGAAAACATAAGAAAAAAATAAGATTATTTAATAATAAAAGGGTGTTTAAATTATAAATAAATATATTGGGTAAAGGTCGAGAAAGAGAGAGAGAGAGAGAGGAACACTTGGTTGGAGGGTATCGTTTTCTTGCCGTGGAAGCGACGTAGGACCGTAACCCAACGAAAGTGACGGTCTTGATGCCGTTTCACCACCCAAGGCGGCTGCGTCGGCCCGTGCTTCTCTCTCTCTCTCTCTCTCTCTCTCTCTCTTTCTCCTGCACATATATGGTTCGTCTGTGGTCTTCCATCGACTGTTTGACTAAATGTCAAATTTGTTTGCATTAGTAGGTCTTAGTGGCTATTGAGGACCAGTTTTAGATAAGTGCACAGTACATCCAATCGCATTATTGTTTGTATTAGGAGTAGCTCTTGTCATCTAAACCAAGGCAGTGACTTAACAGTAGCTCATAGGTTTCCTTGAAGCAGGCTTGACTTGAGGAAGCGGTAACACCAATCGTCGTATAGACTACGAGACATCCTACCGCCATGATGATGACTCCAAGTTGCACATAAACTATATAGTTTGCATGCGGGACCGCATTAATTGGCAGATAACAGCTGGTACTGATTGCAATTAAAAGGCTGTCTGCTGTGCTGTCCCCGACAGCGGAGCCGAATCGTGATTGTTTTGGGTCATGGCACACGCGGAGCACAGCGTGGCCCCATGCAACTACACGACGGTCCACGCAGCACAGAATAGAATAGAAGCCTCCTCTTCTTTCTCTTCCCTGTCGGCACAGGGAAATGGGGAAGAGGAGAAATCAAAGCTTAGCTTTCTACGCCTTCCACTCCGGACTCCCAGATGCCATGGGAACCAATAACCTAAGCAGGTAAAAACAAGGCCCACACCCACCAAGGCCAAACGATGCTGTCACAGAAGAAGAAAACCCTTCTTTATGGGTTATTTATGGCTTGCTTGTGCGTTGGCAGATGGCCAATTCAAGTTGTCATTAAGGTCTCCAGTGTGGTGGTAGGTCAAGCCTTTATAGAGTGACTTCAAGACACATCCTCTTCTTCGGCCTTCATCCCCCGCCTCCTCTCTTTTACTGAAGCGACTACTGGAGCTTGATAGAGACGGTGGTGGTGGTGGTGGTGGTGGTGGTGATGCTGTGCCTTCGTCTATAAATGTCTAGAGAAACCAAAAGGATGGTTCTGACCCATGTGGTTTCGTCGTTATTAGCGACTCTGATTTAGAGGATCCTCTTTGGGCACTAAAACAAATGGAGGTTGAAAGGAGGAGGAGGAGGAGGAGGATAGGAGAGAGAGATTGTTCTTGTGCTTGCACCACCATGTCTTCTTCTTATCTTTGCCCTCTTGCTTTCTCTCTTCTTTTTCTTCTCCTTTCTTGCTGCGACGAGATGATCGGCGCCTCGGCCTCCAACTACACGACGCTTAGGTTAGCAAGGATTCAAAGGCACTTGGAGAGAATCAACAAGCCTGCAGCGAAAACCATACAAGTAAGGAAGACGCCGAAAGCGTTTCTATCTCATGCCATTAGACTTGCGTGCTTTCTGATTCCTTCATGAACTCATGCAGAGCCCGGATGGAGATATCATCGACTGCGTTCCCCGGCACAAGCAACCGGCTCTCGACCATCCCCTTCTAAGCGATCACAAGATCCAGGTGCATGTCCTCTTCCATCGACTGCTTCTCCTCTGCGTGATGCTCTATGCTAATACCTGTGGATTTCCTTAGAGAGTAGCCCCACAGAGGCCGAAGTTCAAGGTCGAGAGGGCTCCCAGAAATTACAGTGCGAGTGATGCACCGCGAAGGGCATGGCAAGCATGGCACCACGCCGGCCATTGCCCCAGGGGGACCGTTCCCATACGGAGGAGCTCCGTCGATGATGTCCTGAGAGCCAAGTCTCTGTTCCACTTCGGCAAGAAGCAGATGCGAGTTCCTCTCGCCAGGAAAGTCGATGCACCAGATGTGGTCAGCGGCAATGGCCATGAGGTACATGTTCTATCGTCCCCTTGGGTATGAATTAGATTACTTCCACAAGTTCTATTGCTCTTAGATAGACAACAGTAAAGCTGTAAGCCAGACGGGGGAGGGTGACAACGATTATTAATGCTGCTGTATATTTCAAATGGCAAGAAGGAGATATAAATACTCTGCTTTCACATCTGAGATGATAGCATCTCACAGACGCATGCATTGAATGATCTCAAAGGCATCGGCCGGGCAGTGGTGTGGTGGAAGCTATCATGACACCATTTCTTTACGTTCAATGCTGGTTCATTGCACAGCCATTGCATGAAGACCAGAAAGCAGTCATGAGAAACGTGAATGACCGCTAGGGAAGCTGCGTGCATGGATCTCAACAGCCATTCGCCAGTTTCCTATTCCATTCAGCGAAACTTCTCGATGCACTTCCCATGTGTTTCCTAGTTTTGAGAGACGTAATCGATTAGATCTCTCAATCTGGTTGACTGACGCGATCTATATCTATATATATGTGTGTAGCATGCAATAGCTTACACTGCGAACAACCAAGAGGTGTATGGAGCCAAAGCTACGATGAACGTATGGGATCCCTCCGTCCAAGCGGAGAACGAGTTCAGCCTCTCCCAGATTTGGATTCTCTCGGGATCATTCGACGGCGCAGATCTCAACAGCATCGAAGCTGGCTGGCAGGTACATATTTCTTGAAGTCCACTCTGTATCAGCTTCAGCCTTCTTTGAAATGCCAACATCTTTGTTTAAAGTACTCAACAAAATTTGATGGGCATTCAATGGAGCTTTCACTCATTTCCATGACTGTACAGTATTCGAATTGAATAAGAAGTGTGTGGAGTTCTGAAGGCCGCCATAAGCTTTGACTTATAAGCTTCCCAGCGAGGAAGAGTAGATCGGTGTATCATCTTGATGCATGTTACTCGTTGGCAGTGTGACCGGAAGAAGTCCACCATTTGACTTCCGAGGGCACGCTAAAAGCTCAAGGGAGGTGGGTGAGCTCACGATAACATACCTTATGTGTTACCGTGGAACTTCGGCTGTATGATCTCGGTGGTGTTCTTCGGATTAGGACCACCCAATTTATTCTGCAGCTAATCTTTTACATTGCCATTTAATAGCTTGTCGGAATGTTGAAAGCACAATAAAGGTTTACCAACCAAACGTACCTTCTTCATTGAAGGAGATGGTCCGAAATGATAGCCATGACAGTGTCTGTGAAAGCATGAGTTCATCTTCTTGGAATGGTGATCTGAAGCTTTATACTTTGTTCTAGTCAGGTCAGCCCTGAGCTCTATGGAGACAGCAGACCGAGGCTGTTCACATACTGGACGGTGAGACCCAACATTTCTGAGCTCTCACTCGAGTGCCAATCATAAGCTCCACTCCTTGTGATGCAACAGAGTGATGCGTACCGAGCAACAGGCTGCTACAATCTCCTCTGCGCAGGATTCATACAGACGAACAACAGGATCGCCATCGGAGCAGCCATATCGCCGGTATCGTCCCCTGGAAGCAGCCAATACGACATCACCATCCTCGTATGGAAGGTAGGAAGTTTCGCAGGTTAAGAACAGTGCCGGTCCTATGCATGAGAAGCGTGTGTTGGTCCCTCAGGATCCGAAGCTGGGGAACTGGTGGATGAGCTTCGGTGAGAGCATGCTGGTGGGGTACTGGCCGGCGGAGCTATTCACGCACCTCTCCGACCGCGCCACCATGGTGGAGTGGGGAGGGGAGGTGGTGAACATGAGGCCCAACGGCGAGCACACCTCGACGCAGATGGGGTCGGGCCGCTTCGCCGGGTCCGGGTTCGGGAAGGCGAGCTACTTCCGCAACCTGGAGGTCGTCGACGCCGACAACAGCCTGGTCTCAGCTCAGGCCATAACGACGCTGGCGGAGAACACCAAGTGCTACGACATCAGGAGCTTCTCCAACGCCGACTGGGGCACGTACTTCTACTTCGGCGGGCCAGGGAACAACCCCCAGTGCCCTTGATCTCCTCGTCCTCACCACGCAAACTTAGTGCATCTCTGCATTGTACAATCGGCATCAGTGCCCTGCAAAGGCTAAGGGGGGGTTTTGTTGCTACTGAGGTGCCATAGTTCCTCATATAGTAGTAGTAGTAGTCGTAGTAGGCACCATATTCTTTGATGGCTTCTACTTCTCCTTGTACTCTGTTTGCTATAATGCAACGATCTTGGCAGCTACCCTTTGCACTTTGGAGATCGATTTGGCCTTTTTCTCGACGAGGAAAAATGCCTCGTGTCTACTGAGCTCATCATATTTTATAGGTTAAAAATGGCTTATGGGAGGTGAGAAAATAGAGGTAGGGGAGGAGGGAGAGAAAAAAGTCAAAAAAAAATAAATCAAGATTAAAAGTGAATTTAATAAAAAAAAAAATCAAGATTGAAAAATCAACTTAATTTGATAACTTCTGTTTATATTACCAAAACCTAATTTTTCGATAACTCTCTTTTTATATTCTCTCATATAAACCTTCAATAATTTATATATAGTTTTTATCTTCTTGAAAAGAGTATCGTGGTGTTACGGACTTAACTAGTTTTGCCTAAGTCATGCGACACTCTTGTGTGTCTGTCCACAAAGGTTAGCCTCTTCGAAATCTCCTATGATCTCATAGGACTTACAAAAGAAAAAATAAGTTAGAGAAATCGTTTTCTCGAGATCCACGAGTAATTATTTCAGCAAACACTTTATAGCTAATGTAAATTACAAATATACTTCTTCGCAAACTTTGAACGATCGCATAACAAAAACTGATGGTTAGAATCTCCAGCAAGAAAAGTTATTGCCAACTCAAATCCACTCAAAACAAAGAAAAATTAATGGATCAGAATGTGGCATCCAATAAATTTAAAATAGAAGGATAAGTAAACACAAAAGCTCAAAAAAACTTAATCGATATGACACATCAATAGCAGGTTGCAAAATTTTTGGGGATATTAGCTAAGTTAATCGATAAAAAAAAATAATTATTGATAATAAGATCAAAATATGAGGTTTGCTTATAGAGAAAATGTGTGTTCCCAGATTTATTTGAATTTCAAAAATAATTTAGATTGACATGAATGAATAAAGAACGGTAAATTCATTAAAAAAAAAATCAAAAAATTTTATTTTCTAGCTTCTTGATTTATTCGAGTAGAGTGGCTTTTACTTTCTAAATGACGTTAGTACTTTTAGTCGTGGGTTGTCTTTATTTTTGCTCTCATCCGTCATACCCTTTGCCTATCATTACATTCGTCCCTAGTTCGTCATTGTAGTTATGCCGTTGCGACCTTTGAGACTAAACGTCAACATCTCACCCTTCTCTCTCAGCTCCAAACCTAATTACAAAATCTCCGCCTATTACTAGATGTGGACGTAGCACCACATCATCATTAGCCAGTCACATAAATACTATTGGTTATCCTCTCGAAACATTGACCACCTTAATAGCTATAACAACAATAAGAAACGAGTGACAAAGGTGACGAGACAAGTGCATGACGGATGAGAATAAAAATGCAATATCAGACAAAGGATGAAAGCACAAAACAAAGATATAACGATTGCGATGGATGAAAACACAAAGACTACGACGAACAAAGGATAAGAACAACAATCGACAAACGAAAACTATAAATAATCTTATTTTTTAAAAAAAAAAGATAGTCTATTAGAAAAACATAATAATTCTTTTAAAAAAATTTACCCAATTTTCTTCCGTTGCAATATCCTATTTAAGTCCATAAATAAAGTATGATATATATTTAATGTTCTTGAAACTCTCATTGACGTGTAAGAGAAAAATGATACACTCGAAACTGAATTGAAATTTCTTCGTAAATGTCCTGTTAACTATAGGCTTAAAGTTCCTATCAATATCAGTCCCTTTAAAGACTCAAATCACATTTCATGTTCTTAGCCACAAACAAATGTGATCATATTCATAATAGTAGCTCGATTCCCACATTAATCGATGAACCCAAAACACAAAACAAAACACGGTAAAATCATTTATTGAATCCTAAACAAAAGTCCAGGAAACCCAAAACATGAGAACAAGAATCCAAACATCGTCTTGCTTGTTGGGACTCGAATGGCTCGAACCCTTAGCCATCCATTTATTGGCGAGCAATCGGGAGAAATCAGCCCACCAAAAGCTCTCTATAACAGCAGATCCTGAGGGGCCTGGTTAGTGTTGGTGCTGGTGGTGGTGGTGGCGCCGCCGCCGCCGCTTCCAGCGTCGGCGTTCCCCATTCCCACTGCGTTCTTCACGGCTCCCGCCGCGTCCTGCGCCATCTGCTTCACTTGTACCCCAGTCTTGCAAGGAAAGCCAAACTCAATTCGTCAACAGAGATCGCCGAGGGAGGAAGATGAGGGCGGACGGCGATGTCGGGAATTAAGCGTTTGTGGGTGGAGCGTACCTGCTGCAGGAAGCCGGCGGCGTGCTGCTGGCTCTCCTTGGCGGACTGCATTGTGTCCGACGCCATGTCGCGGACGGAGCTGGCGGCGTCCTGGACCGACCGGGTCCACTGGCCAGCCTGCGCCTGCACGAATCAAGAAGCAACATCCGACGGTCAGATCCCACCGCTGGAGCAAAGACGACGACGACGGCGACCCACCTCGCCCTCGCCGTGGGCTTTCCCGGACTGGAACATCTGGCTGCTCGACATCTTCCTTGCCTCGAGTTGCCGAAACCGACACCTTGTTTACCAGAGAACAAACACTGAAAGGCGAATGAGAGATGGACCGGTGGTGGGGGGTTTATAAAGGAAGCCGAGAGCGATGCGAGGACGACACGTTGGTGGGATCGCAGGCAACGACGGAGGTGGAGTTTGGGGAGAGCGGGTAAGCATGCATGCTGTTGACGACGCGATCAGTGGTAACGACTTGGCCTCGAGTGTTAAGCGGAGGGCGTTAGGTTTGTGGCAGCAAATGTTGCCCTGCACAACGTTCGTCAACGTTATTGGAGTTCCTCCTATCTGCTGGTGTTTCAATGTATGAATTAGATGTTAATACGGTCTCTTTTCCTTAATAAAAATCCGATTTCTAAGTGTTGTTATGTTTGGAAGATAGAAAATGTTAGTATCATATGTCGTTTGTTCTGTTCCTATAGAGGACTATACTTTCGACAGAACTCTTCCATCGATAAGTCAGATTCTGATTTATTGGTTGCAAAAGAAAAATATATAAATATATGTTTTTTTTTTTCCATAACAGTATAAACATTATTCAAATTCATTGAAATTTGAAAGAATTATGTGTTATGTTTTAGAGGATAAATTTATTACATGCATCAAAATACACGATAGGCTGAGGAATGATTCGTATAATAGAAATTGCAACCTAATTCTTTTACTATATGTGATCAAATGATAATGGATTGGATTTTGTTAATTCCATCGTATGTATTTATCTATCCAGCCTTCGTCACTGACAATTCAATGAGCTTTCTCTCAAGGTTACGAGGAAGAGAGGAGGATGGAGCTGTTCTTGCGAGCAATGAAGATGGTGTAAGAGGGTGGGCTTCTTCTTCTAAAGCTTGACATCTTTGTGAAGCTCCAACTCCGCCATGAAGAGAGGACACAGATAGATCAGAAGCAGAGGAAGGAGACTTGACGATTTTGGATCTCTAATATATTGATTCCTCTATCAAAGATCCTCAACAAATGAAATAAAAACTAAAATATACTTACAAAAAAATACTTCTCAATGTTCAAGTTTTCAGATGTGGTACTGTGGATAAGAAAATGACTGATGGAAACACAGTTCATGAGGCCTCAATTACCGAAAAACTCAGGACTCTTTTCAAAATCATGAAATACAGTATCAAAACATCTATTATGTTGAGATATGCTATTGAACATATGAGAACGTGTTTAATATGATAAATAAAAATTAACTTTTAAAAAACAAAATCAACATCAAAACTACTAAATGTTTACACCGATATTGGTGTAAAAGATGTCGAAATAAGACTGACTGACTTAACTCCAGGTGCAAAACATGAAATAAAACAATAGGACATTTCAGAACCCCAAAAAAAAGCGTGTTACCATTGTCAGCAAGTTTCCTAAACAATGTCATGTTTGATCATACAAGTTCAGGCTTCCTAAAGTCGCTCGAAAATTAGTACCTCAGGAAGCTTAAGAGTTGCAACTCAGCTACGGCACATGAGATTTTATGCGTAGCTAATATTTCGATCAAGATTGAAAGGCCATGCTGATGATCAACCGAGGTCAGGTTGATCAAAGCAGCACAGCATAATAAATACAAAAGGAATTTAGCAACATACGGAAGAAGATGATCTATGTTGTTTGAGGTGGTGGCATTAGATCGAATTGGGTTTCCAGCAAAGAAAGCACTTGAGAAAGCGAAGACACCTTGAAATCCGGTCTTGTATCATCGGTGTAAGAATGAGGAGAGCCATACCTCCCTGTTTCATCAAGCAAGCATGTGAAGGCTCCTGCTCGTTTCCCACAAACCACCTGTAAGGGAGAGAAATATCAGAATTGTCAAACGACCAGACATCGTGATTGTTGGTATCAGCACGTATTTGCTGGAACTTCACAAACCGTACCCCACCGAAATATTTATGATAAGCAGAAAAAGGAAAACACCAATTTAGCACAAGGTTATGAGTTGTTTGAACATGTCAGTGGCAATGGATGCAGTGGACTCGTGATTTAAAATGGTCCCATATGAGCAGTCCTGTAACAGTCATTTGCCTGAAAGCCCCATGTGAAGAGAACAGCATACAAGACTACATGTAAGATATTCCCCATTACCAGCTCTTAGTCCAAATTAAAGGATGAGCAACAATGCTATTGTTCAGGGATGAGCTATAACAATTAAATTGATCTTTTACTCAATCGAGTCAATAATAAACTGATAGGGATTGGAAATGATTGAATATTTAAACAACCATAGCCACTATTCACTTTACACCAGCAGATATGAATTCGGATATTTATATATGGCTATTAAATGGATACTCAATTTTGAAGCCATATTCACTTGTGATTAGTATGACTGTGGATTTAGGTTAGATTAAAACAGATCAAGACGTGAATATTACATAAATAAAATATCTGTTACATATATGAAAGAAACTAGCTCAAATTTGTCAATGATATTTCTCGATGGGAAGCCGTTAAAGGAAATGGAAAGAGCTAAATGAATGAGAAAAAATAACTATGTTGCAATTAAAGAAACTATACATAGTTCCGTAGGTCAATCTGCATAATTTCACATTGTAAGATATATTTGTATCCTTAGATATTCAGATACAGATAAAACTGAATCCATATCAATATTCATATATCAGATAGCAAAATTTATACATGAATATGGATGCATGAGAATGCACATTTACATAACCATGTCTAGGTCCAATGAGAAATTGAAACAGATACAGATGATACCCAATTTCTCTCCAGTTCTGAATGTTAGCATAGGCTGATCCGTTGATCCTGAGTCAAAATGCAGACTCTTAACCTTCAAGACCTAACAAACTTTTAGTTTAGTTCGACTAAAGATGACAACAGTTGAATTTTTAGCTACTTTGAACCCAGGTTTGCAAACTTTGACTGATAAACGGCCTTTACTACTAATCTAAACATGGAATGTCTGATAATGGAGAAAACATGTGTTTTACTTGCCTGCTGAAATGACCAGCAGGTATCACAAGATTTATAAAGAACAAAAGAATCTTAGTTTTTCTTTAATTTTTTAACTGCAAAGACAATTTGTTGTTATAATGAGCATCTCTCATCAAATTTAATTCTCAAATTGACATATGGTTAGTGATGAATATTTTTTTTTAAAAAAGTGATGCTCCATGCCCTTGTCACTATTCTAACACCAAAGGAGTGTCACCGATGTCTTCCATAAGATCTATAAAGTGAGCCACACATGTTGTCCCAAAAAAATAAACTTGTGTGTTCATCAATTGTTTGTCATTAGTATTTGTGCCATTATCAGTCACCACCTAGACTGTATAATGCTCCCTAGCCTCATCCACAGCAGTCTCCATTGGACCTTGAATCTTGTGAATCTGATCCGATACTTCAACTGACATATGAAAGATGATTTGGTCTTGGTCAAATCCAAACGGATATTGATCCAAGTGGAATTGGCTTAAAGGAAATCTACACTAGTTTGGCATAGATTCAGTCTCACTTCAACAAGAAAATAGAATGGCAAAACACAGATCTACAGCTAATGCAACAATATAAGAATGGAAAAATTACCTTAAGGTGAAAATTACACGAACAAAGCTTCCATAAACAAGATATTTTACTTCAATTTCAGATTCACCTTGGTTAGGAGAAAAAACAAGGACGCTTTCTTGAGTTCGAACCTTGGTTTGCTAAACATTGACATATTTTAGGACGATAAAGGCTTAAAAGAGAGAGATTAGAGTGAGTTGAGAGGCCTTAGGAGGAAAGGATGGATTGAATCAAGTCACTGGATAACAGACTTATCACTTGATAAGCTTGTTTATGCTAAGTAGTACAGCTAGTATGGTAAGTATATCAGGTGATACAATACATGCTGAGTCTGATTGAGATGTCGAAACTGTAAATACCATTCCATACCAACTGGTATTGCGAAATTTCAATTCTTGATAGAAATATCATGAGGTGATAATCTAGATATATATACAAATGCTACTTTCTATAGTTGTGATAAATGATTTTTAAGATGCCTTCACGACGATTGTCAAGTCACCTCATGTAATGTGTAATATATAGGCAAATGTTTAAAATCCATGCATCAAAGAGAAAAAAATAGTTAACTCCTTGAGCTAAAATAAAGGAGGAAACAATATCCCCTAGATAAGTGAGCATCCGAAACATGTGACATAACATTCCCCATCGAATTAAGTAATGCAAAAGTGGCATGCCAAAGAATCATGATTCTCCATAATATCACAATACACGGTTAAAAACATTTGAATCAACTAAATTAATTATGGAAAATGTAGGGGTCAGTATGGTATGCCCTAGATTAATAATTTCATCGTCAACTTAGGCACTCATAGTAGAAAAAAGACACTTCTCAATAATTCTGCATATGAGCAATACACGCAAGAACAAAATGAGGCTTTAGGTACTACTAGCAAATAGATTTGTAAGATATAGGATGATACATGCAAATTTCGATATTGAATAAATTCACTCACATCATCTCTAAGGCTGTCACCTATCATCATGACTTGACTTGGAGGAACACCCCAAATTGAACATATATGTAACAACGGAGCTGGGTCTGGCTTATAAGGACGAAATTCCCTACTTAGTGCTGGGATGAATTCCATCTACAGACAGCAAATTTGTAACATAATTCTAAAAATAAATTACAATTTAAACTAGAGGAAACAAATTAAACAACAATAACAAACCCCGAAACCAACTATCTGGAAACAGTATGATACATATGAATATATCAATAAGCTAAGAAAAAGCATAATCAGCTCCCTAAAAGACATAGTAAGTAACAATCATAAATAAATATCTACACCCAAAGACAAATTGCACCCAACTTTGTCAAAAACATTAACAAAAGACCAGTTAACTTCTATTTGTCAAAACCCAGGCCCACTTTTACCAAATTCTCAAACCTGAAAACCTAGAAGGATAAGTATAAGAATACATCTCTTTCCCTTCATGATAATTACTCCACTGATGGTAGTGAAGATCTAAAATAGCTAGTCATTCAAAGGCATTGCCACTTCTATTGCATCCCAATACTACAGCTTTGTTTCGTCAACTATATGGTTTGTGCATATGGCTTTGTCTCCACATTAGCAGTAGCTTTATTGCTACACCAGAGTGAATATTAACTCCTCGTTGGTGTCTGTTGAAGTCCCACCATGGGTGAAATTGGTCTGACAACTTTTATGATCATTAAGGAAGCATTAGGGAACATCAACAAAGCAAAAATGAGAAAAAAAAAAAAAGGATAGCAAGAAGGCAATGAGGGGATAGCTAGGAGCAGCTGGCAAGGTGGCCATGAATCAATCAACAATTAAAGTTTCAGTTATACCAGACAGTACGAACCAATTTTTATGGACTGGTATAGAAAGGGGACAATATCACCCAAACCGGTCTGGAACCAAGCTTATAGCCTGCTAAGTTTGCCATGTCAACCTTTCTAGGTGATAAGCTAACAGCGAATGAGTAGTACTAGATGGTAGGCCTCCTACTTCATGGTACCAGCCATAGCTTTTTTCAATCCTGTTCCTTTTTTCCTCTTCCTTTTCTTCTCTTTTCTCGTTGTTAATTTTCTCCTTCCACTACTCTTATGAATCATCACTTTATTATTTAAAACCCTACAGCAGCTTCTCCTCCTCATCCTCTTCCATTCATCTGTGTTGCCACTACCTCATAGTACCGTTACACTCCTTAACCTCTGCTTCTCATAAGCAATATATAATCACCTCCTCCTCCTCTATCTCTTTCTCTCTACATGTAATGGTTTGGTTGATAGCATTGATATTATATATAATGGTTGATAATTCTAAGTGGCAATCACGAGTATAGTGGCAATTGGTGAACTTCATAGACATGACAGAGGAAAATGTGGAATATGAACCGAGAAAAGAAATGATGTGCAGTAAAATAAATGGTTGGGTTACCCTAATCTTAATTGTAGATGGTCTAAACTTTCATAAACCTTTACAACTGCAAAAATGGCCCAAAACACAATAGTCTTAACACTAAGTTCAAATATTTCAGTAGCCAAACCCCAAGGGCCAGTGAAGGTTCTAGGCCATCAAACCCAAGTTCTCGCACTTAATAAGTTTCAAAGATTTTCATTCTCTCTTGTCATGCTCATTCTAAACTTTGAAATACATAGTCAATTATTTTTTAAAATAATAAAGAAATAGGAATAAGAATAAACTTGTAATTTACCCCAAATCGCTGATGAAATATGTCAACTGCAGACTTGACATTGCGAGTTATTAAACCTCTCCTGCAAAAGGTTAAACTCATAAGCAGGCAAGCTAAACCATGCAAACCAGCATATTCGAAGGGTTGCAAGCCATAGAGTAAGAAGATATATTTTCCTCATTAAAAAGAAAATATTGTCTCTACACATTCTATTAATAACATGGCAAATTCAATGTGTTATGTCCACCAAAGTCCTTAACATAAAGCTGGTGAACTTAGGAGTGTTTAATGCAGAGATGGTAATGCAAATTGTTTGAAGTTCCTGGTGCTGATCCCAGAGGAACAATAGACGCAGGTGATAATAGCAAATTAGAGATTCTAACCAAATGATCTGCATAAGATGGGACCCGTTGCTACTTCTAAAAGGCAAAAGAATATACTACCTTATTTGCCTAGAATCCAGGTACCTGCAAAGTTCCAAAGCACCTGAAAAGTAAATTTCCTTTATCAGAAATAACAATACAACTTGATAGGGCCATTGGAGTTTAATCTGGTACTAACAACTGAAAATTAGGCACAACCACGAAAAACATTTTGCATCAGTATAAATCAAGAGGAATTCATAGGTACTATTTACTATCAAATTATATTTGTTTTTGCAATAATGCCTCTCAACATGAGAAAATTATCAGCCCTTCGATTCAAGTTACTAGCAGAAGAGAAGTAGATACAACTACCACAAATGTAAGAAGTATAAGGATGCAAGTTGGTCTAGAAAGAAACTGATTAATGTAATAAGATTTGAATTACTACTTGATCTTTAGAATCTATTAGGTCATCATATATACTATTGCCTTCTCAACCATAGTGTCAGTTTCTAAAATGTCAACTTCTCAACGATAGTGTCAATTTCTAAATGTTGACTAACTTAAGTTGTCATAATGATCACATCATTTTCAGTCTTACATTGAGCAAGACAGTGATGATCAATCACTTATCTGCATAAACCACAATAATTATGTACACACATACTTCATATACCTATATGAAAAGATAGTGGAGATCATGTATTGAGTTGTATATGAAACCATAATGATTATATTAAAATAATTTTCTTTTTAGCAAATAGAGACAAATGCTCTCGAATTATGTATCATGAACCTAAGCAGTATTGCTTCTCCGACTTACATAAGAGATCCACATGATGCTACACAAGACCCTGGGTAACTGGGGAGAGAGCATTCAGATGTCTGATACCCATCAAACAACAACCACGGAAACCTTCGCAATAAGATCATGATCCATCGGACGCCTATCTCTGACCAATCAAACGATCATACAGTGGTGAGGAAGAGAATGGTGGTACGGGACGAACCGGGCATAATCTGGAGGCGATCAAGGCCCTGGCGCTCGAACCGAGCGATGATCTCGTAGGCACGCTGCTGCTCCGGCGGCGGCCACGCCTCGATGTGGTGGAGGATGTCGACGCCTCCGCCGGAGGCGCTGGCGGCGCGGTAGGTGGCGTAGCCCTCCTCCCCCAGGACGGCCTTGTACATGGCGCCGAAGTCGATCACGGGCACCGTCAGGGTCCCATCCATGTCGAACACCAGGCCGCGCAGCCGCCCCTTCTTGGCAATCCCATCGCCGCTGTCCCCGGAGGGCATCGAGGCGGGCGACGACGACACGGCAGCGAGATGGAGATGGCGTGGAGGTGAGAAAGGGAAGGGGAAAAAGAAGAAGCGGCGGAGGAGAGGCGGGGAGAGGAAGAGAGGCATAGCATTGGGTAGAGGAGGGAGATATTGGAGATTGCGCTTTTTAATGTCTATTGTCGACGAGAACGGTACGAGTTTGGTGTTTGTGTACAGAGGTGGAATGGGTCCCACATTTTGATATACCGAAGCGGAAAAATTTGTAAACCGATGGAGGCACATACACGTATGCGGTTGAGCGGTCCTGATGTCCTGCTTCGTTAAACGACACAGGATATGGTCGATCGATCGTTGGCATGTTCCCCTTGATGAATGTGCACGGTAAGTGATACACGATGCATCGATTACAAAGCTTTTAATTTGTAGCATTTGGAATGGTGGTTTAGTACATGACCGTAGTTTTAAAAACATTAGAATACATTTCTCATTAGTTTATTTTTATAAATAAGTAAATTATCAAACTATTAAGTTATAAGTTCACAAAATGGTGACATTTATATCTTTTATAATTAAATTATTGTTATGGGAAGTGGCGGGCTAACGAATAAACAACATGTTACAGTATAAAAGGTGAAGTAATGACAAGATTTTACAAGTGCACGGATTTCTCAATTCAATGTTCACCATAAACATGCGGTTTTTGTACCTTTTGCTAAAGGTGTGTAGCCATTTTGACTACCGACCATTCATGCCATCTCCAACTCCCGGGATTTCTTTGCCAATCTCTCGTGCCGAGCCTGCCTTGATAGCAGCAGCTATCTTCCTCTGTAGGTACAGCAGCCCGATGCGCTTTGAAACAACATACAGCACCGCAGATATGAACACGATAAAACCAACCACTAATATCACCCTGTTTTGATACAGTTGAGCATGATCAGATGTTAGTAGGACCAAATGTTCAGTCACTGCCTACTAAAAACCTAATCCTGAAAAGAAACATACTATGGCTATGACGGCAATTTTTTTGGCACTCTTAAGAAGAGAGATGTGTCAACAAAACAATTCTGAGAAAATTAAACATAAGAATATATACTAAGAGAACCACACATGTTATCGGTGATTATATTATTTTGCTTAACAAATACCCAAAAACAACCATAACAAAGGCCAGTACCTATCAAGAACATCCTGCCGACGCATCGTTGAAAGCAAGTTGCGGGTACGCATCAGCAAAGACCGGTGTCCTTTGTATTCACTTTCAGCCTTCCTCAAGACACCCGTTGATTCCTCTGCATGACAAATCACATTCAAAGGAAGGCCATTGCAACCCAGCATATTACAATGATCGAAGTTGTAAGAAATATTGCTAGAAATTACACGTAAATAAAAAAGAAAAACCAAGGTATCCACAGATAGCATCACACGGCATGCTACAAACAAGAGGCATGAGCAGCGGTAACCATACTTAAATTCTGATTAAGAACAAAGCCTAAGGTGGCCTTCAAAACCTACACACTGAGAAAATATTTTCAGAAAAGAAGGAAACCTCCACGTTTGTAAAATTTTAAGATAGGTAAACCGTCGACTGTCTAAGAAGACATCAAAGTGTTGAACATTATGAAGATATTTTACAAGAAGTGTTGCTTCTTTAACTCACAAATAAATGTTATAACCAGCGAATAGCAAAAATGGATTTACAACGAAAATCTGAAATTCCAAATTTCAGATAACTTTTTATTTTTTTGAAACTAGACTAAGGCTTTCATGTAATGCTAATGACTTGAGAAGAACAAAGACCTAGTAACCTTCCAGTGGAAACTGTCATTCCAGCAAACTGATCAGACTTAAATGAAGCTCAAAGCTTCTCATACAGCTTTTTTCTTCACTCCCTTGCCTCTCATTTTATAATCCAAACAGAAACATGGAAAAACCCGGAAGCCCAGATCATGCCTCCATATAAGAATATATGAAACTGAAGATCTCATTCTAGTTAGGAATCTTAGAGTAGTGCTTTAAGAATTTTTCCAGCAGACATATCAGAAACCAAACAACAGAAAAAGGAATTCAACACTATAAATAAAGGAATTTCTGAAAAGAAACAAAAATTTGCATGGGAAATATTATAGATTCAAAAATCTAACAATAGATTAAATCCCATACTTATACAGGAACTATCTGAATTTCAATAGTTATGATATGTTCTAGCTGAAATGTTAACAAACTGGTTCCAAATGAGACAATAAACAATGTTTTCTAGGCCCAGTTCTTGAATGCTATCAGTTGAAGTAAACATTAATGCATGCACAAAATTGAATAGTGGATTAACTTAAAATATATTGACAATTTAGAATAACATATAACTAGAATCTTATTTTGAGAGATATGAAAGAACGATAATGTATACCAAAAGTTGCCAAAGTATTTGCACTTCTTTCCACCTCCTGTAAAAATTTAGATGGTTAATGTGAGAAACAAAAACTACAATGACAAGGTAGCTGGATTCATAGATAAATTGCATAAATAATCACCTGAACCATTATTTGACGAGTCCGGCGAAGGCTCTCCGTAATGCTTTCTGCAGCAGAGGTCATGCCAACCTTTGTCCTACAGTCATGCAAAGGTAAACACATCAATGTTCATAAGAATCTGGTCAAAAGAGTAAAACACATCATAGGTTCAAGAGTAAAACTAACCTAATTCAACTGAAAATATAGGTAAAATATATGGAGAAAATACAAGGGCCCAAAATAGTTGAGCAACACCGAGAGACTCACTAGATTATAGGTGAAATCTGCTTCAACATGTAGAGATGAGAAAGAACCAACAAACGAATACCAGGTCAGATCAGTGCTTATGGCTTGGTACTAACATTCCAACCTATGATCAATTCGCAGACTTGGTACCGGTTCATACCAGGTGTTCACTGTATCAGATGATCTGCCTAGATTTTACTGGTATATATACATATACCAGATAGTAGGCAGTCTGATACCCAGATCCAACGCGCCTTCCACCCATTTAAGCATGAAACCAGTTTCCAGAGCCCGTTCTCATCTTTCACTCTACACTCTCAGTTGTTCACACTCTCATTCTAAAATCGTTTTTCTCAATTCAAGTTTCGATTTCAAGCAAATCAAGCTTCAAGTTAAAGAATTAATCCTTGTTTACTCCAAAAAAGGTAAAAATTAAGCTAAAATTCAAACTTTTATTCCGAAGCAACAAAAATGACAGTACAAATAACTATCACATCACATCATCCATCGGTTGCAAGCACCTTCTCCCTTATACACCTGCAACAACCATTCATAAAAAGACTTGGAAAAGCTGGTTTACATCCACTGTAATTTGCAAAGCTACTTACCTAGGGCTGGACAAAAGAGGAGGTCCGTTAGATCCATTTGATACACAGTTTTATCATTAATGATTCGAATCCAATGATAGACTGGTTAAGCCCAATAGAGAGTTACGATGATCCACTGCTTGATGAGGATGGAGATCTACCATAACCATCTTGATTCATTCTAAAACAAATCAAGGAGCACCTACAGTATGAGATTGTTCAGTATAAGGTGATCCAATGTTAGGATGTGGTTAGGTTACCAATAGTCAGTCCTCCATGGACCACACATAGTGAGCCAATCTTAATCATCCAGCTAGCTTAATGAGAGAAGCTGCTCATCGCATTCATTTAATTCATTGGATGTTATCAATGAGCAATAACTTGATTCGAATGATAAGATTAATTCAACATGCTATTTTGATCAGTTTGTAAGGTCAGCAATGATGACAGTGAGATGGATAGTAGGAAGGGACAAAGGTCTCATGGTCTTATATGCAAATACAAATTGATAGAGTGTGGACTGAGGTTTACATGTCACTCAAGATAAAAGTTATAGTGTCATATTATCCACCAAATTAATTAATGGTCTAAAAGCCATAAGCTAAAGGGAAGATAGTTGATATTTTCCACAAATGAGAAAGAGCTAACATAAGAACCAGTCAAATATTTCATATGTCACCCAAGATAAATGTTATAGTGCCAAATCATCCACCAAATTGATTTGTGGTAGCAAAAGGGAAGATAGATGATATTTTCTAGAACGATAAAGAGCATAAATGTGAATGAGCCAAATGGGAGGTCCTCAGTATCGCAACATTCCTACCAACCCGGATTTCATGAATCACGAAAAAGAGACTTCATACAGTTCTACAACTTCAGTATAATGATGGTAATTCGACTGCCCAACGGCAAAGGTAGTTGTACTTGTACTAACCCTAGACCTACTATGCCTTTAATCTTCATAGTGGCATGTACTCCAATTGTATTTAATCACGATGTCACAATTATCCTTACATCATCAGAGCAGACAGTATCAAATGTTATGACTTATATTGTGGACAAAAGTATTCTTCAAAAGTATAATCTTGATCAAACAACTCATATTGTGGACCTGATCCACCTCCCGCTCTGGCATGATAATCCTTTCGGTGGAAGTAACAACTAACAACATAACAATTTTTAAGTCTCTGTGTTTAATAGTATGTCACCTATATATTTCTAAAGTCCACAATAACATTTTTAAAAGCTTTTTATGCATGTTTTCTCAACATTGTTTTAAATAGATCATAAGAATATTTTTATCATTACTGAACCAAAGAAACAAAAGAGACAAAATTTAGATTAGATTTGATGCACGCTATAAGGTCCGATCAGTATTGCCGACAACCACTGGTATGAGACTGTTCTAATTTATTTCTCATTTAAATAAAACTAAGTAGTTTAGAGAGAATTCTACAAATGTCATGAATTGCCACTTGACAATATCTTCAATGCTTATAATTTAGTTTACTAGATTACGCAAGAATATAAAAAGGAAGCAAATGATTCAAAAAATGGAAGAAAACAAAACTTGATTTTGGTTAAAGACCATAAATCTTAATTAAAAATTGTTACCTCTACAAAGAAGTTTCAGCATCTTGTAGATGAAAAATCTAATAATCAAATATATCATCAAAAAAGGAAGATTATACTTCAAATTAAATATAAAAATATATCTTCTTCACAGAAGGAAAGCTGTAATAATTGATATGACATATATAATGTTATCATATCCTCATTTTTGTAGCTTTTCCTTTTTTTTCCTTGTCTTATAAAAAGGGATAAATAAAATGTAAATAAAGATACAAAAATGTATGAATGAACGAATTCCCACATTACGTAGTGTGAGACCACATCTTTTTCCAATAACATGATTCCATTGTCCACGTACGAGATGTGTGAAGACATATACTTTCATCTTGGTAGTTTCTCGTGCGAGTAAAATAGTTATTTTGTAGTTATTTTCTATTATTATCCTTTCCTTCCCTTCTCTCTTTCCTTCTCTCTATTCTCACCTGAAAAATAGAAAATAAGATCATCCTCCATTGTGGACTCATCCTTCATCATCAGACTTTGTATTAGAGCCCGTCCTATATCAACTAGCATCGATATTGAATTGAGATTTTAATTCTTCGAAAGCATTAGGCCACCCAACAGACAAATAAATCTTAATGACTTTGAATGTGTCAATTTCAAAATATTTTTAGTCATTGCAGGCACATGAAACATAATTTAGACTGTTCATGCAACAAAATCCTTAGACATTAATTTTCAGCTATTCGAGATGCAGTTCCAAAAAAAAGGAGCAGAATCATCATGTCCTTTTTGCATCGTGACATAAACAAAAAATTGAGTAGTAATAATCATTTCTTTCTTTAGATTGTCCTAACGAATAACAATAGCATGACCACTGAAAGGAAGAAGGATCGTACATACTTCCAAGTCCAACTCTAGGTTACATAAGAAATTAAGAATTAAAAAATATAAAAATAGTACTAACAAACTTAATGCAAAATGAATATAAAAAGCATATATAAGATGAAGGTTATGGAAATATAGCTTAGAATGAAAAAAGAATATTCTTTAAAATGCCGCCTTAGAAGTCAACAGTCTCACTAGATAGACAGCTTACTGCAAATTACGCCTGCGAATTGTGGACTCTTCACCACCTCCTAGAAGAAGCTCCCTCTACAAATAAAGAGAAAGGAAAACAAGGATGATTAACTTAGTTACTAACCTATAGGAAATTTAATACATAATCTGAGATATAACAATTAGATATCTAATGACTGGCTTCCTGGATTATCCATTACGAACATAAAAAAAGTACAAACATAACCAGAAATCCAAGTTGAAGAATGGTCACCTCTTCCTGAGCAGCTTTTCTTATGTTGCTTTTGGCTTGTAAATTGGCATTCCTCAAACTCGAATGCAAACTGGTAGTAGAACAGGATATGAGAAGGAAAAAAACAAAAATTAAGGTCAGTAGAACATAATAGATATTTCATATCAGAATGCAAAACCAAATCTAGGCAAGTTAAAGAAATCTGCAGTTGCATGTTCCGGAAAGAAATTTATTTAGAGATTTACGTTTGGTACTGTTCCTTCCAAAATTCTAAAGTTAGCTGGGCAGATTGCATTTCTTCTTCCGTGGAAAGCTGCTGGGCAAGAAAATCAAGTTTAAACTGCAATGATCTAAGCAGTGCGAGTGCATCTTGTGCAGCACCATTTAATCTAGGAAGAGAATTTGCTTCTTCTGTCCCTCTTCCAGATGTTCCACAACTTTCAATGGACTTGATGTGCTCTTGAATCTGCAGAATCGACTGATCCCATTCTTTCTTGATATTTGCAACAGCTTGTGCAACCTCATCCATTCTAAATTAGACAAAAGTAGTACTTAATCAAACAAACTAGATGGAAAGAGAGTAATCATATTGAAGAGCAGACAAAAACCTCAGAAAATAAGCATACCTTAAACTTCGGCCAAACTATAGTTACAGATAAACTATACAGAAAGCCTAGCAAATGCAATTTTGTTATAGAGCCTCCACTCTGAACAATAATAAAAAACAAATAATACAGATTAGAATATGCAAAAATTCAAAGACATTAAATATATCAGAGTGGTTCATTACAAGTAATAATCACGCATCCAAAATGTCCAATATGATGATGTCCAATTAAATTCCATTTTATGCATGAATACACACAGAACTAATAGCATTCTTGCATGTCTGGGAACTCTTTACTACCAACCGAAGGTTCAAGTTTTTTATTCCGAACTTATAGGTTGTCTTTTCAAAACAGATTTGCTAATTGTCCTATGAAGATACTGGTTCACACAAAGTGAATGATTAATGGTAAAATAAGAAAATTTTACACTGTGCTTTACCATCGATAGCAACACATCTATTCTATGCAGTGTAGTCAATGGTGCTGGGTGCTAAAAGAAGCGACGGTGCCAAAATGCCCAAGGCGAGTGAAGCGAGGCGCGACCAGATATAAAAATTTAAGAAATCTATATCATGATTAAATATAATTAGTAGATCTGAGCTCGACGGAAAGGGGTGCTGTCGGGGTCCAGGAAGTGTGCAAAGGCGGCAGAGGAGAAGGAGTAGGAGAGAGATGCCGAGGAAGAGCCCACCTGAGGAAGACGCCGCCGTCGCCGATCGCCGATAGAGAGGAAGAAGACGCAGCCGATTAGGGCTCGTCCGTGCCCGCTGGGTGGGAGGGGTGAAGACTGGTTGATCTGGTTTAATCGAACCAGAATCAGTAGATCTGAGCTCGACGCCAGCTCAACCAAGGCTCGACTTGAATTAGACGGGCCCGGCCCGGCCCGCCCAGCACTAACCCACTCACCACATTACAGTACGTCAAATGGAAATCGCTCGGAAAAACTAATCGGAGACTGTTCTTGGAACTCATCTATCTAATCCAAACGAGAAGAACAATCTCGTCAAGACGAACAAAACTGAATGAGACACCGTCATCCAAATGATCATCACAAAACTGAATGAGACGAACAATCTCTTCATATCTTAATCAAGAAACAGTGATCCACGAGATCTACGACATTTCTGAGAAAATTTTACCCATTACGCAGCGATCTCTTGATCCAAGCAAACAAACGAAACAAGCATTTAGGGTTTTCAGGGAAAGATATTTTACCACAGAAAGAGAGCAGGGAGGAAGGCGTCCTGATCTGCTGGGTGAGGCGAAAACAAGGGCGGGCGTTAGGTAGAGACGAAGGCGGTGCCGCCAGAAGCGTGAGGCGGAGGAAGGGATGGCGATGGGCGGGGCTGCGGAGTGAGATCGAGAGGAAAGCGGCGCAGCCCGCGGCGTGAAGCGGCGAAGGGGTCGAGCGGCGCCGTCTGCGGGTTAGGCGGAGAGCAGACCGGCTTTCGAGTGAGATCACTTCAAAGAAATAGTCCTATGAATTGATTTATTTATGCATATAAACTAATAAATTAATTTATATATTTTTACATCTTAAATATTATTTTGTTAGTAAAAGAAGAGTTCGGTCATTGACGAAGGAGACGCAAAACACAAATCCCATAATAACCGTACAAGTGCTACATGGACCGCTAACTCACTACCAATGTAATGTAACAGCTGCAATTACGCTAAACCAATCGATCAAAGCACATGACTCGTCTACAAGAACCTATGAACACCACCACATTCCAAGAGGCTAAGCAAACACCACGGTCTCAGTACTAAATCAAACCTATGGACTAGATCGAACGAGCTGAGATCACAGACGCTCGCTCAGGTGCGTGCATCCATGGCGAGAATGGAGCTCAGGTTCATCGGGCTCATGTACTCCTCGAGCCCAGTCATGAACTGGCTCACGATGATCCTGTTGGCTTTCTCGGTGGGATGGAACGCGTCCCAGAACGCATAAACGTTCCTGTTAGGGCACAGATTCGACAGAATGGTGCAGAGACCGATCCCGTTGTAGGGTCCCTGGCCGCAGCATGCAACCCTCGACGTGATGAACCCTAAGAGAGAAAGCAAACACGGCATCGGTATCAGGCAGTGAATGAGCCAGCCACATGCAGTGTCATAAACATGTTGCCTCACCGTATGCTCCAGGGTTGGTGATGAAGTCCATGTGCATCTTGTAGGCATTGACAGCGACGAAGACGGAGGAGCCATATTGAGTGTTGAGGTCACTCAACAGCTGCATCAATTGGGGGTTGTACAGGTCGGGGACTCGTTGCAGCTCGGGGTCGCAGGCGCCGGTCCTGCTCCGCAACGCGAGCTCCGCCGGGACGCAGCCGAGTGGGCCGATTCCGGTGACTAGGACTCGCCGGCTGCCCAGTTCATACAGCCTCTGCGCGGTTGCGAGTACTGAAATTAACTTCACGGTGGAGACGGAGGAAGCAGGAGGTGGAGAAGATGCGTACTGAAAGAATCTTCTTGTACTCGGAGACGAGATAGCGGACGTAGTCAGGCAAGGCGAACTGTCGAGATCTGAGAGAGAAAGGCACGAGGTAGTAGTTGTTGACGAAGTCGTTCCCGCCGAGGGTTATCAGGACGAGGCCTTCGTTCACCAGGCGTTCCGTCTTCTCCGGGCCGATCAGGGAGCTCAGCCTCTGCTGGTACTGCTCGAAGTACTGCAGCTGCTTCGTGATCCTAATTATGTTCGCCTGCAGACATACGTACGGCGGAGATGAGTAAACGCCCGGCCGGGCGCTTGGCTTCCCTCGTAATGTAGTGCGCGAGGAGAGACTTACGAACTGGATTCCCGTGTCGTTGAGGATCCCGATGCCGGCCGATGCGAAGTTGGCGCCCACCAGAAGCCGCTCTCCGTGGAGCTCGGGGCTCAAGTACGGCAACGTCGATTCGGCTCCGAGGTATTCACCTGAGAGACACCGGCACGGTTAGCTCAAAGGCGAGCAGAAGGGAGTAGAGACTCGTTATGCCTCCCGAGTGTTCGTTCAAATGCGTTTTCGTCGACGACGTACTGACGATATCAGGGACGTTCTTGCCATTAGAGAACCGGCCTGTCGCTCGGTGAGAGGGCGTGTCGATGCCGTAAGGGGGTGCATCGGCGCGTGCCGTGGTCGCCAGATAGTTGTTGTTGCCGTTGTCCACCAGAGAGTCTCCGAACACGAAGAAGGCGCGAGCCGCGGAAGACAGCGGGAGTGTCCCCAGTGCAAGCAAGCCGAGGGCCAGAAGAAGACGCCAAGGAGCGGCCATGGCTGTGCAAACTGAGCTTGGGTTGCAGGGTTTGTGAGTCTGCAGCGTGGTAGGTTTATATAGTAGGAGTCATGGACATCTTTTACCTTCCCTTCCCAGTTACTGAAGGCCATGAAGGGGGGACGACAGGAGCGCAGGAAAAGCCATGCGAGTTACCAGAGAAGAGCTTAATTGGTGCATTCTGCTCTTTAAAGTGTTTGGTGGAAGCTCTAACTGCTCCTTGCTCTGTAGAACACACTGTACCAATGATCAATCAATGTTCTCTTCATCTTTATTGATGAAGAGAATGACACTCGAGAATCTAATCCAAATGCAGATCATGCATCAACATCACTGAAGTGCACTCATTTTTCTACATCTTCTATGATTATTGCTGATCACAAATCTATGCTGATGTATAATACAACGAGGTTGCCTAATTTATGAGCAGGTTTCATGTGATGCTCATAACTTGGTCTGGTCCCATTTGAGTTTTCTATTGGACAAGAAAGTCCTCTCTGGTTCATTTATTTTGGTGTCTAATTCATTCTCCCTCTCTTTTTATCTCTCTTGAATTTGAAGGTTTATTAGTGGATTTACTCATTTTATATTAAATTTCTTGTTTAATATTATAAAACTAAATTAGACCATCCGATTTTTTATAGCGAAATTGATTTCCATCGAACGTTCGAAAATTTCAATAGAATAAATAATTAATAAAACATTACAACAATCAAAATTCACATATCGTTAAGAATTTTAAGATGATTGATTTATATTAATCAAAAAATTAATTGGATTACTGAATGTCGATAAATAAGATGAGAATTTTAAGATGAATGATTTACATTAATTAATAAATTAGACTACTCAATGTGTAGAATAAGTGTATGCATGTTAAATATTGAATATTTTGTTCTATTTAATATTTGAAAATAATAAAATTATTAAAAGAAAAGTAAAATTCCGATAGAAATAAAAATTCTTTTGGATCATTACCGATCAGTACTAACCGATGGAACAAAATTAAGAACATACAACTTAGATCATTAACTATGTTAAATTTCAACCTGAAACTTTGAGAATAATATTCTTCCCGACGTCTCAAGAACACTTCGTTACTCTCTCTCTCTCTCTCTCTCTCTCTCTCTCTCTCTCTCGCCATTTTGTCCTTGCTGAAAGTTCTACTTACTCGACGAGACTACAAATCCTGTCAAGGTCATGATGGCGCCAACGCCTGAGATCTCACCACCTTCCTCCTCATAATAATGGAGTGAGAAAGAAGGAGACACATGATATAAAGGCCAAGGCAGTGTGAAATGAATAAATGAACCTACTTTCCGGAAACAACACCAATCTACTAATAATTTGGCATTTCAGTCTTTAATCCAATCATGGTTTGATCTAACCTAGGTTAGGTGCATCATCTATCTTATTCAGATAACCTAACTTATTCAACTAAAGATTTAAATTATGCTTTAGTGTATCGCAACTTTCAATTATTAGTGATACGAGACTAATCTCGAACTCGAGTTAGAACACGAAGATCATAATTTTTTTTGTATCTACATAGAGGGAAATAATTATGCACACTACTATACTAAGAAATGTGCATAAATAATTATGCACATTTTTTCTATAGTCTCATAAATTTGAAAAAAAAATATGAAACTTACGGACTAATCGTTATATTATATGGTCCTGATTAACCTTGTTAAGATATATTGAAGTTCTAATTTGATATCGCTTAATGTTATCATCCAACAAAAATAAAGTCTATTTATATTACGAAGAAAGGATAAAGATAGTATAATTTCCTTCTTGCATATTTGTAATCAAATAAAGACATTCTATTATGACATCAAAATATATGCAAATGTAACCTCGATATATGATTACTTGATTTCAATCATCACATTATGTTATTTCGTATTATAAATTTGTAATCTTACAAAAATCTCATAATGCCAAATGTATATATGCCATCATTCGTGAGGCGAAGCAGCAAATCCATTTCTTTTAAGCATAGACTCGATAAATTCAAGTAATAGTATGCATATATATATATATATATATATTAGTGGCAAATTAATGGTGTATATTTTTTGGCATGTAATATATCAAAGAGGAGATAATTGATGCCATTCATCACCAATTCATGTATACCTCTCAGCATTTGAATGTAATGATCAAGTAAAATAAAATTTTTATTATATTTTTATCTGATTTTTTTTATACTCATAAGTGATAAAAATGAGATGTGTAGATCAGTCAAACTAAATCAAATATTGACAATGCATAAAGACCGAAAACGATGAATATTTTTTTACATCGATCGATTCGATGTATTATTTTATTATTGATCATGAAAAATAATATTTTTCTTATTACAAAAATATGAGGTAAAAACACAACCTTGGATTACTCACTAAATCACATTACGGTCAATTTCGTGATCCAAACCTTGATTATTTAGATCCTAAAATTAATGATTTTACCATGATGCCAAGACTCGTTATTTACCCATCAATAATGTTTGGAATACACTGATCTCTGAGTTCTTACTAAGTCGAGTGGCGACAATAATGCTTGGAATAGAACACCACCTGTTCGGCCACGGCAACTTTGCATGTGATCCTGCGCCGGTTGACCGGCAGCCATGAATGGGGGGCGGGACCGAACGTACCCGCCACCCCGGGTGATCGTAAGCTATCGTCGATGCGCGTCGGATGACCCCCCGGCGTAATTGAGATGGTTACACTCGACGGGAGATCAGTCTGCTTTGGGCCCAGCATTCAATGACCTCCGGTGCGTACACCTAATCCTGGCGGGACCCATGGGGATACTTAATTGTTGGCATAAATGTCGGTGTGTAAGCGTCCAGCTCATTGCCGCTTCGTTCTATTGGAGCCCACCGCCATTGATTCCTCTGATCTCTCTCTTTCTCTCTCTCTCTGTGTTTCTATTTCTGGTCGATTACCCGACGTTCACGTATGACGTACCGTATGCTTCGCCCTATCCTTTTGTTGAAGGTAAGGGAAGAAGTGGGATTTGATTCGAGTGCGTAGAGGTATTTGGCAGCCAACTTAGCTATCCTGAACATAGTCGATCCAATCAGATTCTAAGTTTGCAGCTTGTTTCGATTAGCCATGATGACATTTTGATTGGAACCAAATTAGATCGATGATTCGATAATCTGAAATCGAACCAATAATCGAGGTTTAATAATTCGATTATGGTTCCTATAGGAGGAGGAGAAATGATGTGATTAAACTAATTCATGGAATCAAATTTTGAATTTTGGATGAATTTCTTGAAAAAACCTCATAAATTTTTATATAACGTCTCGACTTACAAAATTTTATATCAAGAGTTATTTTTTCATAAATGATGATTTTACTCATGGCTATCTCCATCATTAATCTTCTCTATGCAACATCTACGCTTACATTTTTATCGATAGCTACCCTAATCCTAATCTTCTTCGACGTTAGTTGACTCCATGTGTTGTCCATGCTGGTCTTGCCACATTTGCAAAGAAGAATGAGGGGATTGTACGTGAGGATAACGAGGAATACGAAGGTTGATGGCCACAAAATGAGATAGGAGGGGTCAAGGGTGGACTAGCCCATGCATGAAGGCGGCCAAGGGTATTATGAACGATTAATGACTATTCAAAACAAAGGGAGGTAATTGGTAGGGTAAAGGCATGTAAGCCAACTCGCCCATGGAAACACAAGTGACCAAGGACTCACGTTCGCTTGCGGCCCTCCACCTTATCGTAATAAAGGAGAGGGAAGGTAGGGTGACAATGCAAGTGGAGACGATAACGATTCCGATGAAGATACGAGTAAAATAATATTTTTGTACTAGAAGAGGATGCTTTACGAGAATTTTTGAAAGTTCGAGACAATCCGCAAAAAGTTTATCAAAACTAAGAGATTTTTTTTAGAAATTTATACAAGAATATTTTAAAAAATAATTATAATAGGAGGTTAATAATTGAATATAGAAAAAATTATTCCTGCATAATTTTTTGATATAGGCTCTCATCTGATAAAGACAATTAGTAGGGTTTTTATAAGTAAATTGCCAAAAAATAATAATTTGTAGTGGCCGCCCCCTCCCCTCCCTCCATCTCTCTCGAACACCTTAAAATCCCTAAACACTGTTCCCCAAACCTCGCTTTAACAGCAAGGAGCGGAGCCGATGTCGGCTTGTTGATCGAGCGGGCTCAGTCGCAGCAAAGGACCGGAGCGGCATAGGCAACGGTAGCGACAACGTAAATTCTCTCTCTATCTCGCTTCTCTTACACTCCCTCGATCTCTGTCTGGTTCGAAATGCGATGCATGTGGAATTTTCTCTTTTCAGCGAGCACTGTCATTCTTGATCCGAACTGGAAGTAAAAAATTAAGTAGTCTCATCTCTTCTATATGTATATGACCCTACTCTTCTTACAAAAAGACACTTATCCCTTTTATTTATACTAAGACTAGATGATGCTCCTCGTCGCCAGTCATCATATGCAATTTTAGCTGGGATTGTCTGTTCCTATAGGTTCAACCTAGAATTAATCATGCCAATTCATCAAAATATGCTGTTTTGTCTCAATGTGGTTTCAAATTTGAAACATTGTTCGGCATGCTTGTATTTGAAGTAGAATTATCAATACAATTTATTGGTTGTCTAGATGAAAATTTCTTTTCTCATGAGTATTTGGTTTAGGTTGATTCAAGGGTATAGCTACTGGTGACTGAAATCATTGGTTGATCCTTGTCAAACATGAAAATAAATTAAAATTCAATTCTTTAGTTTTGTCCCAAACAAGGGATCATAGTAATTGTCAGTTAAATTCAACTTGTATTTAACCTTGCTTGTTATAAATAAGTCGTTCCGAGGGACCATAGTAGTAGTAGGTTGATTAGTTGATTTTAACGAACATTTACTCATCACAGTCGAAGGAAAGAGAGGAAAAAAAGATAATATTTGATCAACTTCCAAGAAATAAAATGCAAACTCATGGCCTTTCAAAAAGAAATGCGAACACATAAAACTAATCCTTTCATGATGATTAAAACTAATCTTGATGATGGATTTATGTTGTAAAGAAATCAGAACACATAAAAGCTAATCCCTTTTTGATGAAAGTAATATATGTTGTACCATGTGCATATCTTATAAAAAAATAATTATAAAAAAGTAAATGTAAAATCACTTCTCTTGAGCTATATTTAACATATACACACTAAATAGAACACCAAACCAGATAGTGTAATCTAGTGAAAAAAGATATTAAACAATGGACAACTCTAGTCTATTGAGTCATTACAAGTTTTAAACAAGCAGGTAAACTGCAAGCATAGCTGGTAGTGATCCCATGTTAAAGAGCAGGAAACTAAAGGTCTAACAATAGAAAATAAGCAATATCGAGGGCAAAAGGCAAAGAAACCATTAAGATAATCTCAGATAGTAAGGCTTTTGCAGAAAGAAGTTGATCATAAGTGCTGCATCTTTAGTATTATGGATGAGCTTTCAGGTTGAAGTTATGTTAGACATATTTCTCATGCGTGGCATCAAGTTTAAGATTGCAGGATTTAGATGAATAAGCATATATTTTTTAGCTGTTAAGTCTTGTTTCATAGATTGCTGCATCTTTGGTTCATTACTAATTTGTTATTGTCTACATGGTTTAAAAGTTTGTGACACGAGGTGTACTAGTATATGCTGGCAAAATGATTGTCAACTGTGATGGATGATCATGGTGTGTGTGCTAATGATCAAGGTCTCTGTTTCCAGACACAAATGTATGCATGATCTTGTCGTGACAGGAAATGCTATGCCAACGCAGATTGACTTTTAAATCGATGATACTATTTTACAAGTTAGTAGCACTTGTTTTGACTTCCTCTTGGTCTAACCTCTTGTTCATGGTACCAACTGTGACAGATCTTGATTTCTTGTGATGCCCAAAAATCCTGTATATTTGTTCCTTTCCTTCGTGAATCTTATTGCATACTCTTTATCCACTGGATTCTTTATTCTTTTCATTCATGAAATTGCTATGCTTGACCAGTGAGATGTACAGAACTTTAACATATGAAAGTAGTTATTCAGATTGGTTGCAGTTGTCAAGGTGCTGCTGGTAGGCATAACTACATGTCTTATGTCCCAACCTTGTTCTCTCTCTGTGTGAAGACAATTACAGCTGCATTAGTACATGGTTGGTATTGAAGATAATAAAATTTAAAATTTCGCTGTTAAATTATGAATCTTCAGAAATTAACATGCAATATAACAATTCATTTTTTAATTGCATACCAAAATCATTGCATGTCACAGGAAATGAGCATGTGGAGGACATCGTTGAACTTCCTTCGGAATTGTTTGATGGCTTGGCGACAAACCTGCCTCCATTGGCATTGCAAAATATGCATGAATTGCTAGAAAGGTGTTTTGCCATTGAAAGACTAAATGCACTACTTACTACTTCAAAATCTCTACTCTTCTAATGGTAGTTAGCTTTCAACTATTTTTTAGCTTTTCACAACTTTCTGTGTTCTCTGCATTCATTTTCAGTATTTCTTGGATTTAATTCTTTGTATCCCTTTATCCATCACATAAATATATGCTTTTTGCAGTATTTGTAATACCTCTGTGAAGCTCACTTACAGTGATAAGTACAAGGAAATGCTTCATATTTTGTCTTACATTAAGTTAAGCAAGTTAAAATATCATTTAGTTCATGTGGATAGTTTGGGTTGATTTTCATACTACACAAATGTATGAACACATTTATTTTTATGATTGCGATACTATGGAATAAACTGAAAGTTTCATGAGTAACTACGCTTCTCATCTAGTGATTGTTGCAATGTTGGACAACACTATAATTTGAGTTACCTTGAAAATAATATTGGACCATATAACTGTAACATTGTGTCCCTTGTGTTGCTCATCACCATCATGCTGCAGTTGATCATCCTGTTACTCATCTAATTCTCCGCCTCTGTCGCTTCTGCCATCTACTGCTCCTCCCCTCTTCCTTTTCTCCAATTCCTCCTCTTTCTCTCCACCTCCTCCTCTTCTTCTCCTCCTGCCTCTCCTTGCCGTCTTCTTGCTACTGTGGTGCATCACACGGTATGCTGCATGGGCTGGATTGGCAAAACCTTGGTTATTAATATTTTTATGTCCTAAATTGTTGCTGAGGGATTACCTTAACTGGATAAATTGACATGTCAACTTATGTTGACAATTGTTGGATATGAATTGACTGTAAAAATCTAGGTAACATTTAGTTTCTAAGATAACCTATAGATGAACTTTTTAGCTAAGTTCCTTTAGCCCAATATGGTCCAAAAACAATAATCAGGTAAGTAATTGTTGAGTAAACCATATTGACATATTTTTTTATTTGTCTTTATTAATACTAATGTCTAGCTTTTTCCAATGTACATCTAATTTGCTCTATGCTTAGGTTCTTGCTTTATGATAATGTTGAATGTTGATATTATGAAGCTGGTATGTTTCATTGTGGGTTAGGATGTAGTCTAGGAACATCTGCTTATGTAATTTTGGCTATTTATAATCCAAATGGAACTTATAATTTTTTGATACAACTATGTCTCACATTAGAGATTTAACTTGTGGAGCCACCTTTTGAACACTCATTAGCAAGTAAAATTCAGTTGTAGTATAAGCATGCAACATTTTGTCTTTTAAGTTGTTTTTATTAGTTTCAGTGCTGCATATCACGTGAATTCCACTTTTGAGGACAGCCCTAGTGGTGTGGTGGAGCTTTTAAGTTTTAACAATCTTTTGTTGCATACTATATTACATGCTAGAGATCAATTGTGTGGCAATGACTCTTCTGAATATGTTGCTGTGAGCCTTTTTGGTGATATTTGGGTGCTTTGCTAGTCTATGCATTCACTTGCTAAATCAGTAGTATCTCTGTGACAGATTACCTGATAGTTGTGGTGGAGTAGGATTCACAAATGTTGGTGTTGACCATGGACGAAAACGTAAAAGGTTTGATTAGCATCATGTGTTTCATAAGAAATGGATGAAGGAAAATATAGTAAGAGAGATACCTATTTTCAGGAAAGAAGATTTTAATATGACATGGAAGATGTTATACATGAATCGCTGGCCTGAAGATATCACTATAACCCAACAAATTGGCTGTGTGGCAACACAAGATGGTTGTGAAATAGCTAAATTGTCAAATCAAAGTGTTGACTGGCAGCAACTATATTGGGAAAAGCATCTACAGAAGTATGCCTACTAATATGGTGTTACTCTGTGCTTCTTGCTTTATATTAAGTTTTAGTTGTTCACATAGAGACTATGACATAGTCGTCTGATTGCTATTGGTTATGACTGAGATTTTTGTGTTGGTAGTTGTCTAGATGAAGCTGCAGAGACGGCCTTACTTCCGTCTTTTGATGGTTATATTAGTGACCTAACAATTTCAGGTAAAATAGCATTTGATGTTCCCTCATTTCTATTCATAGATGCTTCCATATTTATTTTTTTTCCTTATAGAAGCGTGACTTACTCTAATTTATTTTTCTGAAACTTTCTTTAATTATCATGACTCAATTCTTAAATGATGTAGTACTGCACTTGGACAACTGACATAATGAAATTCCTTTTTACTGGAACAATGTTTTACAGGACTTCAAGGTTTCTTTATATTTTTTTATTTGTTGTTTTGTCAAGGCAACTTTTTTTCTCTTTTTCCTGGATGTTGTTTTCTTTTGTTGCAGATAACATCATGGATGTAATTGGTCATAGTGGAGGCACATTTTGTACCTGTATGAAATTGTCCTTCCATTGCAACAAATTTGGACAATACATTAGGTATCTTTTGTTTCAAACTTTCAATTATGATGTTTTAATCTGATTGTTGATGCCAGCAAATTCAATAGCTGGATAATTTAATTATACTCCTGAATTTTTTGGTTGTTTAATTGATTATTTCATTGAATATGATTTTAGGATATTGAGTTTAAAAGATTGAATACATTACAAACAGGATTTATTTGTCAACACCAAGGTTTGAAATACTAGTCGAGGCTGTACATACCATCCAACATTTATGTCTGACCAAGTACTGATACCAAATATATAGCCCGATGCTGATACATATACGTCCATTTTTGTTTCTTATTCAATGATATAGGGTTGTACAGTTTGATATATCGTCCAATATACTGTTGATATACTGGTGCAATAGATTATTGATACCGCTATTTGACTGGTATTTAAAATTTTGAGGTTTACAATATAGGCACAAAGCACTATACAGTGTTAAGTGCATTCAAGCTAGCACTGGCCTGAGCAGTGGCAATGAACACTTTCCCGACTTGTGGTGTTCAATACAATGTCCAATCATGTATCAGGATGAGAACTTGCCACAATCCCTGTGTCATTAGGTGATTTTAACCACAATTTTTATTTTGTAGCAATAATGAATGTTGTTCATTCTGTTTATTGCTTTTTCCACTCAAGAAGATGATGTCCTCTATCTTTTGCACACGTCTTTGTAAATATATTGCACTTATTTTTATTGGATTACCTATATCCAGCCTTTGGGAATCCTTTCTTTTATTGGAGATTTTCTTTCGGTAAAAAATTCATGTTAGAAGAGTTGAAAGTACATACTGTATTTTGCATCAGTTATTTCTGAATTTTGGTCCCCTTATATTGTTGCTGATCTTGGTTTTCTTGTAAATGCAGATACCTGAGACTTCAAAATGTGCTTTGTGTTGCAGAAACATGTGTAAGTGTAACAATAGCTGCCTTGAATTTTGTTGTTGGATTAGATTATGTCATTCTAGTGTGATTTATTGTTTGTTATTGGTATCCTCATTCCAGTTCTATTCAGAAATATCAACCAAAGAAATTGTTCCTTTGCATGTATATTTTACAAATATTCATGTAGGGTTGGGACTGTCTTCTTTCATTTGTTCTTTTGATTGTTTCACTAGTGGGATTTGTCTAACAGTCAGTGTACCAAAATGATATTTACACTGTCTAAAGACTGATTTCAAATTGGTTTGTTTTGATTGGTTTTGTTTATACTTTATACTTTATACCTATCAAGTTTCAATTTTGTTTCAAAAGAAAAGGGTTTAATATCACTATTTTAAGATCCCCTGGAACTTGGCATTCTGCATCTCAATCTCCAATCAAATTAGTCCTTACTGTTTCATATAAGTAGCAAGGATTGTTATGTCAATCAAGATAAATTGACATTGGTTTATGTACCATGCCAGGGAGGTATCTACACATGTTATGCCAAGTTGTGCAGGTCCAAAGGTATAGACACATGTTATGCCAGCCTGTGTAGATGGTGCCAAGATATGACTAGGCCAAATTTTTTCTATGTTATCTAGCCTATGAGTGACAATTGGCATGGCATGATCAAGAATTATTGTGCTAATCAATTTGTGTTGGCATGAGTTAAAGCTATCATTTCCGAAAGGTATAAAAAAGTGCCATGTAGGCTCATGCCAAAGGTGCCGGCATATTGTCAGTGTTTTTTGTCTTGTGCCAGTTGGTACAATAGCATGCTGATCGTCATGGTTGGAAACTACAAAGATAGATCCATATTAGATTGTGTGGGTTAGCTTGTGTGTGTTTTTTGGGTTTTCATCATAAAAGCTCATTTTGTGTGGGTTACATTGCATTATTTTGTATCCCATATATCATCAATCTGGCTAGGGCAGTGCACTATGATAGTGATGGTGGTATGGTTGGTTATGATGCCTCCGGAATCCAATGTCACTGTGAGATCCTGGTTATCTATGTGGACTTAAGTGTAACTTACATATGTGACCTGGGCATCAGTTAATCAAGTGGGTAGATTGCCATACTCCAAATATCATTACTGGTACCAATTTTCTGTAGGACCAGTACACATAGCTTAGTAAAAACCAGCTGAGTGATTAGACCTTAGCCCTTAAACTACCAATGTTGAGTTTTCATGTGGCTAGTCATCAAACTGGAAATTACTCCCATCAAATTTTAGTGATGAAGAATGGGAGATACATGTATGTAATTGCTGTTTTGATTTCTCATGCAGAAAAGTGGATCACATCCTCTTCATCTGAGGAATGCTGTAAGATGGTTCTCACACTTCAAGATTGACATCCCAAAGGCGCTTCCAGTTTCAAGATTTACATCCCCAACTTTCCTATTTACACCTCCCCTCCCTCTCCTTTTATCTTGTTGACTCTATCATTTTCCTACTTCTGTATATTATAGTTGCCTTTTAATCCATATTTTATAATCTTCATGAATTAAGTTTGACAATTTCCATGTCTTTTCTTCAAAAAGTGTTCATGCATAAATCAGAAGTCTATCATTGTGGTAATGGTACAGACTGAGGTACCTTTTAAACATTGTGATTATCACACATATTCAAACTCAAAAACTCTATCATATATCACTTGCAGGAGCTACTTAGAGATTGCAAGTTGCAAGGTTTGGTGTTCAGAAGGATAATCTCCAAAAATCAGGTAAAGTCCTACATTTATGAGCACACAACATGATGGACCATGAGTTACAATAAGATTTAAACTTTTAGCTGTTTCTTAAAACATGTGCAAGAATAACAGCACTGTTTTATCCAAAATGATTCAATATTTTTAGGCCCTATTTCATCTAATGACCATTTAATTATATATATCTCATTAATTTGTTTAAATGCACTTAATGCTTGGCATGCTCTGAAAAATGAGAGCATGCAGAAATTGCATTGGAGTACTTGAGGGCACGATAAGAAAAAACAATGTTATTAGTGCATATCATATTTGATTTTACAGAACAATTTTGATGGTTAAGTCGCTGAAAACCACTTCATAACTATATGATAAGCATGTTCTAACAGATTGAAAGAAGAAAAATGTTATTGTTTTTCAAAAAAGTTAATCTCTGAAGAGCAACTGGTACTATTTATCTTTGAATTGGCTGCTCGTTTTAATAACAAATTTTGTACCCTAAGTTCTGGAGGCTCATGTTTTATTGCTTAGGTGCATGTGCTATATTTGTCGCTCCCAATTCAGAATAGTATTTTGTGTAACAGTATAAGCATGCATGAATAATTTATATTTCATTAAATGCTTTGTTGGGTTCCTTTGCTAGGAGAACTGACATGATGATGTGAGTTTCAGTATTATTACTTGATTGTTCCATTGCATCTCCAGGTTAATGGAGTGTGTATGCATCTAAACCAGCACAGGCAGACATTGCATTCTCTTGAATTTATGTATTCTCAGATTCCACCTGCTATGATAGATCAAATTTTTGGTTCTATACACAGAAGAGATGTATCTCAAACTCATGGTGTCCGAGAACTTCATGTAAAATCATCTCGCATCTTTGATAGCAAGTTATCTACCATACCTGCTGGCCTTTTGTCTTTTATATCATCAGGAAGGTACATCCGATCTTTTCATGTTTACTAGTTTGTTTAGTTTTACTTCAAAAACTTTTGTGCCCGAATATGTTCACTGTTGATCTGGCAATATTAGGTGACAAATATATACATCTGCAGATGCATCTAGTGCACATTTTAGTGAATATCGAGTTACAAAATGATTTAATGATTCTAGGGATACAAGTTAGACATTATTTCTTCTACTGAATGTTAAAATGAAGACCAGAAGCATGCCAACTTGAATCTTAGATATTTCTATATATAGGTGATACCTGCAAATATTTGTTAATTACATTGATAAAATAAGATTTTGATAGCTTTCTTATGCATTTTATGACATAATTTAGCATAAACTATAGAGGTGGATTTTGTTAATTATCTTTCCATCCAATAATTGCCATAACAAAGAAACCTCAACAGTTTTTTAAATTCTCAGGGACTTGCGAACACTGTGTTTTTGTGACAGTAAGTTGCTGCCAAAGTGTGCAAAAATGATTTTTGATGTTCTCCTTGGGTCATCTTCTGATGTAGTCACTCTAGAGATATCAGAGAACAATGTTAGTAGTTCATTGGTGTAAGATCACATTTACTGACTTGTTTTGGCCAAGATGCCTTTAGTTAAAGGTTGTCTGTATTCTGCAGCTTGCTGGTTGGCTTTCTATGGTTGACAGAAAACCTTTAGAGTTTGCATTATTAGTGGAATCAAATGTGTCATTGAGGTCACTGAGGAAACTGAGCTTAAGGTACTATGTAATTTGTTTTTAATTGACTTATTCTCACTATTTTGTGAGGCTGTGATGGGATCTTTTTGTTTCTTATCTGTTAGTTTCCTGATGGAGTTTACAACTGACATTGGCAATATGTCAGGGGGAATAATTTTCAGAAGGAAGATGCTGAAGATCTTCATAATATCTTGGTTCATATGCCTGTTTTGAGTAGTTTAGACATAAGTGACAATGCTATAATGGATGATGGAATCAGGTAGTTATGAATTCCATCTGTATCCTTCATGTTACTTATTCAGAAGGAAGCTATCCACAAACTCTTCACTCATTTGTCTTCACAACTCTTGATTTCACTACTGAATCAATTAGTACATGAATTTTGCAGGAGTTTAATTCCTTATTTTGTTTGGGCTGTTGAGAAATCTTACCCTCTTTCAGATATTAAGCTAAATAATTGCAATCTGTCTTGCACGGGAGTGGCTGAACTTCTAAGAAGCCTTCCAACTTTGAAGGGGTCATTCTCTGTGGCAGAAAATAACCTTGGCAGGTTAGTCATCCAACTTCTATAATATCTTTCCATTTAGTCATCTGTTGGAAGCAGCTGCTGATACTATATTAAACTTCAGTTCAATAGCAGCACCTTTGGCAAAGTTCTTGGCTTCTTCCAGTGTTAGAAAACTTAACATTGAAGATGTGGAACTAGGAACATTAGGCTTTCAACAACTTGAGGATCAAATACCTAAAAAGATGGCTCTTCAAAGCATCAACATAAGGTTGTCACCTCTCTCTCTCTCTCTCTCTCTCTCTCTCTCTCTCTCCTGTTTGTGTGCAATTTCTGTTAAAAATTTTATAAGTTACTTGTAGCCTTAATTTTGTAGCAAGAATCGTGGTGGGCTCAGAGCTGCTTATTTCATCGTTAAACTCCTCATGTATTCACCTAGTATTGCTTATATCAACGCCGGAGGTAATCTTATGCCTCCTGAATCATCAGAAGTGATTTATGGTGCACTGAAACAGTCACAGGGTATGATTCTTAGCAAAATAACATTACAAATCTATAGTGTTTGTGATACTTGAGCTGTGAGTAGCAATCTAATGCATTTTAGCCAACATCTTTATATAAATCTTATGGGTCCAAACAATCGTAAATTTGATGATGAGCCAAGTTTCTTTAAGAAATATTTGGAATGCCAGTGAAATCATTTCCTTAACATTGTTAGCTATTACAGTCTTGTTTTGCTCTCCAATTTAAACATTTATCTTGTTAGAAAATGGTAATGGTGCACAATGTTTGGAAGATTGTTTAACCAAGTCTGATGAGTGAATACAGTTATTGGTATATTTGTCTATGGGATGTATTACTAAAAGCCTTGCCACTTTAAGAGTTTAATGTAATGTTGCATAATAGATCTAAGATGGTCATGCTTCTTTCTACCATCATCATAATGGAATTCTAGACAAATTTTGTATTTACTACACGTGACTAGCCATAGAAAGCACATGCTTAAAAGCCTGTCCAACTAAAGCCCTGTGACAATTTTTTTCTTATGAAAATCCTTGATAGTTAGGCATTAAAGCTTCTTTTATTGTTCTTGAAAATTCAGTTTTTGAAATAAGTAGGAAAAAGAAAGTGAATACAAATATATTAGTGGCTCTGCAATTTTCCTGTTATAGTTTGTGTTTGAGCCTGCTTGTGTACATTGTAACATGTCTCCGTGGTAGATATATATCTACATTATTATGGTAGAATTTTCTATCTTAGCTTATTGCATTGAGTTTGTTTAAATGAATTTGGGAATTGAAATAGCTTTTTTAGGGAACTATTTTGTGTGCTTTACTGAATCACTACAGTCAATGTCACATTTGCCAGCTGATTTACAATGCATTTTTCTAATTTAAATGAGGACCATTTTCATGATAATGTAGGGAATATATAGGGTGTAGTTTTCCTCTCTCATTGGATGTTTTGTGAAGGCATCATGTTCATGACTTTAGATGAGCAATATCTCCTACATATTTAATCCCACAAACTTCAGGCCTGTTCTTCCATTTTCGTTTCTTAGGTAAACTGGAGACGTTGGACTTGGGTGGGAATACACAATTATGCCAGTCAAATTATGCTTCCAGACTTACGGAATTTAGACTACATGGGAGGCCCATTGTGATCGTTCCTCTACTGCCAGCGTCAAGCACGCCATATGATGATGATCCTTAGCACATCTTCGCAATCACACTTGCTATTGGAAGATGAATGCTTCTGTTGGGTAGCTCAGAAAGTTTGTAGAATTGGACGTGAATGCTTCTGTTGATGCTTGATCATTGTGCAAATCTGGGGAATCATGCGAATGCAGGTGAAATAACTTGCACTTCCTCATAGAGAATGATTTTTATTCATAATATGAGTACTATAATTTTGTCACTTAGACTCTTATATGTTAGAGGATATTACCCAAATATAATTTTCTTTTGTTTTACTTTGCAATACAAGCATGATTTATGGTTTTTACTCTTTGGTTCCACCTTGACTGCCCAATAACATTTAATACTTATGAGGGTGACCAGTGATGCCTGCCCATTGCGTGTGGAGGGCTCGAACAGGGTCAATGATTGTAATGGAGGCAAGAGTCTAGATGGCATAGGTGTGATCGATAAGGGCTTGAACAGGGGACGACTATATGGCGCTGCTTGCTCGGGCAAGAGATTGGCTGATGGGCCTGCCATGCGAGTGAAGAGAGGCGTAGGCCTATTGTAGCTACCTCTTTTCCCTTTGCTAATGTCGACAATAAAGGAGGAAGACGAGGGCTCAATGGTCAGCATGATAAGAGGCGACAATGACTGTGTTGAGGGCCTCACGATGGTGGCAACACAGAGGCGACGAATGACAAGTGATAACCAGGGAGGGATATTTATTGGATTATAAGAAATAGAAAGCACCATTTAGGAAAAAATGAAAACAAGAGTATCTTCAAAGAAAAACAATCAGTTTTTTTCAAAGAAATTACCTTTATTATTTTAGTTGTATTTTAGGTGTATAATATTTTAACTTTTGAACAATCAAATGGTTATGATCAAATTTAAAAAATAAAAATAATGATTATACATCTTTGGTTCCTTAATCAATGATTACGATAATGAAAGAATTTGATTGGTATAAAATCATCGACAAAATCTTAGCATCTAATTTGAGATTAATTATATATTATCTATTATAGTTGCTTATCTTTAGCATTTCAGTCCTTATATTTTAAAAAATAATATTATCATCTTTATAGTTGTGAAACATATACATCTATTTATACTAACGTCGTCGTCGATTTTATCAACGAAAATATAAAAATAAAGAGTAAAAAAATAATTTTAATATTCTAATTTGTCGTAGCGAACATCGTTGGTGGTGGTGGACGATAACGTCGTTGGCCACCATGGATGGCTATTGTGGATAAGGAGAGCGATGGCGAGAGATGAGGGCCGCTCGACATTTGTATCAATGCTAATGTAAGCGTAGAGCGACGAAAGGACCATCGATATAGATGTCGAACGGTCTTTTCATCACTCAACAACTACATTAGCATCAATGCAATTGTTCAACGTTGTCGGTCGATATTTGCATTGATGGTCCTTTCATCCCTCGACAACTGTGTCGATGTCGACGCAAATATAAAACGATCCTCATCTCTCGTCATCGCTCTCCTTATTCACAGTAGCTACTTGCGACCCCCAACGATGTCGTCGTTCACCACCATCGACGTCGTCCGTCACCACCAATTGAAACGTTAAATTTATTTTTTATTTATTTATTTTTATTTTTTAGTAAAATTGATATCGTTAGGATAAATGAACCTAGATATTTTATTTTATATTAATATAATTTTTAAAAAATACTAAATATAACTAACTATTATCTCATTATATAATTAGTCATCTAATTTAGAACAACAAGTCAAATAAAACTCTATCACTATCTACATAATTTAATTTAAATTATTTCTCTAAACGTGATAACCTTTAGAGTAGGAGGATTTTCTTATGTTATTATTGTTCTTGGAGAAACCATATTAACAGCGCCGTAGCTCATCTCCAAACATACACCCAAAGAACAAACACAAAGAGAAACCCCATCGTTTTGCGTGTTGCCGAAGGAGAGAAGCTATGGCGGCGGAGACCCCTTTTGCCATGGCGAGAGCCAGCTCTGCTACCTCTCTCCGCCCCGCCACTCTCAACAATGTGCCCTTCCGCTGCCACTTGCCTCCTCCTCCCTTTCGCCCCCGTCCCTCATCTCTCGTCACCGTGATCCCAAACAAGGGAGCAGCGTTGCGATGCGGCCGATCCTTGGCCGCCCGATCCATGTCCTCTTCCTCCCCCTCTCCCTCTTCGTCATCCTCGTCCTTCGGGTCGCGGCTGGAGGAGTCGGTCAAGAAGACCATCGCCGACCACCCCATCGTCATCTACTCCAAAACCTGGTGTTCGTAAGTGATGGATCCGTCCCTTCTGTCTTTCGATCCGTTTGTTGCCTCGTTGTGTTTGGTCGCGCTTATTAAATTTCCCATCGGTTGGCAAATTGAGGTACTCGATGGAGGTGAAGTCGCTGTTCAAGCGGATTGGAGTGCAGCCACTGGTCATTGAGCTTGATGAGCTGGGTAGAGCTTTTATTCTTTCTTGTTTGCTATTTTTCCCCAAAGTTATTTCAGTTGCAATTGTTAAATCGTTTGCTTGGTTCGTTGATATGAGTTAATTGTTAAAGTAGATATTTTTACATTGGAAATTGCTTTTTCTTGTTTTAGGATTTGATTCATTTGAAAAAAAAAGTAACATTAAGTTGTAATTTAAAGAGATGGAATGTTATACGGAATTTTTTGCTTCTGTGAGAGCTGAAGAGAGTGCTTTGAAAGTTGGAACAAAGAATTTGGTGGCTACAGCTGAGAGATAGTAATACAAGATTCTGTCACAGATGCTGAAAAATAAATCTTGCAATGAAATAAAAATTATCATCCCAAGTAAGATTGAGGAAGAAGATATTAACTACTCTAGATTTATATCTTTTCTTGGAACTGAGATATCTGGAAGGGGTCAATTGAGCCCTACTGTGTTACTTCAAAGCCCTATCCTGGATGATGTTGATAACTTGATCTTAATATTCTGAGAAAAGATTAATAAGGCTTTATATTCTATAAATAGTGAAAATTCCCATGGCTAGGTTGGTTACAACTCTACATTCTTAACTAATGCTGGGACATATTCAAGGATGAAACCGTATGGGAAGGTAGGAGTTTCTTTAGTTCAACAGGGGCAAAAGATGCAGCTTTATTTTCTAATTCTATGCTTGTAGACATGATTTTATGGCTAAAGGTGTTTTCTTTCTCCTAACTTCATGGTAATCTTGGAAAAACTGATGATAACATGGTCGATGTCCCTTGATTTCATGCCTTCCAAGATGAACTGTCTATGAAAATGAGTAAGAATACTTGATGGTAATAATTATGATTTATTGATCTCCAATCTTTACTTCATGAGATAGTTAAAGGATAGTGGTGCAAGACATGAATTAAAAAACCCTGGAAGGGAACACACTAAGTGGAAAGTCATGTAAATAAATGAGAAGAGTATAATAGAACGAATGCTCCATACATGGAGTAAAGATAAACTGATAGTTGATAGTTAATTATAGTCAATAAGACATCTCAAGAAGAAACTTTTAACTGATTTCAGTTCACCTTGCTGAAGTTACACCTTTTATATTTTTAGTCCTCTTCATGGTTTGACTAGTCAAGAACACTAAATAAGAGTATGTGCACATCCTATTTTGAAGGGATGAGTTCGATTAAAAGCAAATGCTTTGAATGATGAGTTGATTATGTACTATCATTTTTCTTTATTCTAGGTCTAGGAATATCACTTTTAACATGTTTCACGGTATTAGAACATCTGAAAATCACGTCACTCTAGGTCATATAAAAAAATCGTTACTCCAAGCTTTCTTCACATAGCTACTCATCAGTGACGCTTACTATCATGACATAGCAATGATACTTTTGCAGTTGCCTGTTTTATGATTCTTTTATGGTTATAAGTTATTTTTAATTTTTTATATCAAATGAAGAATGTTGTAGGTGGTTTGGCACCATTTTTGATCAATTTCAAATAAAGAAAGGGAGATTTTGTTGACTTAAACAGTTATGATATATACCAATAGAATTATGGTGTCAGATGGTAAGCATATTACCAGATACAGGAAGTGCTGATAGTGATACTCTTATAATCAAGCCAGTTAGCAAATTTTTTATTGGCTTACCTAAAATATGGCTAGAGTCTACATTATCTGGACTGAATACAAATCATTTCCCACAAAATACTATTCAGCTTCCAAAGAGCAAGCATTGTATTCAAAAATGGAATCATCCAAATCGAATTCAATGACTTGACAACATATTATAACTGCCACTCCAAAGAATCCTAGATGGTAAACCTGTAAAAATGGGGCAAACATTCATAAATCTTGGTAAGCAATGAGCATCGCCCAAGTTTAGATTCATGTTGGCTCTGTGATTGTTGAATGCAGTCATTCAGTGCCTTCTAGATAGTCAAGAAGTATGTGATAATATGATATAAAAGAGAACAATGGGAACTGACAAGGTGCTTTGTCTCAAAAAGCCAGCCACCGTTGATCCAATTACTAGAGGAATAAATATTTAAATTTAATTACAAAATGATATCCAAAATGATATGATCAATATTTCCGGATTAACAAAAAATCTCGAAGCAATAAATATAGGAAACTCTAGGAAGAGAATTTATGGGAATATTTCTTCTAATAAGCAAAGAATTAGTAAGTAAACTCTGATTTAAGCTTCCATGGACAACTCAAGTTTGAGAGGCACTTGTAAATTCCATAAGCTATTCCAAGAGACCCTCCATCAATGTCTGGTCATCTATACCCAATCAAATAATAAGCCGTTTTGCCAGTTGTATCACATGTGCATCATGGGACGAAGCTTCCCCAGATTGTCAAATTCAACTAGGAAAAGCACTAGCCGGGTTTTAGCGTAGAAAGCATAACAAACTACTTATTCATCATTGTAGTTCAAATGTCTCAAGAAACATATTCCTTTTTCACTCATCAAATGTTACAGAAGTAGTTGTTAGTTATTTTATCAATGAGACAAATATTGCTAATATCATAGCCCTATAGACTTTGTCTTCTTTAGAGATATAATTAGGCATCTACTAACCGCATTCCAGTTGCCTTAAAAATTATTCACTTTCCTTTTGTTACGCGTTACATGACTCCATATTTTCTTGTTGGTGAAGCAGTATGCCATGTTGATATGAAATTAAATCTAATCTTTTTGTATGTGATTTTTCATTTTCATTATTAGTGACATGGTTCTAAGATTGTAAGAAGTTACTTACAATCTTTGATCAAATTTTAACAGTAAGTGAAAAAAATCTGACATTCCAATTCAAATATTATATTTCTATAATCTGTGATTGTGTCTTATTTCAGGTCCTCAAGGGCCTCAAGTACAAAAAGCACTGGAAAGACTGACAGGACAACATACTGTTCCTAATGTATTCATTGGTACATAATAAAATACTCAGTTTAGAATCCTTAGTTATTCTTTGAAAGGACCGTATTTAATTTAAAGTTACTTTTCAATTAGTTATTACAAGTAACAAATGCAAATGATGTCATCGGGCTAAACTTTAGAGCAGTATATTGGAAATTTTAGTCACTGACAATCATGTGAATGGAAGACAAATATGCTTACAGAATCAAGCTTTAGAAGAAATCATTTAATATCTATCATGTTCTATTATGGTATTTCTGTGATTGTGAATTTACTCTTTGCATCATGATTTTATCCAATTGGTTGAGACTTAGTATGATCCTTAAGTAATTAAACTCTATTTTGGTTTAGATTTAGTAATAACAAATTATATTTTGCTTAATGCATTAATCATTTAATCATTTCTTTTGTGATCATGAGGCTCAAGTATTTAAGGGTTTAAAAATTGGGACATGTCATACTTAGATGACCATTTTACTCTCACACTCTCTTAAACTCTCTCAAACTCATTTTTTCTCATGTTCTCTCTCTTATTCTCATATTTTTACTCTCCTAAATTCAACAAAACAATGATTTGTGGATTGAATCAAATTTAGGAGGCTAATTTGGGAGGATTAAGCGGAAGAACGATCCAGAATGGATCGAAATTGCGAATCTTGCACAAGACTACTCCTCAAAACCTGAAAAAGATATATGACACTATTCTTACCTAATTTACATTAGTTTTGTTAAAACTATACTGAATGTATATTTATTTCTAACTTAAAAATCCTATCCTAATTTTTTTTTCTATTTTTCGGATATTTTTGGAGGATTTTATGCCTATTTTAGGTGTACCATTTGGTACACCATGGCGTACCACTCGATATATTGTACCGTATCATACCAAGCAAAGCTCAGTACATCGATACAGTACATGATTAAGAACTTTGCATATATTATTTATATAATATTCACGTTTGTAACTGTATATAATGATATATATAAGTTATATACTTATACGTCAATTAAGAATGTCATATCACATTATAACAAATAGGAGATCTTAATCCTATTTCTTGCCTGTATTAGGCTAGGTCACGAAGCAAAGATGAAATAACTTTGAGGTGGTGATGATATCTACCTTGGAAGTGGGACGGAGTGGTTAATGATTGGCTGACAATGCATGGAGATCTATGAGTGGGTAACAATGACAGCTTTTAGATGGTAGTGCATGAAATAATCTGTTTTTACTCAGAGCTGAGTTTTGTTAAAATCAGAGGAATTGGTATCAGCTACATAAAAAAGAAGGGCAACTCAATGAACAAGGTTGTCAGCAATACAGGATCTATGAGGATTAATGAACACAATCTTACCCCTAGAGACCAGATGGTTATATCTGCTACTTGAGCCCTTCATCTAGCACACAGAAGCACAATCATTATTAACATTGAGTTTGTTCTTTCCTTAGTTATCTTAGTTTGTTCCGGTCAAGGCCCTTATATGTGTTCGTAGTGTTGGCCTATCCTAGTATGATATATTGGAATTATATTGGTATCATCCAAAGTTAGTACAATTTTTAACTGATTTCTTGACCTTATATTTAAAGTTCCTAGGGATCGAGCTAATTCTAGCTAACACAGTAGGACTTTGATTAATTTAGCCAATGCAAGCAGATTTGGTAGCCTCAGAAAATCGGAGAAATTAGTCTTACATGTTATAGCTGTATGGTTGAGTCTTGCATGATTTTTTTACTCTTACACCATACTAAATGCACCATTAAACATGATGAGCTCATTTAGATTGGTATACAGAAGAGAAGAAAACTGTAGAAAGAAGTATTAGAAACAATGAGAAATGATTTTATGGGTCTCAATTTGACTAACGATATTGCCCTCGGTATAGATCAATGGCTGGAAAGATCGACTTAGCTTATCCCATATAATTGAGACCTCACCATATCACAATCCTATGGTCCTAATATTTTTATTTTTCTTGGTTGCAGGAGGCAAGCATATTGGTGGTTGTACAGGTAGCACCTTTTCATCTTTGTTTGATTTGCTTCGGAAATTTGTCAATGATGATACTCCTGCCATATATTTTTCACAGCATGGGACATGACACTTCTGTTTCATGTGATTCATTGCTAGTGATAAGACTCTTTATCTGTTATTTGATTTCTTTGAGTATGGAGGCATTTCCTTTCCTTCTTGTTTTTGCAAATTTTAAATCCTTATCTTTCCTTGTAAATTTATTTTGTTCTAGTTTAAAATAACAAACCAAGCAATCCAAAAGAGGAAACCATAATGCATGCTGCAGAATTACCATTAAGAAAGAGGAAAGATTTTTTAAGGTAACCATGTAGTTTGGTTATGTGCTTGCAAAGAACATTTATTTTGCTGACAGTAACAAAATGCATGTTTGAATAAATACCTTCAATGTTCTAAAGAGTGGCTATGATATATGAACATGTATGTGCTCCATAATAAAAACCATAAATAATAGATAACTGACATCAAATGAAAAAAATTACAGTCATTTGTTATAGGTAGATTTATATATGGTCAAATAAAAGAGGGAATATACATGCTTATATAAGAAAATACTTGACTGATGTCTATAGGAACGGGTAAAGTCTTGTGTAACTAAAACTATATTTTCATGATCCATGGTTTGTAGTATTAGCATAATATAAAATTATAAACAATAGTAATATGAAGGAAACATAGTTCAGATGCATTCATTTCCTTTTCTGCTTTTGATGACCACATTGGTTTTTTGTGGTTCTGTGTCTGCATATCCTTGATTGCATATGCATATTGCTGTGCATCGCGCTTTGGAGAAATATTACTTGTTTACAGAAAGAAGGTAGATCACTGTGCTCTTTTTTGTTCTTCAACCCTTATTTGCCTGCAGATACTGTGAAACTGCACCAGAAAGGAGAGCTAACTACTTTACTATCGAAACTCAACATTGGCACAGAGAATTAGTATCAGCCTTAAGTCAGTTCTTTATATGTATTTGAAGTAGTAACAATACCATTTTTGTTCGATAACATGTGCTTTACAGTTCACATGTCATTTTTGACTGAATTGTCGGCATCGTACCCAGTGATATGTTCTTTTAAAATACTTCATCGTATCTGGTGTGGTAGACCCCTTCATTCACAGCAGCTATTGATGCTTCACCGAGACTGTTTCATGACCATAGAACACAATGCAATCCTTTTACTGAGGACAGCCTATGTTTTTTGTCAGTTTCATGACCCTACACTTTATTGTCATAAACGTAGAAGAATTTGTGGTCATCAATATGCATAAATGCAGGTCTCAACTCCCAGGAATTAATGTGGTAAGAACACCACATGAGAATGCATCTATCTGCATAAGAAATGCCTAAGCAAGAAATTAATCATTGGATTGGCTTTCTTGCACCACTATGATTTAAATTTGGGGCCCCCAAGCCTTCCTGCATTATAATTCCTAAGCATTGTCTTCTTGTGCGCAGATAGGTTCAGGTTTTTGAGATTGTTTGTGACCTAATAGTTCAGATCTCATATTGTTCTTCTATGTTTTACCGACAAATCAGTTCAGTAGACAAAAACTAATATGGCTTATAAGGTTTGATAAATATAATAATAGCCTATTAAGCTCCAGTCGTAGTAAATCAATTATCATACTATTATCAATTTTAATTTAAATATTTTGATTAGTAATTTGCATCAAACGAATATTATCATAATAATTTATCTATCTCTATCTGTGAACGAATTGGCAGCAAGAAGAAATCCCAATAACAAAGCATAAATATTCTTCGTGACCATTCTACCGTTCTTTCTACCTTGTGTTCCACGTAATCGATTAAGCGGCTGTGGGAAGCATCTGTCATGTCATCAAAAAGGGCACAGTTTAGGTATAGTTTTTCTCATATCAGCATGTAACATATCGACCACATGCAGCAGAAGATACGTGTCTTTTTGCAGCTTTAGCTGTTCAAATAAGAAACATTGATGAACCATTTATAGTCTTCCAATCTTCCAATGGAAATTATCATCTAAACGTTTGTTACAATCACAAAAAACAGTCCTTCTGGCAGCAAGAAAGACAACTTTTCTCCAATGGAAGCAGAAACAAGTGTTCCATTTTTAAATCACAGTAATTGGTACGTACCTCGAAGAGCAAAGGAAAAGGAGTGCTGCCAATCAATAGACACATCAACTTGCCTCCTCCAATCAGTACTCAAAATTTCAAATGTTCTCAATGAACCTGCAAAACTTGAAGAAATTAGTAGTCCATTCCTCCCATTCCTCCCATTCCAGCACCCATAGCAGGAGCATCCTCATTCTTGGGGAGTTCAACGATGACCGACTCAGTCGTGGTCATCAAGGACGAAACACTGCAATGGGCAAAATAGCAAGTTACAACATTGATCCACTAGAAATTCCATGCTACAATGGCGAAGAGACCTAATTGTGAGACACTCTATTACCAGACAAACACTAATTTCATACACTGAATTGGGGCATTTTAGATTCTAAGTTTACACCACATCAGAATTACTTGCAATTAGCTTTTTACATATTAGGAATTTAAGCAGATGGCGCCTAACTATTTACCTTGCAGCATCCACCAATGCAGTTCTGATGACCTTCAACGGGTCAATAATACCAGCTTTCACCATGTCGACGTACTCGCCTGTACGCCGAATCATCCATGTAATTACAACCTAGAGAAGCATTAAAAAGAAAATAAACTTTAAATTAGGAAAGCTTAACACAAGCGAACCTTTGGCTGCATCATAGCCAAGGTCAAGTTCATCCTGTTCCAAAAGCTTGCCAACAACCACAGCCCCCTCTACTCCAGCATTGGATGCAATGGTGTGAACTGGAGTCTGCAAGTTCATGAGCAATTCATATCAAATGTTAAAGAGCAGATGCATTATTTAAAATTCTCTGAAGCTCAAGAAGACCAGTCAAAAGAACCTTCAGAGCATTCTGAATTATTTGGACACCAATCTTTTGATCAAAGTTTGCAGTCTGTAACTTATCCAGCTCTTTAGATGCATAAAGAAGTGCAACACCACCACCTGCAAAGAAGAGAAACAATTACAATCATTTCCAGATAAGGAGAGGTTCGAAAGAGATGCAGAAATGTAAAGATCATTAAATATAAGTTACCTGGGACAATTCCCTCTTCAACAGCCGCTTTTGTTGCATTTAAGGCATCTGTGACTCTGTCTTTTTTCTCACCAACTTCTGCTTCACTGGCCCCTCCAATCTGCAGGGTTCACAAATATGCCACAGAAAATTATCAACTAACAAATACACATACCGATGTTGCCATTTTCTTGACAAATAACAGCAAAAACCAACTCTTAGCAAATAATTGAGTTTACGATTCTTAGACACAAGACATGAAACCTTCTGTATAAAATACATATGCCCAGAAACAGGCACCCTGCAATCGGATGCCACCGATTTGTTTCACTGAATGCAAAAATCGGCACCATAGTATTTTTTGTAAATTAAGTTTCTCAGGACTGGACTTCTGCACGAGTACCCAATTGTCTGAAAGTCACAAAAATAGAGTTTCCCCAAATCACATCAGACAATCTTCACCTTCCCAGTTCCCACCACAGTCAAACTTACGAACGTGAAAACCCATATGAATGTTTTAAAAACCCATCTAGTGTGATTACCTTGCTTCATGTTTTAAAAACCATATAAGCCAGAAAATATAACACAACTTATGAAAGAAAGCCAAGTACCAATTTAAGCAATGACAACATGACATACCTTGAGGACAGCAACTCCACCAGAAAGCTTTGCCAACCTCTCTTGCTGCTTCTCTTTGTCATAGTCTGATGTGCTCAATTCAATTGCAGATCTTATCTGCCAAAAAGATAAGCACACAACAATTTAGTTATAGTTTAAAGCATGAAGGGTATACCAATTTTTGTCTTGTTTTATCTTATCAAATGAAACAACTGAAAGAAAACTGACCTGGTCACATCTCTCTTCTATAGCCTTCTTTTCACCAGATCCATCAAGAATCACAGTGTTGTCTTTTGAGATTGTCACCTACAATGTTATCACATCATGTACTTGTTTAAAGCTCATGCACAGATTTGTAAGTAAAGAAATTCCAAGTATATTTCTACTGTGATCACCGTAGACCAAATCCATTGAGCAAGGAATGCAGTAACAGAAAAATATATTGAGATATATTACTAAAGAAAAAAATCAAGCTATCAAGACAGAACTTGTATAATCAGAATGGAAATACATTTAGACACCAATGTTGACCTCAAATCCTTTCGTTTACTTATTGAAACTGGCACGAGAAATTAAGGACATAGACTGACACACACGTGGCAAAAGTAAGAGTAAAGAACCTAGCCTCACCTTTTTGCATGTGCCAAGCATGTCAAGTTCCACTTTCTCAAGGTTCAAACCAAGTTCTTCTGTTATGAGCTAAATTGGCAAGAAAAGAGTTGTTTCATCAACAAGTAATGACAAACCCTAAGAAACAAGCTATAATCTTGGTCGCCAATGATACTCACAGATCCCCCAGTGAGAATAGCAAGGTCTTGCAAATTGGCTTTCCTGTTCTCCCCAAAGCCGGGAGCTTTCACAGCACAAACCTGTACTTCATTGTACTTTGTCAAAATACTGTAAATTAACATAATTTTGATAATGGCTAACTAACAATAGATGGATTTACAAAAAAATCACCTTAATCCCAGCACGAAGCTTATTAAGGATGAGAGTGGCCAGTGCATCACTTTCTATGTCTTCTGCAACAATCAGCAAAGGTCTCTGTCTCTGAAGACATCGAAGAACAATGATGTGAGCAGATACCACCGTACGAGCTTACTACATGCAGGGGAAAATCAAAGATTGTGTACCTTCAAAGACAACTCTAACACCTTCACAACTGCATTGATGCTTGAAATTTTCTTCTCATGAATCAAAATCAGAGGATCTTCAAGTTCCTGTGATATTAGAAAATTGAAGTTAGTAGATGATATGACCATATTGAGTATTAAGTATATGGATAGACATCTTACACATTTTTGGTTCTTTGGATCAGTAATAAAGTAGGGTGATATGTAGCCTCGATCAAATTTCATTCCTTCAACGACTTCTAGTTCATTGTCTAGAGTTTTCCCATCCTGAAAGAGAATCATAAAATATCAAGCTTAATTGCCACAATGTAAATGATAATCGATATGCATCAGCAGAATAGCAAATTGAAAAAATGAGCACCAATTAGTAAAATTTGTGGACTGATCAGCCAGCAAAAAAAAATACAATTTGTACAGGCAGAGGAAGTAGCACATGCTCGCATACTTCTCACAGAGCAAATTGCTGACCACCACAGTCACATGTCTTTGGACAAGGTTAAGTGGATTTTGTATTTAATGTTCCCTATAACTCTATCATGAGCAAAGCCACCCACTAAAGCCATCCAGCTTGTGTATAGCGTCACAAACCCAAATGTAAATGAACAAAAGATCAATTCATATTTGTTTCCATAGTTCTGACACTATCAGTTGTTTCAAGATAGAATATAATGCATGCATGACTTGCAATATAAATAATCAGAAGTGCAACAATTTCTGATAACATGTAGCAATAAATGTGCCACAACAGAAAACCTCCACAATAGGACCAGATAAATGATGAGCTTTGCACCCATTTAGCTATAATGAGAGCTTAGTTAGTCATTCCTTTCATAGCAACTCTAACTTTTAAAAAGAGAACATTTTGTAAAGATATAAACATACTCGATAGTCGATACTATGCAAATTTAACACCAAAACAGATGAAACTTACTGCTACTGTGATGACTCCCTCTTTGCCAACTTTCTCCATAGCTTTTGCAATTAGTTCACCAATTTCTCTTTCTCCATTAGCTGATATTGTTCCAACCTTTCAAAGAAGGAACATTTTTTTGTTCAAATAGTTACTTTAAAAATTAATACCATCCTAAGGCATAAGTAAAACATGACAAGCTCTTGCATGATGTAAATGCCTGTATTTTTAGATATTAGCATGACAAGCTCTTTACATGTAAAAATGCTGACACCATATTATCTTCTTAATGCCATAAAACTAAAAACCTGAGCTATCTCTTCTGAGGTACTAATCATTCTTGCTCTGCTCTTCAAATTAGTCACCACAGCATCAACAGCCATTGAAATGCCACGTCTCAGATCCATTGCATTCATCCCGGCAGCCACTGACTTACATCCTTCAGCAAATATTGCTTTTGTAAGGATGGTAGCACATGTTGTTCCTGCATACATATAAATACAAGATTATTAACTCAAAAATAACCAGCCCAAATTCATGTGCTCACAGACAGGACAAAAATCCCAAACTCAATTTAATTCGCACAGTTGGTTGAATGGGGCTAGATCCACTCATGGTGGGCATTGACTGATTCATGAGATGTTTCATAAATTGAGAGTAATAACTAAAAAACTACACTGTTTCTCACTAACATTTCACTTTTAGTGTTTTCCAAAAACTGTGTACGTAACTTTCAACCTGCCAGGTATTAATATACAAGACAAACTTTGAGGGTTCTTTGATGCTCTTTGACATTTTGCCTTTCCATCACTGGCATTTGGGTGGTCGAGAATATGTCTCTATTAGTTGTAATCACTCACATAATCTGAGCAGTACATAATTTAACCAAAATCTAGTAATCTAAGTTATAAAAGGTAAGATTTACTTTCAATTCGATTTAATTTCATTATACATAACGGCAGGCCAGGGCACCGTCGGCCATGCAAGCCTTCAATTTCTGTTCTGTTTGAACAGGAGGTATGACAGCACATTATCAGGGAAGTTACTACAAGGACCTCATCACCATGTTTGAATCGAGATATAAACCTTACAAGATAACAAAAACCAATGAACAAAATGTAGGTAAGATGTGACTTTGCCAACTGAATCTTAGCAACATATCTGTTACCCTCCCAAAACAATGATGAAGACAAGGATTTTATATGCAACCCATTCATGTTAACAAGGACATATAACCATGCTAATAATTATTAAAGAAACTCCAAGGCTTACCATCACCAGCAACATCATTGGTTGCATTGGCAACCTGCTTCACAAGACTAGCACCCATATTCTTTATTCTGTCCTTGAACTCGATGCTCTTTGCAACAGTCACACCATCCTTTGTAACTTTGGGTGCACCAAAGCTTTGCTCTAAGACGACATTGCGACCCTTCAAGCCAAGAACCATATTTGTAACAATAAGATTTTAGGATAACTAATTGTGTTGCTTCAGAATTAATTATTTTCCCTTAAAATAAATATTCAATGCATACAGCCTGTTAACCAATCAAGCATAAATAAGAAAGCACCAAGAGAATCCACTTCCATATCCCAGTTGATCTAATCAGTTATCTTTGTCGGCTTATACAAGTTAAAGGTCGATACCTTTGGGCCCATCGTCACCTTCACCGCATCAGCAAGCTCTTCCACTCCCTTAAGCATCAAAGCACGAGCCTCGACCCCAAATCTGATATCCTTTGCAGCGTAATTTCTACTCCAACCAACCCTACTTCCAATCTGCAGCACCAAACAAAACTCCATTACTCTCAAGATATAAGTTTAATCCAGATCAATATCAACGACCACAACTCAAAATCAAAACTCTATCGACGGAAAACAAACAGATCAGCGAAAACTATCATACTAAAAGATTCAAACTCCCACCTGTTTGGAGCTGCTTCCCGCAACCCTGCAAAACCAAAAGGAAAAGAACAACATTCAGAACCAAAAGCGCACAATGCATACGATTTAGAACGATCTACATTTGCTTGTGATGTCTTTAATAGCAGATATCTTACCGGGCTCTGGAGGCGAGGGAGGCCATGGCGCGATACATGGTGGGCTTCGGTAGAGACCAGATTAGGGTACTCGAAGAGCGGAGGCGACGACAGCTGAGGGTTCTTAAAAAGGGGGCCTTCGTAGTTTCCAGAAACTCTTAGACGCGTCTTCTAGGGTTTGGGGTTTAAGCGATGAAGCGACTAAGATGCGGCACAGGAATAGTATTACCTATAATGTTCCTCTAACGTGGACGAATATCGACCGTACATCTCATCGGTACACACACAAATAGTTACAATACGCTGGTGGTTCGCGGAACATATACCTGTTGGCGTACCAAACCGAGTAGGGTAACGACCATCCACGGGTCCAAGTGGCGGCGGCGGCGGCGGCGGCAGCGTCGCCCGCTACGGTTGACATTGTTCTTCAGTATTTGGCAAGCTTCTAAATAGGGATTACAAATCAAAATCTACGAACATATACAACTTAAATTATTCGGGCGATTAAAAAAATGTATTATAATCATTAAAAAAAAGTATTTAACGTATCAAAATGCTTTTATATATATATATATATATATCGCCCGCGCCTCCGCCCTGGAGCCGGACGCGCCTCTCGGCCCCGCCGACCTCACCTCTGTCTCTCACCAAGCACATCGATGAGGTTACGCCCGAAGGTCTTCACGCTTATCTTTGGTCTCGAGGTCTCACCGTCCATTGCGATGAACGATCATCAGAAACAATTTTGATGCATATGGGCGAGGAAGAAGAAGAAGGAAGCATTGCATCGTTATTACCTGTGATCGAGTTTCCGTCTTCCTCACCATCACTTGCAGCGCTGTAGTCCAACCTGCCGACGCTGGCGCACCGGAACTCCGTCTTGTTCTCCATGAGCGTCCCCGTCTTGTCGGAGGACACGTACTTCATCTGCCCCAGGTCCTCGTTGATGTTGAGCGCCATGCACTTGGAATCTCGTCTTGCTCCCCTCATCGAACATGTTCTTGTCCTGGATCATGAAGAAGTCCTGCCCCAGTCTCACCAGCTCCATCGATATGTTGAGCGCAATTGGAACCATCACCTGGAATATAACCACTGGCTCGAGGAAGCTGAACAACGTCTCCCGCCCCACCCCGTAGTAGCTGTAGGTGTCCGTCTCCGGGCCCCAGAAGTCCTTGTGGTAGTACGGTAGGTCGTTGAGCTCGTCGTGGTGGTTGGTGAGCCACACGCCGACGAGCACTTTGACGATGGAGCATAGAGCGACGAGTGCCACGACCAGCAGGATCACCTCCCGGTTCATGTGCGCCTCGAGGCGGCTCCGCTACAACGGCGCGCCGGAGCTGTTGGGCATCACCTTCGTGTCCTGCCCGGTGTACACGGCGACGCCGCGGAGGTGCTATGCTCCCTTGCGACCAAAGAAGAGGAGGCTTTGGGCGGGCTCGTCCCTCACAGCTGTTATCCTCCTCATCGACGAGGGAATCCCTCTCCTTCTCGTACGAAGGAGACGACTGAGGAAGTGAATCCTGAGATCCTCGTCGTTACTTCATAATAAATCCTTCTCTTTCTCTTTTATTTCAGGTTGACCAAGCAAATTACAGTCTTATCTTGCGTGATGATGAGACATTATTGGAATCTATCAGACGATGCAAAGTCAATGGGGCCTCAGAGCATCAATCTGCTCGACTTCAGCATCCGTGAATGCACTTTATCGAGCGATTCGATGACCAAATTAGATTCAGATCGAGAACAATGGTCAACGTGTCGAATTGGATTCGTATTATTTTATGGGCCCAATTGCACGCGTGGGCTAAAACTGTCCACTGGTTTTGTTGCGCACATTTTTGTACTCACGTCGTAATCGAAAACCAGCGTGGAGAAAACCGGAACAGATAAATTTGCTTCACGTCCGCCCGGCTTCTCCGACTCACGCTCATCTCTCTCTCGCGGCCGCTTTCACCTCGCTCGGCAGCGGTTTTGAAGAGCGTGCTTAGGTGTTCGGCGCCGGCGCCGACGTCTGGAGGTTGCATTTCTCGGCTCGACTCTGGATGTAGGCGGAGTCCGCACCGGGATCGCGATTCCCGGTGGCGAAGAGGGATCGAGATCGGGGGCGCCCGCGGGCGTAATGTGGTGGGTTAAGGCGCCCGGTATGGCACTTCGGGTCCGACGCCGAAATTTCGTTTTTCCCGAGCTGGATTCCTTGTATTGTTCCTGTTCTGATTCTTTTTTTCCTGCCGATCTCGATTCCGGAGCAGGGCAGCCTTTCCGTGGCCGAAATGTCGCTTCTTGGGGTTGATTTGGGACCGAGCCTCAGTTTTTGCTGCTCAAAATGAGGTCTTTTGTGAAATTAGTTGAACTATTTGATTTGGTACTGCTTGGGAATGAACTGCCTTTTCTTCTGGTTTCCACCGCCTTCTCTTCATTTTTCGTTCGCTTTTGAGAGAGAACTGAGTTATTGCATGTGATTTAGCTGTTTGGTTTGTCTCGTGGGTAACTTTATTTTCCCTAGTACGATCTGATTCCACCTTTTTCCCTCGGAACTTTCTCAGCGATGGCAGCTTTTCACCTTGAGATCGTAAGCTAGCTTTTGGCTGGCTTCCGTGTCTTCGTATATGCTCGAGAAGATTCCTATGCTAGTTTTGTTACCTTCTTCTAGTCTATTTCCTATATCCTGCCTTGTGATTCACATTAATGTCTTCTCTTTTCACCGTCTTCTTTTCCCCTTTTTTTGTGTTTGTTTTCCTGCTTCTTGAATTGGTTATTTTTCTTTCTTTCGGAAAAAAGCCTCTTTTGATATTTGATGGGCTTTTCTAAAGCTATGACTCGCGAGTGACATTTTCTTCTTATATGCCTTTTGTCTGCTAAAATTGAACCGCCCCTTAAAGGAACAACTTGTCGTGCTATTTCTTTGAGGTTAAAATTAGACATCGTATTGTGTTTTTATTTCATGTATTTAATGATAGTATCTTTAATTATTAATGCCAAATCTTGGCATTCTTAGCTTGAATTTGCTTTCTTCTCAGTATCGAGGCAATGCTCAGTCTATTTTATCTCTGTTCTTCATACATGCGATCATGCTTCTATTAAGTAATCGTGATTGATGATTACTTTAGATATTGAGACAATGCAGATGGAATCATCTTTCTTTCCTTGCACAGGAGAGACGACTGGTGGGTTCTAGAGTAGGAAGAGGTGGGATATTCAGAACCCATTTCCCAGATGCATGTGAAAGATGATCAACATGTTTGACTTAAGTGCCCACATGAATGGAATCAAACAACTTGCTGAGAACCCACACAGGGATGGTATACATACATATTTGTGATGATTTCTTTGATTTGCTTTTGGTGTCAGAGCCTTCATCTTTACCTTAAAAGATGGTTCTTAAATTTTCTATCATTTTATTTCTTAGAAAGTCAGTTTTGGTACCTGTCGAATTGTTTGTTTGCTGATTTCCCAGTTTACAGTGGTTAGAGGTTATTATAGCTTGGGACTGTAGCAGATTAGGTGCCGCCAAATTTCCTTACACCTGAGATTGAATCTGACTAATTATTTAAGTACCCAGACCTGAATTTGACATGGATATCTACCTTCCTAACTGAATTCGTTTCAAATGTGTTATTGAATGATACTTGAACAAGATTTAAGTGGGTTGGGTAGATATGGGCATCTGTAAAAACCCGATTGCTGCCATCCCTAGCTTGAGGAATGACAATGTAGCAAACCGCCGTCCAAACACCGACTAACTATCTAGTTATTTGAACAGAAACCCGGACCTGACTAGGTGCCTGCTTCCTACCCAAATTTGTGCCAAAACCGATTAAAGGGTGTTCAAACACAGCTTAAGTGGGATGATAAACCTCACATCCTGTAAAAGTGAACCCCCTGCAAATTCCTAGTTACAGAAAGTGTACAATTCACAGAGATGATGTTCACAACTTCACGTTGGTGAATGGTGATGCTCGATACAGTGTCTCCATTAAGATCAAGCAGAAAGACCTTTTATTTGGAAATTTTACTTGTACCACATTTGACTCCGTTGGCCTTTTGACGTAATTTCTTGGTATGCAAACCATATATCTGATCGTTGGCTAATGCATATCTCCTTCTTTGAATGATTGTTTTTCTTCTCATTAGGCTTGGGACTATATGACATTATTTTGAACTCATTTATATCTGTTTTATATTATTATCATTTCTGTGCTAGTCTTAAGCTTATATAATATTTACGTAGCCCATCTGTGATTAACGTGGTGTAAAAATATTAGCAGATCTTATGGCTGTTGGGAATCATTCTGATATGCTGAAGAAGCGGGTAGATTCTAATGCAGTTCAGAGAGAGGGCAAACATGTAAGCACTCTCCATAGTTAAAAGTTGACCTTCTATACAGATGTGAATATCTATAGGATTGGCAGATGAACCGTACCCTCTTGTCTAATCAAAATTTCTTTACAGGTTACCTGTGAACACAGGAAAAGTCCATCAGGCAAGAAATCAAGTGGAACACCCATGAAGATGCTTATAGCAGAGGAGATGTGCAAGGAAACAGAATCTTTGCAGAAGCCACCTAGTGTTGTTGCCAGACTAATGGGGCTTGATTCTTTGCCAGTGCAGCAAGCAGTCTTGATTGATAAATGCGACATACAAGAGGGATATGAGTGCAACAGTTTGTCAGGAGCACAGAAAAGATGTCAGTGGAAGGAAGATGAATACTTTGAGAAAATGCCATGGAGCCTCCGGTCATGCACTCATGAAAAGAAAAAAAACAAGGATGTGTATGAGGCATGTCAGCAACCAGCGAGAAACAGTTTGGTTAATGACCATATTTCATGGAATGGAAAATTTGATGAGAATTTGTACCAAAGAACAACAGCATTTGTTCGACAGAAATCCACAGAAGCAGAACATCTGGCCACAGATGATAAATTTCTTAAATCTAAGGAGTTCCAAGATGCTATAGAGGTTCTGAGTTCAAACAGAGATTTATTCCTTAGGTTTCTCGATGAACCAAAACAAATCTGTCAGTTCCACAATGTACCTCCACCTCAGAAAAAGTGCATAACTGTCTTGAAACCTTCAAATGTTATCAGGACAAAAGGTGACAAAGTCATGGAAAATCAATCTTATGAAGTTTCAGATGAAAATGTAGGAAAAACAAATAAACATTATAGGAGCTCTAGTTTTTCTTGGTCTCAGGGAAAACCTCAGATGTTATCTCAACCAACAAGGATAGTAGTTTTAAAGCCTAGCCCTTTAAGAGCTCATCATATTAAGACAACACTGGCTTCACCAATTTCTTCACCAGAGCTGTCGGATGCAGAAGGTACCTGTGAAGCATTGCAAACAGATGAAGCAGTAGGATCAAGAGAAATAGCCAAGGAGATTACTCGATGTATGAGAGAGAGTCTTAGTAGTGACAGAACAGATGAATCTTTGTTGTCATCATTGTTATCAAAGAGGTACTTTCAGGATGAGAGATCATTCAATAGGTCAGGAAGTGAGGACACAGTACAGGAGGCTGTCAGTTTTAGTGAGAGAAAGGTAGTTTCACCGACATCACTGCATTCTTGTGATTACCCTAATGTAGTTGGCAGTCCTTACTCAATCTCATCCTTCAGTCCGGCATCTCATTCTCCTGAATCAGCGGTCATGAGAGAAGCTAAGAAACGGCTTTCAGAGAGGTTGTCGCTTGTAACATCAACTGAAAATAGCCATGAACAAGTACAAGAAGGGAGGAACTCAAATTCATTGGGGGAGATGCTTGCCATATCTGAGGTAAAGAATATAAAGGAACTCACTTTTTCAGGTAGGAGGTTGTCCAATGAAAAATTTGACATGGAAGTACCCTCAGTGTCCTTGTCGGTAGATCAAACAAAGGATGAATATTATGATCCAAATTTTCCTAGGAATTTGTCTAGCTCAAACTCCATCGCAATTTCTTCACCAGTTTCTGAAACCATTGAGTTGAACGTAGGGGCTTCTAGTTCTTTGGTTAGTGCACAATGTATTCAGGAGGAGGTTCCAAAATTAAAAGGTGGGAAATCATCTTTCAAGGTTAAACTATCAAGCTTGTTCTTTTCTAGAAACAGGAAACAAAACAGGCAGAAGCTGGATCCACCTCCCTTAGCAGTATCTGATGATAGAACACAACCTGGCATCACCAAGGCTGGTGATAAAGAAGTTCTATCGCAATCTGCCAATGATATTTTCTCAGCAGAAAGTAATCTAGTTAGTCCTACTAAAATATCTGCCAATGCTTACTCTTCATCATTGGTATATGATGGATCAGATTGGGTAACTCCTTATGTTAAGGTATTTTCTGTAGAGCTTCTCTTTTTGTTATTTATAATTTTTTTGTTTGTTGTGAGCAACTTTTTGTTCTAATTCTTTAAAGCTTCTCTTTTGTTAGTTACAATTTTTTTTTGTTTGTTATAATGTATACTCTAATTATAGAGGCATTAAATTAGTGAGTCACACTATATAACTTCGAGAAAGGATGATTCAAAGTAAAATAGGATACAATATAAGCACTTTGGACTTTGGAGATTGAATTTGGTTTTATGCCCGAAAAATCAAGCATAAATATTTTATATATATATATAAAATTAATGAAAAAATGTAGCACAAAGAAGAAAGATTTGCATATGATTTTTAATGGCATAAAAAAATTATGATAGTTTTTTTGAAAATTTGTTATGGTATATTCTAGAAAATAATGAAGAATCTAATAGTCGTAAGCGAGTTCCTTGTAACCATAGAATCACATCAAGGATCAACCTAAAACCCTTTATCTTTTCATATCAGCAAATAATTACTAGTCATATACAGAATATAACTCCATGATATTATTATTTGCTGATGATATTGTTTTGCTAATGAAAGTTAAAACAAGATTACTTGTCAACTTGAGTTAGAAAACAAATATTAGTTACCAAAATTTTAGGATAAATAGAACTAAGACTGGATTTATGAAATGTAGTTTTTAAAAATACTAAGAAAAGAAATAATGATATGATTGAGAGGATAGATAAAAGTTCATCTGTAAGTAAAACTTTTAGGTATCATTGATTTATTATGCAACAAAAAATATATAAGGCATTGTTCATAAAGTAAAAGTTAAATGGTTAAAGTGGAAAATAGTGTTGATGGTATTGTCATCAACATTTTCCCCTTAGATTAAAAAAAAAAATAATGAGATTGTTCTATAGGAGAGTCATGCTTTAGAGATTAAAGTGCTGGATGGTTAAGAAACATTATGCACAAAACTCAACATAATAGAAGGTTGAGGTGGATATGTGGTATTATTAGAAAACATATGATAAAAAAGAAATAATTTGAGGGCAATCAGGTATTGCTTAGATAAAGGTAAGATAAGATAAAAATGTATCCAATGGCATGTACCTGTTAAAGAAAAACCTATGATTCTTTGATTAGGTAGTGCGAGTTGATTAGGATCAGTGATATGGTACATGGTGATCTAAGAAGCATTTACTGCAAAGAATAGAAAGAGATTTGAATTCTCTTGACTTAAGATATTGTATTAGACATCTCAATGACAGGAAAAGATCTATGTAGTCGATTCCATATAATTAGGACATTATGCCTGTTTGTTGTTGTTTCATTTTGTGATGAATAAGCAATCTCTGTAATCCAATTTCATAGTGAAATTATATAGTTAATATTCTTCCAATTATTCTGTTGACTCTCTCGTTCATTATTATAGTGTCAAACCCAAATGCACTTTAACAATCAAATCTGAAGAATATTCTTAATTCCTGTGCCCCAAATATCTTTTTGTTCTGAAAGCTGCCACAAGCATGTGTTCTGTTGTTTAATTATTCATACACAGTATTTAAATTGCTATTTGCAAACTTGCAGGATGGTCAATTCCTTGAGAAATCCAGTGCATTTGGGAACTTCAGTCAACCCTGCCCCCCATCGGGTCTAGAAGCGCCATTTATTGGTGATGTCAACAACAGACTGTTGCAAACCATTGAAAATTCCATTGTTGGACATCAACGTGAGTTGTCATCGTACAGTCCTACAAATATACCAAGTTCCAAGCAGTTATGTCTTTTCTTTTCTTTTCTTTCAGAAGCTCTTTCTAGGTCTTCACCAATCGAGTCAGTTGCTCGTTCTATATCAAAAGAATTTTCATATTTGGACACGGCATCAAATCCCCTAAGATATTCCATAGTTTTGTCGAAGGCTGATGAAGAATATGAGCAATATGTCTTTGTTGAAAAGTTGATTGCATCTGCTGGATTGGACTGCAAAAAGTCCAGTGTGAACTTCACAGGATGGCATTCACTAGAGAGCCCTTTGAATCCCATGTTGCTGGAGCTGCACATGAATGGTGAGGAGGCTAAATTCAGAAAAAGGGGATCAAACAAGAGGCTCCTATTTGATTCCATTAATGCAGCGTTGTTAAATATAAGCCAGAAAGAGACACTGGCCTCATATCCATGGTCTCAAGCATGTGACAGAAATAAAGATGATAGTCTGAGTGGTCCATTGGCTGAAGAAGTGTGGGGAACCATAAAAAGCTGGTTTTCTGGTCACAGTTATGTGACAGGTGAATTTAACTACAGCAGCAATTCAGTAGACTGGTTGGTTAAGAAAGAGATGACAGGCGGGCAATGGGTTGAATCCATGTGGTCGGAAATGTATGACTTCAGCAAGGAAGTTGGTGTGGTACTATTGGAGGAGTTAGTCGAGGAAGCATTGTCAGAATTATGATGCACTCGTTCTTCTTATGTCATTTACCTTGTTACGACACAATTTGTCATTCAGGTGGCCCTAAGAATGCAGATTACTATATACATATGTTACTGTAAAAAATGTTTATACTGTAATCTTCCTGTGATTGATCATCCTCAACACTGAGACCATCCTGCGAGATTCACCGGTTGAGATAACAACTGGATCGGATAACAGTGTGAATCTATTCTGATGATTATTCACTTCCAGTAAGCCAAAATTCCTACTGCTCTGTATGCGGTTTCGACTTCTGGGGAAACAGGTAGACTTCAATTCAGTGATGATCTGTCGTTATGAATATGGCAGCTAATATGTCTTTTTCCCTGTCAGTATTTGACAGCTTTTGTATTGTGCCCCATATGAGGCAATATTAATATGTAATTTTTACTGAAATGGGGAGAGGAATGAGGAAACTATTGCAATATTGAAATCATTGGCATACTATGTCATATATATTCAAGTGAAATTACTGCTCTTGCTTTAGATTTCAAACCCAATGGTGAAGTTTCCATTCCAGAAGCTGTCATAGAGCTTATTATATTTCAACTTACAGAGAAAAGAATTCTGAACTGTGGCATTCCAAACTGACATTTATAGTTCATCAAGTTGCAGTTCCAAAGGTCAGAGGATTACAATGCAGCATTGCCAGCATGCAGATCATGATAACAGGACAAACAATTATTAGGTACACCAGTTCTCATTCTCTGTTCATTTTCCATAGAAGAACAATATGAGTTTGAACTATTTCAGAGCACTTGCCATTTTCCTATTTCATTTTTTTTTAAATGTAGTCTTTATTTGTATTATTGGGTTCTTGGATGATTACTCGACAAAAACTCCAGATTTTTTATTTGGATAAGCTCTCTTTTTCCATTTCCATGTTTCAAATTGAAATCATCTATTTTGTTTTTTAAATATTCTTTTAAATTTTTTATTAAACTATTAGAAGGATATATTCATCATTTATAGGGGCATATAGTTTTTTGTTTTTTGTTTTTATTGATTCGAGATCGAACCAACGCTATTAGTTCTTGTTCTAACTCTTAGACATTGGAATCGGAACTGAATCGAATCATCGATATCAAATGATATGATCTCGATTCAAATCGAATTGAAGCCGGAGTTAATCTTAATTTTGTAAAAAAAAATACCTATTTTTTTTCTAAGTTCAAAAAACCAAATTTATGGATAATAACAAATATTATATTGAAATTTATAATATATTGAAGTGGCACATGAGGACTTAAATATTATATTGAAATTTATAGAACAAATACGTTTGTTTTTTAATATTAAAATAATAAATATATAAAAGCTCTTATCATTTAGATTTTATAATTCACGGAAATAGCCGAACAAATTAGGCCGCTAAACGATGCCTACTTAAACTGTGACCGATCCGAACCCGAACAAAAGAAGGACATCTTCGAGTTGAGCGCAATAGCCACTCCCCTCCCCCTATCCCTCCCTCTCTCTCCGATGGCGGCGGTGCGAAGCGCGATTCTGAGACACTTGAGGCTGCGGGTGGTCTCATCGGCTCCGCAGGTGTCCTCTCCCTTCGCTAGTCTCCTTCGTTGCGGCTTCTCTGACGAGGTGAAGGGCTCCTTCCTCGATAAATCTGAGGTCGCTGATCGGATCATCACCGTCGTCAAGAACTTCCAGAAGGTCGATCCCTCCAAGGTACTTGACTACTTTCAGAACTGATCAAATCGATCTGACCTTTTTGGTTTCAATTCCTGCTGGACCCGAATTGCTCAGTGCAAACTAGGTTTTTTTGTGGGTTTGGGTTTTCCTGGGATGAGATGATGGGGATAATCTTTACACTAGCGGGAGTATGCGTTGCATCTAAGCATGTAGGATAACCAAATGTTGTCTATCAGGTTGCGTTGTCAGGATCGGTGTATGCTGCAACGATGTGTATTTTTACATGCTACATAAGAAGCAAAACTGCTATGATACATCGTAAAATGTATGAGCATTATCTACTTAAGAACCAAAATAACTTTTGTGTGTTAGTTCTTATGTGATATTGGAATTCATATATCTGATCGAAGTTCCTGAGGGCCAGTTTTACCTGCAGAAGCTTTATTAGACTATATTCTTAAGCATAGAAAAGTTAGGGCTATCAACCATTTTTGTTTGTTGAAGTCCACTTTTATTGACATAGTCATATTATGATTTCTTTGATTCATTATTGACATAGTCACATTATTAGATATAATGTGCACTCTAACTGGTTTGGTTCCACAGCATATTGTTTCTTAGAACATTTTGTCTTCAACAGTGAGGTTGTAGTGTAGAAGTAGCATCATAATGTTTGTTGTAGTATCAATGAGGTCTTCTTGTTGGATTTTTGGCATGCTTAATAGCAAGCCATTCTTCAGAAATTCTACCTTGGTGATACATGTACGTTTTGAACCTGTTTTTGCTACTTTATGTAACATGATAATTGCTAAAAACATCGGAGTTGTCAATTTGAACTTTACGTGTCGGAACCATGTTACAGGGTTACTTTTTGGGTAATTTACATGCAACCAGCCAACTGTTACTTTATTTTTAGTGAGTCTCTTAGGTTTTGTATCGAATATGCACGATGACTACACTAAGGGTGTGTTTGACTATAAATGGTAGGGTGTGTCGGCCTTGCCCCACAAAATTTAAGTTCTAAGCATTGTAAGAAGCGAGAGTCCAATTCCTGTTGTTTGATTCAAGGCATAGTTCTCAAGATTAATATTAATATTAGGATCGGCTAGGTTCGATACATATCTTAGGTTTGTTGGACAATCCAACCCGATCAGTGACGCAGAGGTACAGCTATACTTTTTATGTTTGTTAGGCAATACTCAATAATTTGGGAGGTGGCTTTTGAAAAAATAGGGAAATAGATTTTGAAAGAAGAAGGCATTATTTTTACTTATCAGTTCACGAAATCAATTTCGGATCCCCTTTGTTCGAATTGGAATGTTCAGTTCCTTGGTTGCTTCCTTCAACCAAACTAAGTTCACCAGTTCCCTGCCCTTAGTTTCATTTGCTGTAACCATGAGTGAAGTTTGTCAAATGAATCTCATTAGGAAGAGTGAAATGGACCACATGAAATACCAGGATGGACATTTTGCGAACTCTGTTAGGATCTATAATACCTACAAGTATTTTGGCTATTTTTTTATAGCTTTTGAATAAGGAAACTTAAACTGTTCATATTAGAGAATCTTCCGGGCTAGAGAAGGTATGTATTTTCCCGAAATACTGTTTAAGGATATTTTCTGAAGACACCTCCAAAGTTAGGTTTTAAGATGCATACTTTCCTGTCACTTCATTTGACAACTAATAGTTTGCTCATCTGGCATTGGCTGCAAATGGCGGAAGTAATATTCTGATACTTATTAATGCCAAGTTTTTGTTTCCCAGCCGAGGTCATAAAATTGGATACTATGCAAAAGTCCTACACTAAAGGGTTCATCATTTATATTATGGTAATCGCAGGTCACATCAAATGCTCATTTCCAGAAGGATCTAGGTCTTGACAGTTTAGACACCGTGGAGGTTGTCATGGCTTTTGAAGAAGAATTTGGGTTTGAAATCCCCGACAGTGAAGCAGACAAGATTGACTGCATAAAAGTTGCCGTTGACTTCATCGCCTCGCATCCCCAGGCAAAATGAGCATTCGTATTGTTTCCATTTGTCAGGAGAAAAAAAAAGCAACTAGTCTATTTTGATCATTGATCAAATAACAAGTTTAAACTGTTGTATCAGAACCATCGTCTTTCTTTGATGGTTTGGTTCAAGCAATTTTCTTTATGGATATCAAATGCTCTTTCGTCTAACTTGAGTTGTTTTGAAGTTAATAAACATTTTAGGCATTTAGTTGGTTATGTTTTTCATTGTCTTTCGAGGATGTGAGCTATTTGGTACTCCGATATGGGCTTTGTATGAGCATATTTGCTCGTATTTTTCTCATTGTGCATCCCTATTTTGGCCCTTTGAAAAGATGGATAGTCTATCAAACAAATACTCCAAATACAGGTTGCCGGTTGCCTTTCATAAGTGCTGTATTCATCTGTTGTAGTTGTGGTTTTCCTTTTTTTTTTTGGCACTTCACAGGTTACATAAATGCTACAGGTCCAGTACAAACTGAATATATATGTATTGGAAATGAGGGAAGCATGGAGGGGGGAAAAAATTGGAGGAAGGAAATAGGAGAGAGTGGCTAACACCATAGGTTGGCAAAGAGAAATCTTGTCCTACTACTAATTTAGTAGAGCCATAAGGAGACATATAGATATCAAATGATTATAGAGTCAAATAACTAAACAAGCCCGTCTAGCTCAGTTGGTAGAGCGCAAGGCTCTTAACCTTGTGGTCGTGGGTTCGAGCCCCACGGTGGGCGATTAAATATTTTTTTTAATACCATACCATCAGATTAAGAATAAATATCATTTACTTACAAGAGAGATTTCATACGATTTCGATATAAGACTAGGTTAATATTTGATATTTCGATATAATACTAGGTTAATATTTGAAAGTAATACGAGCAACCTATTTGTTGTGAAATATGAAATAAACAATGGATTAAGAGATTACTCGGAAGTGGCATGGTGGATGTGACGAAACGCAAGTAAAGATTCTCACTTAGGGACTATAATTGTTATACATTATGACAATATTTAAGAAAACATATTATTTTTTTATAAGAGATTAAGTGTTAGATGAGACTAAGTTGATATTCGAAAGTAATACGAGATACTTAGATATCATGAAATGCGATCGATCGGTTAGAAGATTGCTCAAAATGTGACATTGATGTGATGAAACACAAGTAAAGATTCTCACTCAGGGACTGTAATTATTATACATTATGATAATAATTAAAAATAAATATTATCTTCTTATAAGAGATTAAGTGTCAGGATGAGACTAAGTTGATATTCGAAAGTAATACGAGATACTTGGATATCACGAAATGCGATCGATGGGTTAGAAGATTGCTCAAAAGTGGTGCGGATGTGATACAAAACAGGGTTCTCACTCTCATAAAAGCGACTAAAATTGATAGACATTATGATAATAATTAAATATAAATATTATTCAGAGAAGAATCTAAAAAAATTTGATAGTACCATATTTAAAATTTGATATACCAACAAAGTTAAACATAAAAAAAGTGTAGAAATTATTGTATATAAAGATCTTAATGACAATATTGTAGAGGTGAAATGATTTAGAGATGAAATCATAGTTTTAAAATTGAACTTAGAAATATAGGTTTTTGAATATTATAAGTACTTACGCCCCTCGAGTTATACTAGATTATCAAACAAAAAATGAATTTTGAGAGAACCTAGATAATATCATTCATCGGATATCTAGAACTAAAAGACATATAATTGGTCATGATTTTATATTTTGTAAAATCATGATTTTATATTTTGTAACTTTGTATCATCTCATTATTGTTAATATTTATTTCAAGAAAAAAATATTTAATAACTTATAAGAGTGATCACCTGATTATGTTTTTTGTGCTTATTAGAAAGTTTAATAAAATTATAGGTAAGAATTGTAAAATTATACCAGATAAAAGCTTAACAAATCAATATGGTATTATATATTTATTATAAAAAAGAAAAATTGATAATAAATAATTTTACGAAGATTAAATCATAAAATTTTAAAGATAATAATGTAAAATATTTTAAGAATATGATGAAAAATGAGACGACTTAAAACTTAGATAGGGATAATATTAATATCACTTAGACTATAATAGTTAATAAGATTAAATTTTAGTAAAGAAGATTTTTGAAAAAAAATAAAGGCAATATTACCCCTATACTTGGACCCTATTAGAGTCACAATGCTAGTAGAATCCAAATATAGGGGCTAATATATAATTAGCTCGTTTTATTCAAGGGTCGTGGTGGTGTGAGGTAGTTCACAATGTACTTACTACCAAAAGATCTTGCTCTAAAGATAGACAAAAAATAAAAATGAGAAAATTTTTAAAAGATACAAAATCTTAAAAATACTAAAAGAGTTATTAGTAAGATAATATATAAGGCTTATGATAATTTTTATAACAATGTTATATAGTAAGGATGAGAAAATAAAATATTAAATTAGTAGATCCAAAAAAAGAAAGCACAAAGATTTAGATAATTTTTATATATATTAAAGATGAAAATGAAAGAATACTTATTAATGATAACAAAATTAAGAAATGACGAATAAATTATTTTTATGAATTATTTAATAAAAATTCCACAAGTAATTTTGCTTTAACTATAAATAATGATGATAGATCTAATAATTATATATTTGTTCATAAGATTAGAGATAGTGAGGTAAAAGAAGCCTTAAGAAAGATGAAAATAGGTAAAAGTATGAAATATGATGATATCGCTATTAAGATCTGAAAAAGTTTAAAAGACCAAGGAATAACTTGGTTAACTAATTTATTTAATAATATTTTAAAATTTAAAAACATGTTTATTGAAGAGAAGAAGAGCTATTTTTAATGCTAACTTATAAGAATAAAAATAACATCTAAAATTATTTTAGTTATAGAGGAATTAAAATCATAAGTCATACTTTAGAGGAGAATAATCGAACTTAGGATAAGATTTAAAATAAATATATCCCAAAATCAATTTAGTTTTATACATAAAAAACAAGATATTTATTAATTAAAATATTAATAAAAAATATAAAGAGAATAATATATATACAATTCTTATTGATTTTAAAAAAGACATATAATAGAGTTTCTAGAGATTTACTATTGTGAGTTTTAAAAAAGAAAGATATATCAACCAACTTCATTGATTTATAAAAAATATATATGATAATATAGTTATTAGAATTAAAACTATAAGGAGTTTGCTCGATAAGGTTTCTATTAAAACTTAGTAATCATTCGATATTTATTATTTGCTGATAATATTATGTTGTTGATGAGAATTTAAATAAAAATAATTATAAACGAGAGTTGTTGCAACAATCCTTCAAAACTAGAGGTTTTAAATTAAGTAAAATTAAAATTAAATTTATGACGATAGCAAAATCATAAATAGATAAAAGTATATAATTAGGTTAGATGAACAAGAAATTCTATTAAGTAAAAGTTTTAAGTTTCTTGAATCAATTATTCAATAAGATAGAGATTAATGAAAAATATTATTTATAGAATAAAAAGAAGATAGTTAAAATGATGAATAGCATAAAAAGTTGTGTGATCATCAGGTTAAGCCAACAATGATTTATGGATCTTAATGTTTGATAACTAAGAAACAAAATATACACAAAAAAAAACCATATTTTTGAGATGAAAATATTGAAACAAAAATAAGAAGTTAGTATAAAGATAAAAATAAATATTTTATTTATTCATGCACGTGTAGATGTTGCCTTTAATAAAGGAGTATCATTTAAGATGACATAAATATATATATTTAAAAGACCTAAAAAGATT